CTTCATCCTAACTTTTTGTACAGTGATGATGCAGAGTAAAAATGTGCTTCCAAATAGCAAGTTTTAAAACTAACCTTTATCACATTCTTTTCCATATTGTGTTTTATTTCGACATTCACATGTGATACTTCTCTTGTCTAGACAGTCGTCTGCGCAGAATTCGTCCCACTCGCACTCGCTGTAGTATGGACACACGCCATGTAAGTCCGCCTAGAAAGACAAAAATGATAGGTCTCACCAGAAAAGTTTACGCAATAAACAAACATTTTAGAAAAGAATTTAATCAGATAGATTGGTTGATTAATTGTTTTGCAAATAGCTCCGTAAAAATAACATTATCGATGCTTAATACATATTTTGTATGATAAATACTTCCATACCGTACGCATGTTTTTTGTTTTTTGTATTTTTTTATAAAAATTGATTTATTGGTTTCGACTTCGATTATAATTATAACCAACAAGAATAGTAGGTTAAATGGACACAAGCTCACACGTGATTCAACAACAAAAAAAAAAAAAAGCCACAGAAGAGAAAACCACTGGTTTGAAATTGTGCCTTGGTTCATTCTGCGTTTTATCTGATGCAGGTCACTGCCTATTTGTATTCCAATATCTGTCAATGTTGATCGATAAATTGACACCCTGGCCATGGTTATTTGTGGAGAGAAGTTAAAACATACTTCCCTGACATAACACAACTCTATATATCAGACATCGTTTACAGTTGTCGATAAAAACGATAATTGCAAACGCTTGATGTGGTTCAAATAGGGGTGAAGAAAGTACTTTTCCTTGCGAAATAACGCACATCTCTCCAGTTTGATGGATTCTAAATAATCATAATCTGGATATTGAAGTTCGATATCACTACTTTACACAGGCGTAGGATCCAGGTGAGCTGGGGGAGTGGCTAAAAAATGACTGAAATATTACATATAAATATTACATCGCGACCCCAAACAACTGTCCGCCCTCTAGTGCAAAATATTTGTCGTTACCCCCGCTCTCCTTGTCAGACGGTGTTTTCTAAACAATTATACCCCCTCCCCTCCACCTCGACCACCGCTCACATACACAAACACGCTTATAAGTTGCTGCCGGCTTCAGTAATGTGGTTGATAAGTCGTGTGCATGTATTATCCTGAACTACTCTTACCTGAATCAGTTTCTACTTTTATCACAGTTAACTTGACCTGTTGTGTAATTTTTAAATCGCATCAAACACAACGGTAGTTATATAAATACATCAAAATATTGGCATGAAAGTATCTCTGTTTTGTTTCTCAGCTAGCCTAATAACAGTCTGATTTCTTATGGTTCATCCTGCAAACTGTTCTGATCTGTTTCTGATTTTTTAGCATTGGAACTTTAGCGTAATAAAAGAACGGGTAGGGCCATCTCCGCACTATAACCAAGAAAATGGAGAAATAACTCAATTTATCGAGCGAGAAAATAAGCGAAATATTAATTGAACGAAAAATTGCTGGTGAGGCTGTAAAGAAATTATTAGAGAGTGATTGCTCAAAAAAAAAAAAAAAAAAAAAAAAAAAAGGTTCAAGATAGATAACTTCAAAATTGATTTTACTTTTAATGTAATTTCTATCGTCTTTATCTATCTATCGTCTTTAAAATAATTGTTTATTACCTTCTATAAAATCAGTTCTTTAGTTAAAAAGGTTTGACATATTTAACACCGATTGAATACATTTCAACGGTATAACAACACGTGTGAGAATTCTTAGTAGGCAGTAATACGAATATCTAAAATGAATTTACTAAAAAGCCTTAAAACAAACGAAGATTACGTTTGATTACAATATTGTAACACTGTCGTACCATGTCGACAGTATTTAATTGAAGTACATTAATTAATTAAATAATTGGGCAAAATAAACATTGAACTTCGAATTCATGATTGTTGTCGCCTTATGGTTCTTCTCACACTCAGTGTACTAAAGGGATACAGTCTGTTCTGGTTCATTTTGACGGGTCCTTTCATGTAAATGATCTCCAAGGGTTTTTCCTTCCTTTCACAAGTTTCCCATAAGTTTGTACCCTGGTCTCGAGCGAAGGGGGGGGGGGGGGGGGGGTCCGTTTCGTTGAAACTCCTACGTTAATAGTTTGAAAATCTTTAAAATTAATTAAATGTGGTCAACCTCTCAAAGTGAACCAGTACAGACAAATTTTTTTATGTATACTGTTCTATGTGAAAGGGCCATTGACGGGATTCAGTTTGTCTGGAACGAAATCGCAAATTGAACCTGCAAACGCGTTTGAATGCTTTTCTTTTTTTATTTATGAAAAGGTGAGGCAAATGATTGGCATTAAGAGGAAAGTATCAGAAATGTTATAAAAATCCGTTTTATCATAATATGTCATTTATCTTCCACGGCTTTCAAACAGTATAAAATATAATAAAACAGACAAACTGTTATATATCTCATTGTTGCTAAAACGTATGAAGAATCATCACCTGATTTTCCAAGATTGTTCCATTGACTGCAAAATGTCCCGGCTGTAAAGTGGTGCTTTCTGAAGACTGATCTAGCGTAGCGGGGGCGTACAGAGTACAGTTCCCAGTATCGCCCTCGTATGTGTAATAACGACAGTTTTGCAACTGGGAGCATTTAAAGCTGCAGATGCCCTGCTTCAAGGTCTGCGCGCTGTCCAGGTAGTATACCTCCGATGTGGAATATTTTCTGCTAAAACTAGAAAAGATCGTGTTTTGTGACTTGCAAACTTCGTCATTTTTCGTCGCTTCTGTATTCACAATTAGTAAAAAGAATCCCAGGAAAAACAAGACCTTGAAGAAAAGCATGTTGGCGGAGGCAAGGTCCCTAGTTATCAGAAGCCAGTGTGAGACAGTCATCTTCCAACTGGAATTAATTTCATGCATCATTGATAGCTCACTTCATTTCAATATTTGAAATGTCACAAATCGAGTTCGATTACGTAATGTGGATATAATATCGGTTTTATTGGGTAGGGGTTATTAGGGCACAAGTACTTTGAACCATGCCCAATACGGACAAGCCCCATTACGAAACATCGATTGAAATTTTCCACGTTGTTGGTAAACTCTTCTTGTACGTCATTTCTTGTTCTAATATTGTCAATGCACACGTTTGACTGATACATAATAATCTTTATGGTTTCATTTTACAAGATAGTTGGCAGTCAAAACTGCTACCAAAACACTTGTTTATTTATATTACTTTATTATCAATTTTTATTAGTACTAGTTAAATATAGGTAATAGATATGTTATCTTTGTCAGAGCGTAAAAAGCGCAAAAAAAAAAAAAAAAAAAAAAAAAAAAAAAAGGTTTCCTGGGGTAAACGACGATTTCCCCATACTTACCAATGGTTAATGAATGCATTCCTACATCCAAAGTAACTCCCTGTTTTTTTCCCTAAAAATTTTGAAATAATCTCTTAGAGATTATTGCGGAGGTATAGTCATCTATGAAGGTTCACGTGGTCTGATGGCAAGCACATATTCCAGAATAATTGCGATAACTGCCATAATAGAATTTATTATATTTCTATGAGTTGTTTACAATGTGTTTTTCGTTTAATATGAATTTCATATGAATAATTGTTATCCCTTCAATGTTGGCTGCAGCAGTGGTACATATTGCCACAATGATAGTGCGCAAATTGTAGGCTACGCTCTGCGATCACTGAAAACCCAACTAACGCAATGCAAGGAGCAAGAAAAAATGTGGATCAATCTCGACGCAGCTTTTTTTCTGTGTATTATTTCACAATGTCACTGCTGTGCGGGAATAACCCGCAACCATACTAAACCTTAACAAATTCGACAATCAATTTTTGAAGGCATGGTTCGTCCTCAATAATTTTCATTACAGGCCTATGTATTTCTGTAATCCTACAGTCACTCACCTCCAGATTGTTTACGCGCTTAGGACTTGGCCAACTACATATTTATATGCACTTGACAAGTAAGTTTTTGTTTCTCAATTTTATAAATGCCTAAGGTAGGCCTATGAATTACTGATAGATTAAGTTTTAAACAAAAGGGCCATCAACGCTGTTGATTTATGATTTTAGAGTAATTGAAAATGGACTGGTGACTACTGAATATGGTGTTTCCTTGAACTACATTGACACGAACATCTAGTTCGCATAACAATCAAAGACTAATTATATCCTGGCATGGTATTTCATGTGATGCCAGTACATATTAACCCACGGATTGAGAATATTGGATTTTGTTATGCTTGGTAACGCGCAGAAGGTGATAAGATTTCACCGCAACTTTTAAAATTCTCAAGTGCGCTTTTTAAAAAGAATTGAAATGCTGTCTTTGCTCCCTGATGGCAAACACACATTTAATTCAACATGAAAGTTGGAACACTGCGCAAGAATATGTCATTTGATCCAGGTTCGAGGGGAAATGTTTTCTTTTTATATACCTTAGCCGAGGAGAGGGTTTAAAAATAGAAACGTAAGGATGGCCATTTGTGTATATATCTCAATTGACGTCAACTGGCACGTGATTAATTTTGACCAATCGCATACAAACACATTACTATCCGCGTGTCTGATGCGGGGAAGTCCACGTCTCACTGGAGAGGTAAGGGTTATATTTATCATAATTTGTTTTACCTAAATATCTTAAAACGCCAAGTATCATAAAACGAAATTGCTTATGTAAAATTCAGACTATATGGGATGTTATTATGCAAAGCATATGATATTTCTGAAGCAAGCAACGTAATTTATATAATTAACTTGCACCCCTACAGCTGGTCGGCGTGTGATAGCAAGCATACTCTCTCTCTCTCTCTGGAAACAGGTTGTGGGAAATCAGGCTGGAAATCCTCCGTTTCTAGCTTTGATTTTCAATCTCAATAATTTTTCGACTGCTGGGGGTCAGTGATTTAAGGCCACACGGATCTCGGAGAGGTCTGTAGAGGGTACACGACTTAACTTTTAATTCAGATTCCCTATCTGAAGCATTCGTCCTCTCACAATGGAGGCAGCTCACACAAAAACGACGGAGGAGGTCCTCAAGTACTTCGGTGTTGACGAAGAGGTTGGCTTGACCGACGAACAGATTAGGAGAGCAAAGGAGAAATATGGACCTAACGGTAAGATCTCTTGCTCGTTAAATCTCCTGCTTATATTTTGTAATTATTTCATTCATATTTTTGGTGATCAATAAGATTTCACTCAGTTGTCGTTGACTCTGAATTATCTGCACTAAGCTGGTAGCAGTCCATGTTAATTATGTGGTTAACTTTAGAACTAACTTTGGTAACACCGATGCATTACAACTGCTCATATTATATTGAAGTGTCATATGTAACTAATGCCTATGTATTTTCTTCATTGTAGAATTGCCTGCTGAAGAAGGTAATGTTATTTTGTTTTTTAAACCCTTTAATTTAATTGAAACAAAGAAATTAATGAAGTTATATATGATTGATTCTTGGATTTTGACAAAGAAAACTTTTTTGTATGTCACGAACTCCCATGTACCAAATGGATGAACAACTGTCAGAAGTAAGTAAATAAGCAATTAACAACTCTTAATTTATACAATTGAAGCTATGTGGTAATTCATGTTCTCTCTTTTCAGGAAAACCACTGTGGGAGCTCATTGTAGAACAGTTTGATGACCTCCTTGTAAAGATCCTGTTACTTGCAGCTGTAATTTCATTTGTAAGTATATGAAAGATTTGATGTTACAAGCATAGAATGCTGTCACCATTTCTATCAGTATTGTATTTATATCATTATTTCTGTAAGGGATGGAGTTGATAAACCACCTATCTTCGTACCATCACAAATTCTACATGTATGATGCCATTTTTGTACTTCGGTGAAGGTCAGACGGGGGAGTTAGCTTCCAGTGAGATGCTCTTGGCGGTGCTTCTTGATATGACTCCTTTGGAATGTATGCACTTTGAAAGTCTGCCTGATCCCTCAGACCACTGACCTTTCCTGTAATCTACACATTCATTTGACAACAGGCATTTCTTGAACAGAGATGCTTAATTTTGTCATATTTTTTAATTCAGCTGCTGAGAAGGAATGGGCTCATGAATGCTGCATTACTTTTTCGAATATGCCATTTTTGTATGTTTCACACAAACATCATAGGTCATGAGATTACTATTGGAATCATCATTTAAACTGTATTTTATGCTTTAAAACTCAATAAAAAAAGTATATAAACCGAACAAGTGCAGGGCACTATCACTATTTGCTTTACTTTAAGAAAGACAAATAGTTATTGGGAGGGGATTAATTTTATTTAGTATTGCATTTTCACAAAATCCACAACCCAGTGAAAATAACCTTATACAGTATGTAATGTTTAATCATTAGTTGTGTTTCCAGTCAGTTTAGATCTGCCTTACTCTGTATGATCTATCTCAGCAGGCACATTCATTATGATAACTTCACCAAAGAAAGTTCATCTAATGGCTCTTGAATCTCCTAGATTGCAATGGAGATGGACAGGATAACAGGATTGGATATGCTGTCTCTGATGAGGTAATCATAAACCTGATTTCCTGCTTAGATGGGTCCTCCTCAGAGCAGCCAACCCAACTTGACTAGAAATCCACCTTGTTATGTGACTGACCTTGTGTTTTATCAGGGTTTGTAGTGGGAGAACTGAGGCGCACTTAATAGTACCCTTATTGTAATGATAGTAAAAAAGGAGACTTCTAATTAAAAGAGACAAATTCAGTTATTTTTAGGCCTGACATCTTATCTGTTATATAGAAATGAAAGCATTACTGTCACTTTGGTATGGGCATATGCATAAAATCAATACTGTGGCCTTCATATCACTAGTTACATAAGGATAAAGATGGGCACTGATATGAGAAAAATTTGCACCCATTATTGTGATATCTGTCTAAAGTGGTTAGGGTTACAGAGGCATCAGTCATGACAGAGGAGTTGCATGCACCACAGGTTGACTTGACACTTTATATTGCACAAATGCAGTGAATAAGGAGAATCCAAACACCACCTTTATACTCTGTTTGTATTCCAGTATTGCTTCTTCTTTTACTTCAACAACATGGGTACATAAAAAACCCATTTTTATGTACCCATGTTGTTGAAGTAAATTGAAACTGATTAACCCATTTCTAAATGACTATATTATTTCTGGTCTGAAGTTGACTTTTTACTGAAGAAAATAACACATATCCTGAGATCACAATATCACAGCCACTTCATGTAAACAGATTCTCTGCAAACATGTGCTAAGAATAACAGAAGCTGTTCATGTTTTCCTAGAATGGCGGCTTGATCATGGAGGTGTAATGTTAGCATGAAGGTTGCCAAGAAAAGCTTTGAATTTATGTCATTGTTTTTTATGAAGGGGGACTTGATGTCAAATAATTTAAGGGAAAAAGGAATAAAAAAATTCCTTTACATGAGGAAATGTGAGTGATTTGAGTATATTGATTTACCAACCACGAACTGGACTATTTGTATCAGAGATTTTTGTCAGCTGAAGTGTTGAAAGAAGTAGGAAACCCATAGATTTAATTCACAAATCATGTGGGTTGGTAATATATTTGATGAGACAAAAGAGGATTCTATGATAAAGAGAAAAAAAAAACTTTTTTCCAAAGCTTAATTAGTTGTACAAGATATGAAGGTATCAGGGTTGCCACGCTGGATGGGTGTATTGAATGTAGTTTAACATGACTGAGAGCTGTAGATATGGCCATTAAGTTTCCACTGACCAGTCAAACAGGTATATTGAGGAAACCCCAAAGTAATTTACTTATCTATTGGTCAGGTAATTGTGCTATCTTTTTCAAGTGATCAAATACACCATTAATTATAGTGGACAGAACCTATCTGCAGAACTTATGATCCTTGAACAGATAAGTAAATAGACAGTGTGCTCAATTGCGAAGTGAAGGTGCTTTCTGTATTTTTATTGTGAAAGGCTAACTAAATGCACTTAAGGGCGGGGAAGCAGAAACATGATAATAGATTGGCTTTATATAGCTATATTCTAATTCTCTGCATGAGTAACCTTTTTGGTGTGAATATATATATTTTTTAATTGCAGGCTTTTTTTTTTTTGCACTTACACTCTTCAGTCATACAAGTCTTCATAATGATTGCAATATCTATGTTAAATTTTAGTGCATGGAGACACCTTCATCGTTGCAGTACACAAGCAATATTAACTTGTTTTTTTTCCCACAAGTCACTGCTGGTGAGCATGTAGTCTGTCATCTACAAATAAGCTGTAAAGAGTTTGTTTGTAAAAAATACAGAGTATTTGCTCTCTTTTATCTCTTGATTTCTGTCAAGTAATAAAGTTGGAGAACTTGACATATTGTTGAATAATGGTTGTTTAGCAATAAAACACTGTAGAAGAGTTGGAAGAAAATAACTTTTTTTCAGGCCAAAATCCTTCACAGAGTCCCTTATACATTTAAAAGGGTCCATCGAGTTCATTTTATGTGGATATATGTAAAACTTAAAAATCAGGATTATGCATGTAAATGGTAGGGGATCTCTCCTGATTGCAACTGCTTACCATCCATGTGATTGAATTTGTGTTATTGGAAAGGTCAATCATGTACCCTTTCCTTTGCCTTAGCAACCGTGGAACAAATTAAGCTTTTACCTGTTTTTACAGGTTATTGAATTGGATTTGAGCTACATGCAAATGTAAGGAGGATATTTTGATGATAAGCTCCCCAGTTTAGTATTTCGAGTTGTTGATGATGTTAACTTACGTTTATCAAAATGTGATTTTGTGAAGGGGATTTTTAAAGCCACTTTGGAAAAGGTGACATCATAGGTGTGCTAAATGATTCACATATGATATCACTGCAGACATCGGCTGAAGATTGGACTTTAATTGGGAACTCTGAGAGCTTTAATGCAACCTAGGTGCAAAAAATATTTGGAACATCTTGGTAAATGATGACCATGTGTTAGGCTGCTCTCTACCGACCAGGTATTGACGTAGGATCCAGCAGAGACAAATAACTCCAGTTTAGATTGCAGCAACTTTAAATATTAGCTTAAAGGAACACGAAAGAGATGCAGGCTGAGGAAAGTTTGTTCTTAATAGACTCAAGTAGGAAATCTAATTCCTCCTCAAAAATTCTGGATTGTTGCACAGGTGCTTCTTTCTGGAAATTTTCTATTGAAGTTTGGTGGGATTAAGGGGGTTTGACCTCTTAGGTATTACTGTATGGGAATATTTTTAAGTGTATTTGTACACTTATATTAATGAACGCTAGAATGGGTGGATCCAGGGAGGCTATTTTTTATGGTTGTTCACAGGCTATAAATAGATTTGCACTGACGCAAATGTAGATAAAGAGATTGGCCTTTGACTCCAGTTTAATTGAGATTTCATTTTTAATGATGGAAAGTCGTAAACTGATAGGTGCTAAGTATAGTGACACCTAATCCCCCATCCTGTTGAAATATGGTCTTTTGTAATGAGGGCACCATCCAGACCCTGTTGACACATGGCTATCAGTGCATTGATCCAAGGTGATAACAGGACCTGGCCAAATAAGATACCTGCAGGAACTTTCCATCACACCAAGACTGGAAAATTATTATGCACATTATTGCAGATTTTGTCCATAGAAAATTGGTGCAAATTTAAATCTCCGGTAACAACTTAAGTCTGTGACAGGACACACGTAGGTTAATTTTTATAGGAAACTTGTATAAGGAAAAGCATTTTAGCACCTTGCTAAAAATACATCCATTTTACCTGTCATTTATACTGGTCTCTTCCTTGAGATGCCAGAATACACACTAAGTTTTACACAATCCAGATTATGCAAACAAAAACTGATGCAAATGTTGTTAAAACTGATGCTGGCAGCTGCAGGTTGAATCTTTATCAGCTGAGATAATCTGTTTTATCCAGAGAAAGTATTGCTCGATTAATATGAAACAATTACATATAAATCTTATTTTTAAAATAAAATAACTTTCCTGCACCATATGCCAAATTATTGTGGTGGCATAGTCAAAAGCAGATGCAGGTTGGTGAAGATGTTGTCATATGTAATGGCTTAATAATTTGTAGATCTAGTTCTAAGTTGGTCTGAACTCTGCAGCTCACCTAGGCCAGCATTCCTGGCAAACTATGCCCCAATCAGCCTGGTGTCAGATTTTAGTAGCAGAATGCCTTTTAAAAGACCCCAACAACTGAAGGTGGGATAATTTCAGAACTCGTAAGGTGTTATTTCATGGTCTTGAAACTCCACTGCCCCTATCATTACACCTTGTTGTCTTAGGTAATACTAAATACATGCACCCCAGACGCATTCAATTTCAGTTCATTTAAAAGCCGTCTACTACCAAAAATAGTAGTAAAAAGGCTAGCATCTTGGGGAGCTGGTCAGTTGGTTTCTGCACTCTTGACCATTGGTCTGCCACTTATAGACCCATTTTCTGAACTTGACTGTGGTCTCCTGATGTGATAATACAAATCTATATAATTGTCATTAAAACTAGCCTTCTGCTTTGTAGGGTAAAAGATGATTTGAAGAATGGTAATTGACGTGCAGCATAACTTGCTGAATCTGCTTTAAATGGCATCATTAATAATGCTTTGCCTATTTTAATCTAATGCCAGTTCATGCTAATATCCTAAATGATGTATGAAAAAAGGATGTCCATCTTAGATTATATCCAAATACATTTACCATGGCGTGATCTTTGGCAGTATTTTGTGGACAGATCCACCTCTTTTTTTATACAAACAGATTAAGTGTGTCACACAACCCATACCCCCAGGCTATTTCTTTCTTTCTGTGTAAAAAAAAAATACATGCAAAGTGGTCATTTCTACCTCACTTCTTGATGGGAGGTATAATACCTTAATTAATAAAGTATACATGGCGGATGGTAGGCAGTAGATGGTTTAACTGATATCCTTGGTAGTTGATTAAGGGGGAGAAATTTTGATATGTGATTACATCTTTGAGTTTGCTTACCTGTTCAGGGGGGGGGGGGGTAAGGTTTTTATGGTAAAAATAGACATCAATAACATACTCCTGAGTTTGATTATTTGAATTTGCTGAAAGATGAAAAGTTGGTCTAAATGTTGGTAGTTTCCTCACTTCTCTTTATTTCTGGTTAACATATCTATAACTTGTTGTTGCACCCCTTGTTGTCAGTCAGCGCAGTCTGTCTGGGTTTGGAAGACCTGCCAGGTATTTCTACTAATATTCTGACCTTTTATCAGTTCATTTTGGCAGCGGGTAGGAAGCTTGCACACTCCATGCAAGCACATCTTGTCTAATTGCCCATGATAATGTGAATGACCTGTACTTTTAAGCATGTGCATTGTTAAAAAGAAAAGAGGAAAAATATGAATCGGATGCTGTCATATTTGCTCATGATGCAAAGGCTGAACACTGATTTCTGCAAACAAAAAGCTAGTCTTGGTGACCTGTTAATTCCAGTTTATGCCATTTGCAAATTTGTTAATCCTTTCAGCATTGTCAATAACAGAAAGTTATTATTAGGTCACTATGTACAGAATGAGTCTGAGAACCTTTTACAGTAATGAAATATAGTCCCTTTATGTTTTCTATCTCTTTTCAATTTATACAATCTCCATCAGTTTTATTCAGATTGCATCCCCATTCAATTCATTTTAAATGTGCAGAAATCTCGACTGAAAGATTTAATTGTTGTTATTGACAAGGTTTGAAAAATAGCATTCTGTAACTTGATTTCTTTCTTTTTGCATCCTGTTAGTGAGTGCTGTTGAAGCCTCATTGTGTACATCATTCAGGTAGTACATTAGGTGAAGGTCATCCAATTAGTTGATGGAAGCTGAGGCGTGTAACATTACACAGATAGCGAAATATGTGTTAGAGTAGCTAGATCTCTTAATGCTTGTATTACCTTGAATGGAAGGTACCCTGCAGAGAAAGTGACACAGGGTAGGATTGCAGAAGCTTGAGATGATTGGAGTGATGTTTGTTGGATTGTATAACTACAGTTTTCAAAGTAGTTTGGTTTAATTGGAAGGCCCAAGTCTTTTAAGTTTTTTTTTTTGTGTTTATTGGCTGGTGTCTTGTGGTTGTTAGTAAATATTTGTCAGCTTCTATTTCCTATCATTGTTTGCTTTAGTAAAGCAAAAAAAAAAAAAAAAGTTCCATATTTCATTTTTTGTCATGGTCTTACACACACTGATACTTTCTCATCTACACATAGGGTTATCACCTGATATACCCTTCACACTTTATTCTTATACACCGGTCACTGGCCACTTGTGTCATATTTCAAACACATCATGGTCAGTCAAACACATGGACAGTAGTATTGTCCTGACCACTTTACATAGTAATTTTCAGCAGTTAACTGACTATATGGTAGGTTGATGCAGATAATGTATATTATTCAAGTTATTTGTATAAATTTACCTTGAAGTTGATTTTTTTTTTTTTTTTTTTTTTTGAAAAAAGTTTATGGAAGCTTGTTTTTTATCAGTGTTGAAGAAGTTCTTACAGAAGTTGATTTTTTTGTTAGGTAAGAATGGGGGATTATTTAAATACATTGACTGGTTGATTTTTAAATCAGATACATCAATCTATGTCTTACTTGATTTATCAAAAATGAGTGGCCAACATTTATGTTCTTATGTATTTGTTAATGAAAATGCTCATTTCTTGTGTGTGCTTATTTGAAGATGTACACCTACCAAGTAAAGAGTGGTTGTTATAAGAGTGCCCTTTCACTTCAAAGGGTTTCCAAGTACATGTACAAGTTATATTTTGCAAAAATTGACATATTTATGTATCTGGTTTATTTGACATTCAGCAAGGGTGTTGCTAATATTTCCTGATTTACAAAATTAAAGAAAAATATTATTCTCTAAAATATTAAGGAATTTTGGGGGAAAGTACCTTGCCAATTAGTAGCCATTTTTTTTTTACAATTTGTCATTGACACAGTGTTTAAAAGACGATCATTGTAACACTGTTATATCTATCACTTCCATAAATAATGTTGTCAGGTACAAGTTTTTAATGAAAATCTAAGGAATGTTTTCTGGGGACTGCTGTTGTATGTTCAACATCTCTCTTCCTCTCCTTGAATCCTCATACATAAATTGGTCCTTGATATCCCACCCCTTGCATGTCATGTCAGGTGCTTCTTAGCAGGAATTTTAAGCTACCAGTCCAAATACTAAGTTTAATAGTACATCAAGAGGTGATCAAGTGCTGATGAAACATCAAACAAATACCATTTCATGAAGCAGATAATTTTTTTGCCAACTAGCCTATCTCTTGGGAAAAACTATGACTGACAAACTCATAATTTTAGCCTATTCTTTTTAAGGACTTTGCTTACATGTTCAACCTTGGTGAGTGAGTGGCCAAAGATATATCTCAGTGAAATTCTTTAGTATGAGCCAAGGGGTTAATTCTTATATGATATGACTTTGGTTGCATTCAGAATAGTGGAATAACTAGTCCTAGGATCAAATATGGCAACCCACTGCAAAGCTTGCCATCTGATCTGCTAATAGACAATTGATAGATTCCCCGTGGGGAACTTTTGAAGTGGGTTGACCCTCGGACTAGTTAGTCCACTGTTCTAAATGAGGCCTTAGAGAAACCCTATTCATTTCAGGAAAAATGTTAAGAATTATAAAAAAAGTTGATTTAATAAGTGGTCATAGATTCTGTGGTTATTTGTTTACTTACCCATATACTTTTGAAGTCACTGATTTTATATTTTCAAAAAAGGAAATGAAGGAGTCATGTTATTGATTGATTCTTAATTTGAATGTGTTCATTAATAATGAATTAATAACTGTGTACTGCTTTGTTTTTACAGATCCTGGCATGGTTTGAAGAATCTGATGATCAAATTACTGCCTTTGTGGAACCATTTGTAATCCTTCTTATCTTGTTTGCCAATGCTACAGTTGGTGTATGGCAGGTAAGTGACCACAGCCTCCTAGCGACAATGTATCTGTTTGTGCTCGTCTGTTAGGTGCGATGGTGGACACACACAAACACACACACACACACACACACATTGTGTTAAATGTGAGAGTGTACACATAATTTATGGTGTGACATTGCAGTTGATATGAAATTGCGACTAGGCATTTTTTTTTTCAACTAAAATTGAGGGCTAAGGACCAAAGTCTTGCATAAAAGGTTTTAACCTTTTGTCAGATAAAATTCCAAAGCTAATTTTATAACAGACATGAACTTGTTCCGCGGAAACACAGAGTTCCACATTTTTTTATTCAGTTCTGATGGTTCCTGAGATTCGTCAAGATCTGCAATAAATCTTTTTTTTTTTTTTTTTTTAAGCCTAGGCTCATATCTGTTATAAAGTGTAGAAAAATATTTTGTGTCACTTCAGCCTTAAGCTTGGATACAGCAGAAAGAAGCTCCTGTTGAAAAAAAATGCTACACACCTGCAGTTGAAGAAACACTGGTTACGAATATCAAATCCAGCAAATATATCTTGAAAATATCATGCGTTTGAATTAAACAGATGTCAAGTTCATGCCTTGTATATTGATCTTTGTAGAATTCACCTTAAATTGTGCTCATGATTCTGAATATTTGTTAGAGATTGATTTTCCTAAACCCCTCAGAGTATTTTGATTTCTCTGAAAGTTGTTAAGAAGATTAAATGCATATTTCAAGGAAGCACTGACTTGCATAATCGATACTTACTTTACATAGATATGACTTTTTTCTTTCTTTTTTTTTTTTTTACAATTTCACTATGATTTAAGCATAAAAGTAATATTTTTCTTACAAAAAGAATATAGAATCATCCAATAATTACTAAATCATCTATTATCTCATGAAGCTTGTGTCTGAAACAAAAAGATTTTGCCAAATAAGGTGTTAGATTCCAACTTTTCCATTAACCCATGTGATTGATAGCAGACCCTCTAATGTAGATGTCAAACTGAGACTTCTAGTGATTGGTTCTGTTTATAGATTGGGTATTAATCCAACCATGACCTAATCAAGACAGCTAATGGCCATTTCCTCTTCTCTTCAGAGGTTAAGGAGCTTCTTTCCAAATGTCAGTACAGGTTCCTGCAGCTGTAACTCCAGCAGTGGCTTTGATTTTTTCATGTGCTTCTCATTCTCGTTCTGATCAATCAGCTCAAATTGGGGGCAGGGCAGTGTTTTCTTCGGTTAGATTTCTCTCTCTGGGAATGTCAAATTGATTCCAATGGGATTTTCTTCTTATTAAAGAATATAATCATTAATATGAAAAAAATAAATAAATGTAGCTATCAGATGTGTAAATAACTGAAATTTTATTTATGTAAATTGTATCTCATTCTTGAAAGATTTAATGGAAATAATCCAGTGCCTTACTTTATTCTAAAAGGTTAAATTCCTTTAGAATTCTAAGTTATGTATTGCCATATACTCCGTTTAGTTATTCATCATACATGTTTTGCAACATAAATATAAAAAGCATTAGTCTAAGAATTAAATTATTATGTAAATTGGCATAGCCTTCGGAAAAGTTAAATTAAGGATGCAAGTTACAGATTCAGCTCCTTGTAAACTAAGTGCTCACTCAAGCATTCCATTTCGCAGCACTCCCAAATCATGCTCATGAATTTGCATTCTCAATTATGTATAAAGGAGCATGCTGGCTTTAATACGTCACTGCTTTAAACACTTAGCAAATCCTTCTAAGCATTCTCATACAGGCATCTGAACTGGTTATTTATTGATAATTTAATACAATATACATCATCAACTTCACAGGCTTATCTCCACAGAGAGGTAGACAGATCCACATGATCATATACCTCCAGTCAAATACCAGGAAGATCAAGGAAAAGTGATTGCGAAATGTTTCACTTTCAGAAAAAAGGGCCTTGTATTTTTTTTCGTTTTCTGTACCTGAACAAGGAGGGAAGCAATTTGTACCTGGGTATAATATTCTCTTTGCTTCGGTTTTGTATGCTCTCCAAATTGCTCACTGACGTAAGCGGAGCAGATGAAACGGCCTCCTATTTCCTCACTCACTGCAGCTGTACCTTTGTTGCCAAGTTTATTGTCCTCTTGAGAAACTACACTTTCTTCCATGATATGAGGTTGTTATGATTGAATCTTCCTATAGAGGATGTGTTGTGACAGTATTGGCTGTGTCTTTGTGATTAGGATGACTGCTCTTGTTTGAAAGGACAGTACCACAGGTCATCTGTTGTGACCATGGGAATCCTTGACCACTGTAGGGAAAAATAATGTTTTTCTCGCTTTGCATCCACAGAATCCATTACTTCTACTTAAATACCACCAACAGGTTACACAGTGTGAATGGTACATATATCCAGATATTCTTTTATCACCAACTAATGTTTTTTTATGCCCCCAGAAAAGAAATTTGTAATCTTCTATTACCAAACTAACAAAAGAAACTAATTAGTAATTTGACCTAAGAAGAAAAATAAGCAAATGCTTATATAACTTAAAATAAAAAATATAATGTTTTAACTGTGGCATTTGGAAAGTTATGTTGAAAGATTGATTGAAAAATGTCCTTATGTGTACTTGATTAACAATGTTGATATTTTTTGTTTTAGGAAAGAAATGCAGAAAGTGCAATTGAAGCATTAAAAGAATATGAGCCAGAAATAGCTAAAGTTGTCAGAAAGCATAACAAAGGAGTACAAAGAATACGAGCTAGTGAACTAGTACCAGGAGATGTAGTAGAAGTATCTGGTAAGTAGTGCTGGGAATGCATAATGGGGGATTAAGTACTACACTCTGCTTGGTGATACGAATTGTCATAGACCTAATATACACGTGTAACCACATGACAAGATTTCTAGGTGGGTATGTTCCTGTCTGAAGTAGAGAAAGGTCCCTCTTTGAGTCAAAAGTTTAGGTAGCTGATAAAGTTAAATGGTCACTATATTACATTTCTAAGACGCAGAATGTTTGTATTTTTAAGCCAGTCTTTGTTTATGAAGATTTTATTGCTAGTCGTAAGAGAAATTGGAAATATTTTCTTAGCCTGGCTACCATTTCAGAGGGAATGGATGTCTTAATATGGCTGTACTCTGGTATCAGTGCTACAGCTTACTAAGAAAAACCAAATTAAGTGAATCTATACATCTTTAAATTTTCTTGTAAGTATCCACATCTCAGTGTGTTGCTTATTTAGATTCCATACAGCCCAGCTGGACACTTTGGATCAGCATCACGTATGACTACGTACTGCATAAGAAATGCATTAGGATTGGTTGCGCTGACCCTTTTTTTATGAAAAAGTGTTTGGAATATTTTCTTTTCATGCAACAGAATTAACTTACAGGTATTGCAGGGATGGAGTATTTGTATTTATTATAGAATTAGGCGTTGCCAGTTACAGCTAAGAAAGCACCATTCACCTTTAGATTGACACCTTAGAAGTATAAGAAGCAACAAATCCCTGCGATTCCCTACTGTTTGCCATATAACATACTGCTTGTCTGTTATGAGAGCCATCAGTTGCCTTGCAGATTTTTTATATACCTTCACATTGACTCACCAGGGCAAAATTTTGCAACGTTCATTTGGGGAGAGGGAGGGAGCTCTTATTTTAAAGCGTAATCTGATTCCTGGTTAATTGACTTTAAGAAACACAGGTTTTAACAAGCTTGTGAAAGTAATATATATGTTAATGTAATCGCGGCATCTCTGACAGATCTCCAATTTTTTTTTCCCGTATTTGCCACAATTGATACATGTGCACACACACTCACACTTTCACACACGCACACACACTCACTCACACAGGCACACGTGTGTAGGCTCATCAATACACACCATCAGTTAAGGGCTACTTAACTGCTGTTTACCTGTGGTCAGTTTCATTGGTCAGTGATGGACGTGGTGTGGATAATAACCCTTGTCCAGATAACACACTCAATGAGTTACTGGTCTTATGGGGTGATCTGTTCATACTTCAGTCAAGACATCTGCTAGATTATGGTTCTGCTGCCTGGAGGCTTAACATTAGATCAACACAGAATGAGTTTCAGACACATTCCAGACACTACATACTGCTGACGTTCATAGGCATTTAAACATCATTAAGGAAATAAAATGGACACTTCTTAAATATAGAAAATGCTGTCTTTTTTTAGTTTGGGATTCTTATCTCTCTCACATACTCCTGATGTATGGTTGATGGCTTACCTAGAAAGGTATGCTTACTAATGTAAACATAAGTTCTGACAGAAATGTAGTTTCTAAATTTTTTTTCAGTTGGTGATAAGGTTCCAGCAGATATTCGTATTATCAGGATCCATTCCACAACCATAAGAGTAGATCAGTCTATCCTTACTGGTGAGTTAGCGTTGTTTGGTTTTTTAAATATTTAAAGTGCTCAAATCCTGTGTCAATATATATACCAGCACTCGTACTTAGTGACATCTGGTAAGACCCAAATGAACAGCATGTTCTTGAAGATCTAGCACATTGTGTGAGAGAATTAACTCACTGAAGTAATATGTTCAGGACAGTATTAGAAATATTATTTTGAATCGATTCCCATTGAGAAATAATATCAATTTTTTTAAACAGTGCTGGGACAAGCAGCATGTAGCATGTGTTTAAGAAATTAATTATTGTTATTCCTTTTTTTATATATAAATAATTGTATTAACTCCTGCTTTCAGGTGAAAGTGTGAGCATCATAAAGCACACTGAACCCATCCCAGATGAAAGAGCTGTCAATCAGGACAAGAAGAACATTCTCTTCTCTGTGAGTATTGTTGTCATATACATGCAATGCATTATAAAAGGTCTTCCTGCATGTCTGTGGTATCTAAGCTACAAATACAAAATTTCTTTTTATTTACTGACTTATTCTCATTATGATTTTTCATCTTAATTTTTTGAAATACCAAAGATTAAATAAAGCAGATTAAGTCCATGTTGGAAAACAAATAATGGCCTTTCATTGTTTAGAAAGTAATTAGCCCAATGCTGTTAGAAATTGTTTATGTTCTTTTATAGGGCACCAATATTGCCTCTGGAAAGTGCAGAGGTATTGTCTTTGGAACCGGATTAACTACTGAAATTGGTAGGTGTGGAGTTTAGTGCTGTGTATGAATTACTAGTTTTCATTCTGTGTCACTCACTTGCTAAAAATCTATGAGGCAAGCACCACTGGTTGGAGTTCAAAGGAAACTCTACAATCATATCTATTCTTTTGTTCAAAACCCTGATAAAACTTGGCTCTGTTCACTTTTTCTGTCCTCTTGAGAATGACATGATGTTTTATTGATATTTTTGCTTGCAGCTGAAGATATGTCAAATGTGAATTGCTCATCTGTCATGAGAAAAAAAATTCATATTAATTTTGCCCAGCAAACGTCCTTACTGTGTTATAAGTTTTAACCTCAGTTATTGATCTGGTCCTGGCGATGGGCTATTCTATCTGTCAAATGTATTTGTGGTGGCAGCAACAGTTGATGGACTTTTCTTATTCATTACTTTTGTGGCAAGGACTTGCCATGTGTTTTTTTGCTTTACCTATGTAATGTTAGAGATTCAAAGAAACCTGCAGCCTTGAGAATATAGAAATATGATCAGATTACCTCAAAACACAGGCATAATATACTGTTGAATTGGAGATTTTTCACTCAGTTGCTGTCACTTCCACCTCCCACTTACTTCAATAAATTAATTGCAGAGAGATCACATAAACATGTACACTGTACGAGAGAACATCCCCATGTAGAAGATAACACCACTTCAAACAACTGAAAACCAATGTTTTTTCTTTTCAACCTCAGAAAAACAATTGTTTTGCATTTAGTAATTCCACAATGGCAGGTGTTTGATGAATAGCCCTTTTTTTACCTGAGGGCAATCATCCGTTGCTTTCTATTTAAAAGAACTGTTTTATGATCTTATTGGAAAAAGTTGTCAGAACATGATGAATCCAGGCTGATTGGGCTTAGATGTTAATCTTCTGTAGGGTTGAAATAAAACAAGTAAATGCCAAGTGTCAGTAAGATTTACCATAGGCAGCTTTTATTTGTTTGGCTACAAGGCCTCGGGGGGGGGTGTTTAATTAACAAAGTCCGAAGAGGCTTTCCAAGATTTGGGGAATGATGCGTGATGTGATGGTTTGTAGTCATCTTTTTGAAATCTAAGATGGAGAAAATGTCATCATTCTGTTCATGGTTGACTTAAGAATAAAAGAGCAACAAAGAACTCTTTCAAGGTTTTTGTCTGTAAAAAAGGGGGGAGGCATAATTGTATGTGGGGGATTTAGGACCAGATTGGAAAAAAGGAAATTATTAATAGAACCTCAGTTCTCCTTTAGTTTTCCCCTCAGGCGTATCTCACTAAGCATCCTCCCAAAACAGATCTGATCATTCAATGGCTTGTCTGTGGAATGGAGGCATGGTGTAAACCAGCCAGCCCTCACTTCAGTAGACTTCCACACCTGCTATGCTAACAATAAAACATAAAGGTTGGATTACACAACCATTCAGCATTAAAGCTTTACTATTTTTGTGTCCTTTTCTTTCATTAGAGAACACTTTTGTTAGTACGTTATATTCTTTTAAAAAAGCAAATAAAAAATTTAGATCTTCAATACATTCTTTATATGTTTAGCTCACATGATTGGTTTTTGCGATACAGCTGCTGTATGTCCTAATTAAAAAAAAAGTGTAACAAGCTCTGTCTATTTGTGGTTGTTAAATTTCAGTGACACATTTGGATACCTTTTCAGTTCTCTAGCTGTAATGTGACAAAGAACCTCGATGTTAATAATACATCTTCTGTATTGCTCTCCATCTCGACCATGTCAACGATGACTTGATATCGCTCAACTTCGTTCCCATTGGTCATGCCCTTCTCACTTTAAATCAAGTGTATTCCCTTAACCTAATGCTTTGATGATCACAGTATAATCCGTGTAATGGACTTCTTCCACCTGACCAAACAACTCTCATGAATTGTGGTGAGCATACAGATATGAAGTCCAGAATTATGTCTGTGTAATAAGACTGCAATGGAGAAAAATGAAGGTTATAGATGTATGTTATATCACTGGTAACAGTTGTGAAAAAAGTATGAAAAGGAAAAAAGGTGCACAGTCTTGAAATAAGGAATGCAAACTGATGCTCACAAGCTGATAATGCATCTTAAAAGAGCATGTTAGAAAGGTCCATTACTAAGGCATCTTTACACCAATACATTAGAATGAGTCTAAAGGCCTGAAAACATATAAAGATTAGACAAATGTGGCACTGCAAAGGTTGTTCTTAAGGTTGGTAGTTTTATTACCTGTATCAGATTGACCATGCTGTGTATCTTTGCTGGCACAGCCCTATATCAGGCAACTGTCAAATACATCATACCTACCATTTATTTCATAGGCCTCTATGTTGCCTTGTGATATATAGGGGATGGAGGATATAGATATACCCTTGTTGAGCCCAGGCTATAGACAACTTAAATGCTACCATCTTTTATTTCAGGCATCAAAGCAATATCATTAGGAAAAAGCATTTTAGAAATGAGAGGAGAAAAAAAGAGAAAGGGAAAACACAATTACATGGATTGAAACTGCTGTAATGAACTACATTGTGTTAACCATTTAGCACAAGCCCTCTGCTTTTGAGCCCAAAGTACCTTGATTTGAATTAATAAAGTGAAGTGCAAATTGTTGGCCTTGTTCTTGATATAGCTGCTTTTTAATGATATAAAATTTATCACTTAAGTTTTGCTTCTTTCACCCTACTTTCAGGTAAAATCAGAAATGAAATGATGGACACAGAAACAGAGAAGACACCACTGCAGCAGAAGTTGGATGAATTTGGAGAACAGTTGTCAAAGGTAATTGAGGAAAGGGGTGGGGGTGGGTATAACACAATAATGCGGTAGGTGTGACAGGGAGACGGGTAAAAAAAAGACACTAGATGTCAAGGGCATTCACTTGAAACATTCCAGGAGAGGTGAAGCTTTTACCAAAAATTATGTGAGACATACAAACTGCTTGGCCTGGAAAGTGGATGGCTTGAGTGCTACTTGGTTTACTGCGGTGAGTTTAGTGCTGCTGCTCTTCACAGAGGCAGGTCTGCAGCTGCTTCATGGAAGCTTGGAATCTCTCCCTCTCCATGCCAGCAATTAGAGGGTTTATTTAGGGGTAAATGAGAAAGCTGACAAACGGGTGGATTAACACAACTGAGTAATCTGATATCTTTTTCCTTGCTGTGCACAGAGGTCTCAGGTGTGCAAGATTTGCTGCTAAAAGCTTCCAGATAAATTATAGGAGGATCCTGTGTCATTACAACAAAGTACTGTGAAGTCATATTGATCTTTTTGATTAGAGAAGTTCAAGTCCAGAAGGTAATCCCTGGATTCCCGGAGAGCCCTCATCTCAACACCACAGTCCTCAAAGCCCTCTGCAATTAAAGTACAGGCAACCCCCTTTACTTTCCTCTACAATGCATCTCTCTGGTAAATAAAGATATATGAGACAAAAAGATTTTTTTGATTCTCTTTTTATGTAGGTTTATTATTTATTTATTAACATAATTACCTTCAAAAAATGAATTAAATTTAAAAAAAGGAATAGAATAGATAAGACAGAATAAAATGAAAAACAAAATTACATGTGAAAGAAAATAAACTAAAAAGGATAAAGGTAACAGGTAGAAAAAAAGAAATCCACACGTTCCCTCCATAGGTATCTGTGATGCCTCACCCACGCCATGTTAGCTGGCTATATACATCCTGTACCAAGGTGGAAAAAAGGAAGAAAAAGTGAAACTAAGAGTTGCAGTGTTTATAAGATTTCATGTAACACCATCCCAAATGCTGTAAACAAATTTAACGGTGCATAATTGGAGGGTTCCTTCTACTTCTGTAAAGCAGGGAGGCAGAAAGATGGCTGGGACTCTGAGAGTCCGTGGTAGTTCCCTTCCTCTTTCCCTTTCTCTCTAATTAAGATAGACTGTAAAATTGTCTGTCTAGACATTATCATTTTTCCTAAGACACTAATTACACTATATGAGTATGGATACAAAGCTGATAATACTTTGGTTTTCAAGGGCAGAGGATATCTGCTGCATCTAGGAGCTAGTTCATAACCAGTCTCAACTTGGGCCAGAAATAAGCACTGACTGATATTTCCCGATAATCTTATGTTCATATATACATGTCATGTATATATGAACATAAGATCATGATGATCTCATGTAGGTTTTCCCATGTTGTATTCAAGTCAAAAACCCCAGCTTAAGCCATTGGTTGTCTGTTGAAATTCTGTTAGACTAGTTCTGGTTCTAAGTTAGACCCACTTTGAACACTGCTCTACTCCTCCTAGGGGTTACACATATTACAGGTATGCTCACAGTGGGGATAATGCTGCATACTACAGGTGTTAGTATTAAACATGAAGACTGTGTATGGGAAAGCTGGAACACTTCCCCAACCAACAGCTGTCGTCTTTCTTTAGCTGGAGAGAAGTCTGATTTATCTGGCAGAATAACGTCAGCTACCAGCTCAAGTCGTGTTTAGTTGGAGATTAAAAGTACCTTTTCATGCGGGCAACCACAGAATGTTGTGTACAAAACCAGAACCCAGCGTAAAGGAACACATTGAAATAATTTTACTGGACAAAATAACTTCTGTGATGTAATTAATTTCAAATGATTGTGTAAAGTTCCATCTAGCCAATGTATGCTTGTTTGATGGTTATGTAGTTTTACATTAAAAAATGCCATTTAGTCCAGAAGTTGCCTTCATTTGTTGAGTAACTATTTATCTTTGGCAGAGTGGATCATTCTGTTTGGATTTAATGAGAAAAAAGCATATCTATAATGAAAAATGAAAGACCTGTATCATTACCATCTACCATGACAAATGGGTTATGTAGTGCAGTGACATTCTCAGTTTCACTCCGTTAGACTGGCATGGGAAGACATGAATTGATCTGTGTAATCAGCTCACCAAGCTGTGTGTATGATTTGCATTATTCTGATTTCCTCAGTTTTTTCCTGGTTTTGCTGGCCTTCGCTTTTCACATGTTGTACTTCTAATTTTAGCTTCTGAAAGCAAGTTGAAAAGAATACGGACTGTTGCACACATGTTGTAGAAAAACATGTGGCAATGAATTCATTGTGGAAAATCACTTTCACACTATTCCCCTAACCCCCACCCCTGTTCCCATTTGTCAATATGACTATTTACGTTGTGCAATTTCTACCAAAAAACTTAAAAGCAAGATTGGATTTTTTGCATCTAGTTGAAATATGTCAAGAAATGGTGCTAAGAAAAGCCCAGGAAGGCAAGTGTTAAGTACATAGTAGATAGCTTGGCTGCCCAGCTAGGCTGCCCTGGCATACGCAGGTCAACAGGTTCTCCTCGTTACTCAAAGTTCAGCCTCCTGGTAAAACGCATTAACTGCTGTGATGAGGAGAGGAAGAAGCTCCACCAAACCCTTCACGTATATCTGAAGCAAGATTTCCCTGTATTGAAAGATGCCCTTAATTGACTTTCTGGTTCTTGACTTAATAACATAATATAGATACTTTTTCGAGTTAACATCCAATTTGCATCAGGATGATTGAATCTGCTTTTGGACATTCTATTGATTTCAAGGTGGTTTTCTGATGGTATTTTCAGCCAAGACTGTTAGACTTGACTCATGATGTAGGCTTGGGCCCCATTCCTTCTGACACCATCGGCCTACGTGGATTTACCCAGCTCTGCAGGACTCACTGACTTCAATCAGCTGAACTGAATGACACACTTCATTCTAGCCTTAAGTAGAATCCAGAAAAGCTGGTTATTATATATGACTTTGTTGGGAAACAAAAAGGGGCGTGTCATTCAGTTAAACTGATTGCACTTAGCGAGAGTCTCCATTGAGTAGGATCAATCTATGTAGACCGATAGTTCATTGGGAATGAGCCCTTAGACTTGACTTGAGATGTAGACTTTGATTATTTATCCCTATATTGGTACCTCCCATGGACAAGGGTGTCTAAGTGCTAGGTAAACTGTGGCTGTTGACTGGGGGCGGGCTAGAGGAACCTCTCCTGCCTCAAAGGGTAAATGTTGAGAGAAAGTCTGGGTATTTTTAGCAATCTCTGCACACCTTATATCACAGTGTATATAGACTTAAACATTATTTTGCCTCAATTAGTCCCCACTTTACACTTGAATATACAGATTTGGATTCCCAATAGAGTGATAAATATTGAAAAGTAATAATCTGCTTAAATGCGGGCTGTAGTATTAACTGTTAAACACTAGGAATATTTGCACTAAGCATCTATATTTCTTTCATTAAAAGCTTGATGTTGTTATGAGTTTTGTTATGGGCTTATAAAACTAAGTTAACAATGAGTATGTTGAGTATATTATCATATCAGTGTTCACAGGTGCATAAAAGGATATTATATTGGTAAAGAACATGGGGGAATATAAGTGTGCAACTTATCACTGATTTGGTAAAAGAAAAATATTGATTTAAGAAAAAGGGAAAAATGCAGTTATTTAATCCTGTAACATCCTCTAAATGAATGGGATTTTTGCATCAATTTATCACAGATTTGACTCAGTCTAAGCCCCATGACACTTTCACTACAGTGCTAATGCCTTCCCAGTGTGCTTCTCACTTTACTTCTCTTTGCATTAAATTTGATGTTTGTGCCAGTGCTGAGAAGTAGGATATTTCACCAAGGTAAAAGGAAGTTGAAATGTCAGGGAATTGTCTACTTTATTTAGAACTGTATTCCACTGGTATTCCCTTTGGCAAAAAAAAATATATCATAGGGTTTCAGAAGTGATAAAATGTGTTGAATGCTGTGAATGCTAGCTTATGTATACATGAAGCTCCTTATTTGAAATATACTATTGAATAAACTATGGCTGTACTAAAGCTGATCTCTTTATGACATATAACAAAAAAAAAATAGTTAACCAGTCATAAACCTCCTAAAATCTAGACATGGTGTTTTTGCATTATAAAGTACAACACTTCATGCTTCTTTTCTAGTTACATTCCTGCTTTAGCATAAAGGCGTATATTGATAAAGATTTAGGGAAATTAGTTAACCAGTCATAAACCTCATAAAATCTAGACATGGCATTTTTTTGCAGTATAAAATACAACACCTTATGGTTTTTTTCTCGTTACATTCCTGCTTTAGCATAAAGATGGATATTGATAAAGATTTTGATTTTATTTCCAGGTGATCTCTATTATCTGTGTAGCTGTATGGGCCATCAACATCGGTCACTTCAATGACCCAGCTCATGGAGGCTCCTGGCTCAAGGTAAGGATGCTGAAAGAGAGAAAAAAGTCATTTGCAACAATCAGTCCATAATATGAATATTCCAAAAATATTATTTTAAATTATAAGTATTAAAACAGAATCTAGTTATAGGTTATATTGCACAGATTGATTTCAGTCCACTCCTGGACTTGTCAAAGGTCTAAGCAAGGACCTTTTTGAAAAAAAAAAATTCTGGCCTTTTTTGTCTGTCCTGTAACCGTTCTGTATGATAAATCTTTATACAATTCAACATATGGCAGTTTGTGGGTGGGTTGTCCAGTATTTGACATCTTATGATTTTCTCTTGATACTTTCCTTAAACTGGGGTCTGTCCAAACTTGAGGTATTAAAAGTCAGGAGTGGACTATATAAATACATTCAAGATATTATTTACTTTGGGCTATATAATGTCAGATCTTTGGCCCAAAGATCTTTACAAGGTAAATGTTACTTTACAGATTTTGTGGTAAGTTTATGGATATCTGTATAAATTGTCTTGTTAATTGTTTTGGGGGAAAAACCTTGATATGAGATTTCATATGTTTGAAGTAGATTATTCCATTAAAATTCTCACGATCCCTGCTTCTTCAGAAGATATTCAGTAATTTTTAGTCCACTTAAACTCCCCAAAATATTGGAAAATATGCTTGTCTTGCCAGCATGAACTATGGTAGACTCCCTGAATTCTGCAAAGAAAAGCCAGTAAAAATATAAAAAAAGAGGGCTCCTGTGTCCCAATGATGATATTGGCATGTGACAACTTGGATGCAGCTGGGTTGCACTGTGGGATTTCCACTGCTAAGTTTGATGCTGATTTATCGGCACATTCAATATTTACTGGCTTTTCCTTCCAATCTATGATACTCTGGATACAGATAAGGCATGTCATGTAGTCTAAAGTTTCCATCTATTTTGGTGACCGCATGCGTGTTTCCAAAGAATTGTGATCTATTCACTTAGGATTGCTAATCATTTGAGATCAATCTTGCTTTAGATTTGATATCTTTTCTTAAATCAAAGGTTACCCTGTAATCTGATTTGATCTGAATGCCTTGAAATAGATTACCTTCACTTATTTGACACCCCGATCACACTTATTTTTCACATTATAACAAACACGTACAAATATATAATGGAAATAGGAACATTTCAGCTACATTTTAAATGAAATCCAATTTAAAAAACCACACATGCATGGCATTGTTCAAGTAATTAATTATGAGTACATGAAATATATGAGTTCATACAGTAATGAAATCTGAACATTAGAAGAGGTCTTTGAGCATGATTTTCTAGACTACATATAGTACTTCTAGTACTGCATTTTCTGGGAGATGGTAAGCAGCATTCCTTGTTTGGTATTGCAGTTTTCACCCCCCCCCCCCAAAAAAAAAAAAAAAAATCTTTTTGTCTAATTAAGAACAGCAAAAATTGTATTTAATTGATGCTCATTATATGAAATTATCCTAATTTTTATAACTATTTGAAATTAATTGCCCCCCCCCCCAAAAAAAAAAAAAAGAAGAAAGGAAAAGAAAAATAAATAAAAGAAAAATCAAGGAATGCTGACTATTCTCTCTCTTGTTTGTCTTTTCTGTGCACTTTTCTCCATGTTCCACAATGTCCCACTCCTTTACTTTGCAGGGAGCTATCTACTATTTCAAGATTGCAGTAGCTTTGGCTGTGGCAGCTATACCTGAGGGCCTTCCAGCTGTTATCACTACATGTCTGGCTTTAGGTAATAATAACTGCTCTACTGTATGTGTATACCTACCATACATACAGTTGGCTGGTGGTATATCAGTTATACTGCACAGGTGGAGGGGGATCAGGAAGGAATCATATAATTCTATTGATAATGATGATGATGGCAGAACAATACAATACAGTGCAAAGCAAAAATTGAAACCTTAGGCATGTTTCTTTCTTGAATGAAATCCTCTTGCCTTTTGTTTAAATGTGAAGTCTTTCTTATTATAATTGGTGTCCCACAATTTAAAATGTCATGCACACTTCATGCTCACTGAAAATAGCACATTCAAGACTCTGTAATGTTTGCCTGCAGCGGAGTTTAATGTTGTACCATCATTGTCATTGAAGAAATGATTCCACCTTCCGTATCACCACAGTGACTGATGACTTGATTGATGTTTTTGCTGTTGTTCCAGTTTATTTTGTGATTTGAAATTAAATCGATTGTGCCTTGTTTTTTTTACCTGTTGTTCCACTAGGGCGGAATCTACTACTTTAAGATTGCGGTGTCCCTGGCTGTGGCTGCCATCCCTGAGGGGCTCCCAACTGTTATTACGACATGCTTGGCGTTAGGTATACCCATAGCAAAGAACGCTGTGAATTGGGAATATTTTACAATGAGTCTTGAATGCCATGTTGAATACTTTCTTAGATAATGGAACGGACTGCAGCTTGAAAGCATATAGAATCAGAGTAGTTGCTGCACTAGAAAACAGTATATGGGACCATTCCCAGACCCTCTCGTACTAACTGTGGATTGATATATCTCTGAGAGGATTCTCACTAAGTTGCGATCAACTTAAGTGGCTAAGATGTCTGTCAAGCCTACTGAAGCTGCTAAGGGGTAATTAATTGTTGTTTAGCAGCTTTAGTAGGCGTGCCAGACATCTAAGCCACTTAAGCTGAAAGCAATTTAGTGAGAAACCCCTCAGAGATGGATCGATCCTGTTGGAACGATCTAGGTATGGGAACCCAGTCTATATGATGCCATAGGAAGTATGAGGACAGCTCCTATAGCTGATGTACACACTTTTGCCATATTTCCTCTATAGTCTCATATTTCAAATTTGCATATCTGCTTTTATTCTGGTAGATAATCATAGAGATGACAGGTTTTTCTCAATCAGATATTTTGAGTATTTTTGGATGTTGATTTGCATGGTTAAATGATAAAAGTTTTACCTGTTCATGAATGGAAAGATGTGGAAACTACACAAACTTTTGAATGGGAGGGAATTTTTGGGCCAGAAAATTTATAAGTGCTGGTAATTAATCATGAAAAAGTTTATCACAAAACAACTACTACATCGGGAGCTTGGGGAAGTAGTTATCCATTTTCACCACAGATATACAGAAATTAGAATCACTTGTTCCATGTAAAAAAATAAAAAGATGATATTTTGAAGAATGCCTATCTAGAACCGGTAACTTGTTTTGATAGCTGTCTTCTATAATATATAATTTGTTTGGATAGAAACCCTGCTAAAGCTTCAAAACCTTGTTATGTTATGCTTTGGCTTGGTTTGGTTTGGTTTGGAATTTTGTGTGAAGTGTGGTTTACCCAAGCCCTTTCATCCCCTCACCAAAATTGAGGTATATTTCTTTTCACAGAGTGGTTTAATTTTGTTTTATAGGAATTTATTTCCTTATGGTTTTGTTTTATAGGGATTTAATTGCATGGCAGATAAATGAAGAAGCAGATGAGAAATATGTTCTTTTCTAGTGTTAAATAGTCAAAACAGTTAACATCCACATTGTACTCACTACAATCAACCAGTCACAGTTTTCAAATAAACTCTTTGTCCATATTCCAATAACCATTAAACATTGAATACAAACTGTAGCATTTTAATTGTATATTTGTGTAATTTTTTTTAAATTTGATTTTTATATATAATATGTGGTTTGAATTAGCATATTGAAAGCTACCCCATTTGGGAACCATTATGTCAGTAGAATTAATACTTGTAAATGAAATTTTGTTAAGGCCAAATATTCCTAAGAGTTTAGTGCAAAACAGTAAAGATAGAAATATGTATCTGTACTATAAACACTCGTCTGAAAATTAAACATTGAGATGGAACACCCAGATTCCTATAGCTTCAATAGTGATGACTAAAAAAAGAGACTGACGATAAAATTGAGAATAAATTTGACAATAAAATTGAGAGTAAATTACATTGCCACTAACTTATGATAATCTATAATATTGTATGATGCTGTTCTGTTACCTCCCTCTGCATGTTCTTCCACTACCCTCCCACAGGTACAAGGCGTATGGCCAAGAAGAATGCTATTGTGAGAAGCCTGCCCTCTGTGGAGACCCTGGGCTGTACCTCAGTGATCTGCTCTGATAAGACTGGTACCCTCACCACCAACCAGATGTCTGTCTGCAAAGTAAGGGTGATTTCAAGTCATCATTTAAAAGAAAAAAAATCCAGACAGTTTAATTTTTTAACATGGGGTTTAGAATTCTTAGAAGGGTGAAGAAGGGGATTCATGTGATCATTCGATAGATGTCATTCATCCATATTCTTGTCTAAGCACTTGTTTAATTTTTATTATGTATTTAAGATTGAAAAAAATTCCATTGAATTACACTGGCTTAACTCTATTTGGGAAATGTAAAGTGCTCTTATGTGATGATCTCTGTCACTTAAAATTAATCATAAATGTATTATTTTAAATCAATTTATTTCACTCAAAGCCATTCATATCATCATTTTGTCTTTTGCAGATGTTCATTTTTGACAAGGCTGATGCTTCAGAAATTTCAACAACCCACTTTGAAATCAGTGGCTCCACATATGAACCAGTAGGAGAAGTGTAAGTGTCATTGAGTTGATTATAAATAGCATGATTCAGTTGTCTGCAGATATGTACTCTTAAAACATGTATTGCATTACTTATACTGGTCTAGTATGAGCATATAAATTCCTCGGTAGCTAACCAGAAGACACATTTGTGTTTCCCTATTAATGTTGGCACCATCTTCATGTGTGCCGCAGTGAAAATAGACCATAAATTGAGACTTCGTAATTTTCTTAGCTTGCTGTCTCACTTAGTTTGATCGGCAGTTGGTGTCTCTAAGGGCTTTTATTTTGGATTTATTGCCCATTAAGAAGCAGGTTAGTTAGCAATATGTTTTGACCTAAAAATCAATGTTGAGTGCGCATGGCTTCCTCCTTGTACTTATGGACATAATAAATGTTGCTGTTTGCAATTCTGTAGGTGGCATAGCATGTGTAAGAGCAGCTAAAGCACTCGTAAATAATGATGATATTTCAATTAGTGACAGTATGTTTTTGTTTTGGTTAACTGAAAGATAGGACTGCTTTAAAAAGACTCACTTTTGTTCTCTCAATTAAATATAATTCCTTTTTTTAATAGAAATTAAAAAAAAACATTTAACAAAATTTTTCCACCTGTTCTCATACACTGCGTTTCATGCGCAAGCACCTGTTAGCAGATTCCCTGAAATTAATTAATTGTGGCTGATGGCAGGTGTACCCAACACTCAAATTTTAGTTGCACTCAGTGTAATAATTTAGTGTGACTACAGTATGTGAAAGGTTGGAGTGTGAGTTCAATCTTACTCTTTACATGTTGGGAGTGGCCACTCGGTGAGTGCTAGTTTGTACTCAGCTAGTGTCAGTGTTAATATGCACCTATATATGATAGGACTCAAGTGCACCTTGCCAAATGGCATCAATCATTGGGAAAGAAGAACATTTGCAGCAAATCCCATGATGATCTGATTAAAGCAGTCTGAATACATTTTTAAATAGGTTGACAGGTAATGGACAAGTGCATTACATGTATTTAGAGGATGGACAGGAAGAGTAAAGCAGAATGGAATTTGCGTTTGATCAGCACTGAGTAATTTATGACAGTAGATTGATAAAATTTATTTTCATCTTTAGGTACTTAGACAACCGTCCTGTACACTGTGCAGACTACCCAGCCTTGCAGGAGATGGCCACCATCTGTTCTCTGTGCAATGACTCCTCAATTGATTACAATGAAGTAAGTGTCATTTGTGTCTTTTCTCATTTAGCTGTGCTCAATTAAAAAACCTCTGTTAGATAGTACATGTATATCTACTCTCTCAAAGGAAATGTTATGATAAAAAAAAATCAATAAAGTTAATGTTGGGTGTATAAAATTTTGCCCCCTGGTCACTTTAACCCCCTTAAGGATTACATAGGTGTAAAAACTGAAGTAACCATCAGTTCATTTAAACTACATAATTTCCACCCACAGACTAAACAAGTGTATGAGAAGGTTGGTGAAGCCACAGAGACTGCCCTCAGTGTTCTGGTGGAGAAGATGAACGTGTACGGCACCAACAAAGCTGGTCTCTCCAAGAAGGAGGCTGGAATGGCATGCAACCACGTCATCCAGAATGAATGGAAGAAAGAGTTTACTCTGGAATTCTCACGTGATCGTAAGTCCATGAGTGCCTACTGCTTCCCCAATAAACCCACTAGACAGCAGGATGGAGCCAAGATGTTTGTCAAGGTGAGTGTCAGTTGACAGCAGGGTGAATGTGAAGTCAAATGGCAGTGACTGCAGGTCAGTGTGGCCAAGTGGTTTCATTCATAATGGTTGTTCCTATGGAATATCATGGTTTATGTTGGTCCCTAAGATGATTAGTTGGTCACATTTTAGATTAAAAAATTACTGAATATATTCGATTGAGCTAGACAAATATAAAAATGAAATTTAAAAGCAGTTATGAACAAGATTAGAGATTAATATAAAACTAATGAATAAAGCAAATTAAAACTTTTAAACTGATGCTTCATTGTTTTATCCCAGGGTGCCCCGGAAGGAATTCTGGAGCGCTGCGAGTATGCTCGCGTTGGCTCAGAGAAGGTTCCAATGACTCCAGCTATCAAAGCAGAGATCATGAAACACTGCAAGACCTATGGCACAGGTGAGGTAGCATGGTGGGATTTACTAATATAAAAAGGTATCATGGTAGTTCACTTCAAACATGGAAATATTAGAAGAGAAAAGCATATTTCAGATGAAGATTGATTTTTAACCTTATGGTTCATACACAAAGTCAGTTGGTTTTCACACATTATGTCTGTTCTTTGTGAATCTGTTCAGTCCTGAATTCTTCTCACATTCTTGGGAAGCATACAAACCAAGCTGCTGAAAATGTGGCTCTTGGAGTGGAACTGATGAGGTGTCTGGATAATGCCGCCAAATCGTCTTAAGACGGATTGGCCAAACAGACATTTCAAATTAAAATGGGCATGATTTGATTTTGAGAACATAGCCAGGAAATCTGTTTAAGCGGCATTCCAAATTGAAGTATCTTCTTCTGGGGGTTGTTTCCCCCTCAGGGCAGTAAGGTATGCAATTTACAGAGAACTTGAAGGTATTAGTTTTGATAAGATAATTTGAACTAAGGCAGGTAGAGCTGCTAAAAATACAGCCAAGACCCTTTGCAGGATATCAAATTGCTTCAAATGTGCTGTTTGGGTGAACGTGCAGGGAAAAAAATTAAAGAAAAGATTGTGCATTTCATCAGTGGTGTATTTCATTCACTTTAAGTCACTAGTTTTTTCCCCCCATGAACAGCCTTAATTTACATATATATTATCTAATTATCTTAAGACTTTCAGTCTTTCTGGTAACCTCCTAGGGGATTGAGGCTACAACAACTGAAAAATAAGATTTAAAACTCTGAGTGAATCACTGTGTTTGAAAATTGGGTTGTTTTGTGTGGTAAATTGACAGTAATGAAGGTATGTACATGAGGGATTAAGACTTACCTTGTTATCTTTTCTGAGCAAAAAGTTGTTTCAGACTTCTTTTTCTTTGTCAAAGTTGTTTCAGATATAATAAAGGACCATTTATCTATTGCAGGCCGTGACACCCTGCGTTGCCTTGCTCTGGCCACCATTGATAACCCACCACGCAAGGAGAGCATGGACCTGGAGGACTCCAGGAAATTCATTCAGTATGAGGTATGATGGAAAAAAAATGTCTAAAAAGAGAAAATACATAGTGGTGATATTTGGAAAATGATTATATGAGAAATAAACAACTTCCAGAGCAAAAAATGAATGAATGAATGAATTAATTAATTAATTAATTTAAAAATGTGGTAATTAGTTTAAAAAAATGAATAAATACAAAGGAGATTGAGGTATATTTAAAATAGAAGGACGTGTACTTTTGATAATACAGTGTAAAACGGAGTACTTTGAAAAAATTTTTTTTTTTCTTTCTCTAGACTAACATCACATTTGTGGGCATTGTTGGTATGTTGGATCCCCCAAGGAAGGAGGTTGTGGATGCCATCAAGAAGTGCAGAATGGCTGGTATCCGTGTCATTGTCATCACTGGTGACAACAAGGTACACATATTACTGGCAGTGAATGGACAAATAGTGTTTAATTTCAGGATTTGTCTGTCATTGTTACAACCAATGTTTTTGTGTATATCAAAATATGATGAAATGCCAATAATTGAAATATATATTACAGTCCGAAATTTTTTTTTGCAGAAAATAATTTGGCAGAGAAGCCTTTACTCACATCTTCACAAGTTGTCTTTATTACATCCTTTAGCACTTGAGTAAAGATAACAAAGCCTACATCTGTCACTTTTCCAGGCCACAGCAGAAGCTATTTGCCGTCGTATCTGCGTGTTTGGAGAGAACGAGTCCACAGAAGGCATGTCATTCACTGGGCGTGAGTTTGATGACATGAGTCCAGAGGAGCAGCGGGAGGCGGTGTTGAGGAGCAGGTTGTTTGCCAGGGTGGAGCCAGCACACAAGAGTAAGATTGTGGAGTACTTGCAGGCAGAGGGAGAAATCTCAGCCATGGTAAGGAGTTAATAATGATAACAATGGCAACTATCAGTGTTTCTGTGATCCATGATATGTTAATAGAATGGTTGTGTGACCCCACTTTAGGAGCAAAAACAAGAGTTATAAGTACATATTTACAAGTCATCTGCATCTTTGTTTGATTTCAGACAGGTGATGGTGTGAATGATGCCCCAGCTCTGAAGAAGGCAGAGATTGGTATTGCCATGGGCTCCGGAACTGCTGTAGCCAAGTCTGCCTCAGAGATGGTCCTTGCTGACGATAACTTCTCCACCATTGTGGCTGCTGTGGAAGAGGGACGTGCCATCTACAACAACATGAAACAGTTCATTCGTTACCTCATCTCCTCAAACATCGGTGAAGTGGTCAGGTATCAGTCTTGTTTAATGAGAACATTATATCTGATATATATAGGATGCAGACCTCTTTCTGAAAAATCCGTCAGTATTAATAAGTAGTTTACCTTTTACAGAAAACATTTTAAATGATGTGTTCCATAAATATGTGCATGGCCCAGACAAGATCTTATTGTTTTTCTCTGAGTCAGATTTAACCTGGTTCTTGTGATTGGACATTCCAGGTACTTGATTCAATTTGATTATGTTTTCTCATTTCAGCATCTTCCTGACTGCTGCTCTCGGCATGCCTGAAGCTCTGATCCCAGTCCAACTGCTGTGGGTCAACCTGGTCACTGACGGTCTCCCGGCCACTGCCCTGGGCTTCAACCCCCCAGACTTGGACATCATGAACAAAGCGCCAAGAAATCCCAAGGAAGGACTCATCACCAAGTGGTTATTCTTTAGATACATGGCCATTGGAAGTGAGTAACGGCTATTTGCCCCTTTACCTTTTTTTCTCTCCATTTCTTTTGCAACAGTAATTCTGAAAACCAATCCATAGATCTATTATTATCTGGTATTTGTAAGGTTTTTATTTCTTTTGGAAATGAAACATTTATTGAAATCTCAAAGGGCATGACTACTTGTTTTGAATTTGATTTGTTAAATGAGATAAAGGCAATGGCATGTATACATTTCTGTAAATCTTCACTTGCATTACCATTAATAGTCTTAAGGCATATTTTCTCAATAACAGTTTTGATGACTTGTTGCTTTAATGAATCACTGGTTTATATGAATGTTGCTCAGAGCTTTAAACTAGCTATAACAATTCATTAGTGCACTTATCAGGCCAGTGTTGTTTGAAACTTATTGTTTTATATCAGCTTTGATGGCTTACTCGGGCATCAAAAATGTGTCATGTGTACTGTATCATCACATTTCCCATTCAGTCTATGTTGGAGCAGGCACAGTGATTGCCTCAGGCTGGTGGTTTATGGTTTATGACAAGGGACCCCAACTGAACTGGTACCAGCTGGTAATGACTACATGTTATATTACAATTTATCCATTAACAACCCACACAATGAATGGAGTGCCCCACACTAATGGGACAAGTACATCTTATCAGTAGGACACGATAATGGTGATGGTGTTTTTTTTCCTTTATTTCTTATTTGTTTATTTATTTTATTTATCTTTATCATTTTGTGTCTACAGGAAAAGATGAACAGTAACTCCATGAACTGGGATGGGCAGATGATTCCCAACATAACTAACAAATGCTTTGCCCATATCTGCTTCCAGTTCCTGCAGCATGTATCGAAATCCAAGCATATTAATTCACATCCAAGATGATTCTTCTACTCCTACATCAGGAAACATTCTTGGAAGGTATTAACAGGAATGCATTTTTGCATACCAGTTAATATACCACCCACCATACACTTCATATCTTTTTTTATTTTCTAGTAAACATTGGTAAAGGGGTAATTGCCAGAGATTTCCAGCACCAGATGTCCATAAACATACCTAACACAATGTCACAATCTCAACCATTTTGTTTTAGTGTTGGTGACAGGGTTTCCACCCAGCAGGTCCCACCCTGGTGACACAAACGAACCATGGAATTCCAAGCACAACATTCCCAATGCCAACCTTCTTGGGTTTATTTTTATCAACCATTCTGTTCTCTCCAGGACAAGGATGAACCAAGCACATCTAACACAATATCACAATCTCAACCTTCTTGATTTTAGTTTATGTGGGTGCTGCCACTGTTGGAGCATCAGCATGGTGGTTCATGGTGTATGACAAGGGTCCTCGTCTCAACTACTATCAACTGGTAATAACACTTCTCTTCTTACTCACCTAGAACTGAAAGCATGCACTAGTTAGTGTAGATGGTTCAGCATTAATTTAGCAGTAATATTATGATAAACAGTAAGGTTATTTCATTGTTAATTTTTAATTTGTTTTTATTGAGGTTCAGAAAAAAATGTGTAATATGCGAACAAAATGAATTTTTGGAATTCAGTTTAAAATTCTTAAATCTGCATAGATGAAGAGAAATCTTACGCTCTTATTTGATTTTTAATTTCTGATCTTTTGTAAACGATTTTCTGACCCTCAAACTACTTGATCACTTTTGGTTTGGTATTTTATTACATTTTAGTTTTATTTTTGATTCCATAAACATGTGTATATCATGCCCATTTGTAGTGATTTGTAGTAATTTCTGTACATCTTGTCTGTTTTGGCTGTAATAATGCTATGGGTCAAAATTTTCAGAGAATACAAATAGATTTCAAATCCATTTATTGTTGTAAAAGATCTGTAATTCATGGTAAAAATTCTGGTTTGTTTAGTTGTTGTTTTGAAGAAAAGCCAATTTAAAAATCCACTCAGAAATAAGATAATACAACAGTTTAATCACAGAATCATATCTAAATTGAAGTCTTAAGATTTTATCCCATTTTTGATATCTTCAGCCCATAGCTGTCAAATAACCTTGCAACATTTTTTCTGATTCCATGCCATATTTTAGACCCACCATATGCAATGTCCAGCAGAACCAAAGAACTTTGTAGGCATTGACTGTGAGGTGTTTGAGGACCCCCATCCTAATGCTATGGCACTCTCTGTGCTGGTCACCATTGAAATGTTAAATGCTTTCAACAGGTATTACTTAGAACATTGTTAGGAAGTTGTTGATGTAAGTTACTGCTAAGCCCCAGTGTTGTGTTGTGTGGTATATTATAAAATTTTGAATGGATTACAGGTAGGTGGATCAAACACAACACTGGGGTTTGGTTATATTGTGTGTAAGCTGTGCCACGGATTTTATCCCACCCAAAATATTTCACGGTGGATTTTGGTAGGGTTTTGTCCTGCATTTTCTCTGAAGTAAATTCCCTCTCCAAATTTTTTTTCTTGCAAGAAAGCACTCTTTTCACAAATTTGAAGTCTTGATTGCTCACAGATTTGAGAGTAGTATTTTGGTTGGGAAAGTCCCTTCTGTACAGTTTTTCATGCAGTTTTGCTACAGTCACAATTCAATTTTGATTTTAAGGTATGAAGAACTTGGAAAACTTGAAAGTATTCATGAACTGAATACTAAATTGTGCATACATTTGGTTTAGTTTTCATATCATTGAAATAGAAGAGAACATCTTGCCAGCTTTGATTAAAAAATAAGGGCTGTGAAATGTCATCTCCTTTAGACTGGCACTGTACTTGTCCAAAATACCAAACTCTTCTCTATACTGTTGAAATCAAACATTGGGTGGCACTGTAGCAAATGATAGGTCTTTTTTTGTCAAGATGTCCCTTTTGTTTTGGCAAAAACCTAGTGTTGTCTATACTATTTTTTGCACACAGACCCACATAGCCCAGTGCCCGGCCCAAGACGCCCTGTTCAAGGGCGTAGATTGTGGTGTCTTCAGTGACCCAAAGCCCATGACCATGGCACTTTCTGTTCTGGTGGTCATTGAGATGTGCAATGCCATTAACAGGTAAGGGGTCAAGACCGGCGGGGGGTGCTGACCAACACTGGACCCAGTAGAGTGTATAAGTCTGCTTATTAAGCAGATGGAAGTATTTGGTCTCAAAATGAGCCTGAGACTTGCTTCAAGCGTGAAGAGTTGAATTGGTGAAAAAAAAAATATAAAAAATAAATTAATTAATTAATTAAAAGAAATGGCAACTGCAGGTTTGGGATAAGGGTGATGGGTAATAATGGTCAATTAATGTATGTAACAGTAGTCCAGTATTGGTCAGTACTCACACATAGCAGGAAGTTGAGGCACTGGATGTTTGTTTGAGTATTAGCAGATTACTAGACAGAAACAACAGTAATGTTGTAACTTTTCTACAACTGCGCAGATCTTCAGCAGGTCTTCTCGTAGGCATGGAGAATCTCTCTTTGAATTGATTAATTCCATGATCCATGTGCAGACTAACTTCCTGCATGGTGAACAATGGTTAAGTCAGCAGTAGGGGGCAGGAAAACTCGGGTTCAGTAAAAAAAAGTGAAATATTGAATTATTTTAGGGAAGATAGTGAAAGGCTGTGATTCTATAAGGGGATATTGGTTGAAGGGACAAGGCTTTTGGAGCAGGAAAAGGAACTTATATCTTGAAGCGTCCTCTTTGAGATATTCTTTGTTTGTTTATTGTGGTGATGGTGCCACAGAATCTATTGCTGACTTCTCCATTCTTGCCCAACATGACCCCATACTTGCTTATGCTTTGTTCACTTTCCAGTTTGAAGCTTTTTCCAAAAGTTTCTTTGAAATTGATAGCATTGTTTTGCTTGCTGTTGCATCTAGGTTTTAAAATGTATTGCAGGATTTTGTTGCAATTTTCTCAAAATGTCAAAACTTGTATTTGTGTTGTGAAATATCACATGAGACACTATTTATATTTGTAATTTTTGAGAAAATTGCCCTTAATACCAGCATTTTTTCCCTTTGTTTTGCAGTCAAATAATTTTAGCATTTAATTGTGGTCATTTTGTTGCATGTTTTATTCCATAATTGAACATATTTTAGATTTGGCACATATTTGTATAAATTTTTTCACCATTGTTTGATAAGATTAAAAACTTCACCCTTGTATTTTCATCTCTGTTGAGAATTTAAGAGCATGAATATTTCCATAGTCCTTGCACTTCATGCTGTACACTTGTTAAAAAGTTTCTCCCAAGTCTCATGTTCATTCTTGTGCTCAGTTATTTTTTTAACATAACTTGATTGATTTGCACAAAATGACCCCAGTTTTGAGATTTGTTCATTTTGCTTCACAGTTATGTTAAGTTCCATCTTCGAAAATTTAGCATGCACCAAAATGATTTTCATAATGTTATTTCATTTATTTATTTTAGTAATCATTTTCATCAGGTTTTAAACTCTGTACTGTATTGATCCAGTTTGTCAATGCTAAATGACAATTTCTTTTGTTACAATGTTTTTCTGAATGAAAATCCTTAAAAAGTACCAATTGGTCTATAAAAATTATTAATTTCTTTTGTAATACATATTGCATTTTCATATTACTCTTGGTAAGAAAATTTATGCACATTTTCCACTCATCAAAATTATCACTTCTCATAAACAATCTACCCTCCATTCTCCCATTGCTTGCCTGGGTAAACAGTCAGGATGAAAACAGAGTGTTTTCTGTTAATAACTTTATTTCATTTTGCTTCTTTCTACAGCCTAAGTGAGAACCAGTCACTGATGTTGATGCCCCCATGGTGTAACATGTGGCTGATGGGAGCCATTCTTTTATCTATGTCTCTCCACTTTGTAATCTTGGAGGTAGACTTCTTAGCGGTAAGTGAGGTGTACATTGAGATTTATGGTGAAATGCTGCACTTTGGTACAATATAAATGACAGGATGAAAATGAACTTCAGTTTAGGTATGAAAGATACAGAAGGGAGGATGCAACACTCATTTTGTCCTATTTCTGTAGAATTTGCCATGAGATCAATTTTTTGCACAGCCAGTTTTCATAATATGACACTTGAAAGTTCATATTCTAGATTATCCTCATAAAGCATATATTTGTGAATCAAGAAAAAAAAATTCACTGATTAATCCTTCAGAGGTATTTTCATGCAAGAAACTCATTCATGCTGATTTTTCCTTTTATTTGCAGACCGTTTTCCAAATCACCCCTCTGACGGTGGAAGAATGGATGGCTGTACTGAAGATATCAATCCCAGTTATTATATTGGACGAAACTCTTAAATTTGTCGCCCGTCGCTTCACTGATGGTAAAAACCCATTGCTTGGCCTGTGTGGGATTGTTGGCGTGTGGGCTGTGTATATAGGACTTGTTATGAAAAGTGTCATATAGTACATCCTCCTGTTCATTTCTACCTCCCAGTCATAGAGCTTGGTAGACTCTTATATCTTTGTGGGGACCAAATTTGTGTTTCTCATTTTATTTTTTTTTCTTAGTATTTTACAGACTGTAGTAGTGTGCACAATGTTTGAAGTTCAAATCAGTAGATATTTGTAGAACTTGGATGTATAGTTGCATTGTCTTCATTGACTTTATGATTTTAGATATGATTTAATCTAAAGTTTTACCCATCAATTTGATTTAGTCTAAAAGGTTGAGCAATCAAGTTGATTTTGCTTTAGCTGACAAGACACAGATTTGTGCCCCATCTTTCTTTCTGCACTTATCAGGGATTGGTCTTCACCTGAAACAGATTTGTTTTTAATTACATTATATGTTTGTCCCACCGTTTTTGTACTTGTCTTTTGTCGAGCGAACATTGACCAACTAATCTTGCATTGGTACTGTTGGGAAGCATGCTTTCAATAGTTGATTGACACCCAGTGTTCTTAATACTGCACTACTCGGCATTAGAATCGCAAAGTTGACAGGCCTCAGCAGGTGCTTTCCAATTTTTGAAGGTGAAAGCTAACACAAGGAGAAAATTTTATGTATAGTATTTAATCTTTGTACAGTCTTTTTTCTTTCTGAACAACATTATTCATGATTTTTTTGCCATTGTGATAAATTATTATAAAGCTGTAATGATATTTTATACAAACCACAACTGTAAGAAAAGTGATATGTTATTTATTGTGCAACAATGAAGCAACATGGGTTGGTCTAGTCTACTGAGCAAACTGGATATCACAGATTTATTATTGATTTAGGCTTTACAATTATCCTTCTAAAAAGGCTGATATTTCCAAATCTGCTTTATTGTGCAAATGTTATAAAGACTAATGACTGTTTTATCTGTAAGTCGTAGTTTCTGAAGAGCAAAGACAGACATCTTTTATGTGTAGTTTTAAAACTTTCCTGCAGGCTGAAAATATAGGTGGAGAGCCTTTAATTTCTTGTAATAAGCGTTGAAAAGAAAACTTCTGCAAGAGAAAGAAAATTGTCATGAACCTCTTGCATAGTCATTTGGCATGGCCTTACTCGACAAAGGATAATAAGTACAATCAGATATTATTACTCAGATGATAATGCATTGAGTACCACAGCTTTGTCTCTGCGTGTTCCACAAGCTCACAGAAATAGGAGCTAGGATGTTGGATAATACTCCCAAATGTTGTATTCCTAGTCATTCAATCTGCTCACAAGTTCACTGTAGTTAAAAGATTTATCTTATATTTTTTTTCATGGAATGCTTTTGTATCCACTTGGATTATAAATTAGTATTTTTAAAGGTATATTTAGGTTGAAAGGAGTACATTTTAATGTAATGGCTAAATATCATCAAGCCTATAAGTTATTTGAATCTTTGTATACCTCACTGATTTCATTCAAGTTTTTAGTTTTTAAATGACAAGTTTTGATTTTATATTTATTGGTCACAGGAGGCATTGACATAAAATACTGAGACAATGATAGAGTTTGTAGATACGTTACAATACTTGAAGGCACTTAGAGATTTCACAGTTTCCTACTTGAAACTTTCCACTTTGTTAGGAAATTTAGTGTATGTTATACATGCGAGTGTAATTTAATTTATTCAGGTGGTGCATTATGGACATTTACAATTGTAATCAAGTAATGTTAGACATTATCATGGGAGCATTTAAAATATAGGCAGTACTATGTATAGAAAAGGTTGTGTTGTGTATCACGGTTGTACAACATGGCAGTTACACATGTCAGTAATGACTTAATTGCACAGCATGTTTAAGGTAGGAGAGTTTCACAGGCACAGTTTTGAGATTAAAGTCACTCAACTGCTATTTTGCACACTTAAAGCATGCTGTAGCACACTTGACTACTGTTATAGTAGTTTATCATGTTAGATTTTCTGTTGTAGGAAAAATAAACCCACTTTTCTTACTAAATCTGACTGAGGCATGTTGTTTGTTAGTGATTCGAACATTATTGTGAAGTTTCCAGTTCAGTGGAGTTAAATGTTTGGACTTTCGCTGATGACCACCCCAAGGTTGTATATCTCCTTGGCTTTGTGAGATTTCCTCAATTAAAAGTGTGCATTGAAGCTAGTTGAAGAAAACCTGTGGATTATTTGTGTTTCACCAAAGCACCAAGTTATGTGATGATGCTCTATGGGACCAACATGGGATAATGAACAACTTCAGCACTGCACCTTGCAGAAATTGGACACGGTTTGAGATGTTTGAAGTGGACCCAAATTCTTAACATTTGTGCATTTTAACAAGTCTGTTAATGTGAGCTCTAACAAACAGGTACTAAAATTATATGGAGGTGATGAATGTATTGTGTTTCATGGTTGCCACGTGGTTGTTATATGTTACCATTGTTTTACTAATTGATCAATGATTGTTGTAACAATGACATAGATTTAGGTGAATTCTTTCCTTTTTTTCTCTTATTAAAAAGTATTACTAACTCTCCACCAATTGAACTTGCATGTGAACATGTGGCACTATTGTCTTCGTAGAACACTATACTTTATATCACTGTCTGTCATTTCTATAAGGTATGCATTGTTTAATTATTTGCACTTTCTTGTACACTCAAGCTTTCCTTTACTGTTCATTATAATGTATTTATTTGAATTTAGTAGAACATCACTCTTTTTGAACCTAAATGCTTTTTATTACAGAATTATGTTGATGATATTAAACATTTAGTGTAATAATGATCATTGTTGATTTATTTTTTTCCATGATTTATCATTTCTAGCTTTGTGAGATAATTATTAGTTGCAGTTAGTTTTGCTTTATTTGTGTGGGTTAGAAATTTTCTTTGGATTGGGTAAAGCTTAGTTTTTAACAGGTGTTTGGGTTTGACAGCTTCCATTGCTTTGACTGATGATTATTTAAGGCGTGGTGCCTAATATGGAATGGCCATTTTCTACCTTATATTGTGTAATGAACCATTTGTGTAAAGTAATACCAAGGAGAGTCCCAGTTGAAAGAAAGTAACTGATACCTTGGGTTTGATGTGAAATTGCTGTATTTGATTGAAATGCTTGTAAATTTTGCTTTTTTTGCTGTGTGAATAGCTGGCAAAGAGGATGTAATCATAACCAAACCTGTCCCCAGTCATATAGCAGGCAAGAAACACCACTGAGGTAGGGGCTGAAAATCTCCTGCATAGTTTTGCATTTCTTTAAAATAATCTCTCTTTAAAATAATCAATCTCTCTCTCTCTCTTTCTCTCTCTCTCTCTCCCTCTCGTGGGTTTTAACAGGTAAGTTTTACATTATCTTTACCCTTTGATTTGCATGTCAGATCTCTTGTATTTCTCAAACGTCATGCCCTGTGTAATGTTTAATTCAAATTAAACTTTCCACGTTGTTAACTTTGTCGTAAATTGATTTTCAACCTTCCTTACTTTTGCAGTTTATTACCCAGATTATTTCTTAAAACGGAAAGGATACTATCATTCAGAATGAAATGGCTTATCCCTTTTGAGACAAAAAATGATGAGAATTGTGATTTTGTGTGTGAGATATTTGTTTGCCGTGTGTTACGAGCAGGTTGAGATAACAGATTGAGATAAGTATTTGGATTTTTTTTTGGGTGACAACATGAAAGAATATGTGCTATAATCAAAGCATGTAAAAAATTGTTTGTTTTTTTTTTTAACATGGTGCATTTAGTCATCATTTTGAAATGAAGTTGCATGGTCTTTAATTTACTTTCAGTTGTGGGAGCTGACTGAGTACAGAAGTCACAGGATAAATGGTACTTAATTGTCTCAAATTGTCCATTCTATATCTCACTGTACCTAGCTAGGACCCTCACCCCCCCCCCCCCCCCCCCCCTCTCCTCACTGTTGAGCACTGTCCTGTATTCCAGTTCCACTATCCAGCTATCCCTGCACCCTAACTATTCCTTCTGGTAATCTTATTGTGTCCAGCTATTTGTGTCCAGTACATGTGGTAATATACTAGAACTGTCCATACTTACTATGTGTTCACGTCTCTACTCCCCTTTTTTGTAGCTGTCACGAATATGTAAACATGTGTAACCCATATGTTCACTAACCAGACATCACTTTAGAGAAAATGAACTTTTTCAAAAAAAAAAAAAAAAAATGAAGAGAATCCACAGAATTCTGAGACTTTTAATTCAATTCCAATGAGTTCTGAGAATCTTAAAGATAAACTCACAGTAGATGTCTCAAAGTAGATGTCCAGAATTTTTTTAAAAAAGCCAGATTCATGTCTGATGTGGTTTTAAAAAAGATGTAGGTAAATCTGAAGATGCACCATAGCTGTTCATTCCTACCATAATATTATGTTACCATCTCACATGTCCTTGTTATATTGTGTCCTGCACTTCCTTAACCCTTGGTCTGTTGTCTACACCTTGCTGTATCTACTGTAACACCAGTGTTGCAGAAGTGGTATATTTTATTACTTAAAATTTTAATGTATCTTCCCAGTTATTAAAGACAGTATAGCATTTTCCCTTTGTCTGCTCTTCTTTTTAACTCCCCTGTTAATCCTTTCTTGTATAAATGTCATTGTACTAGGTCACTTTCTGCTCTTTTAACCTGTGGACATGACTCCCCTTCACCTGGTCTCCCCATAGATATTCTAAGGGTGTGCTCCCAATGAAACTTTCATTCTATGTTGAGCAATCCATCTCTGCACGGCTCTCGCTGAATGCAAACAGATTAAATGAATAACATGTCTCCTATAGCAGCTAGGGAGTGATTAACTTTGTGTGCATTCGGTCACAATTAAAACAAAGTGAAAAAGCTTTAAGTAACGGAGTACATGCCATTCACTTAATCTGATTGCATTCTCAAGAGTCCTCAAGAGTTGAAACAATCCACATAGAACAATAGTTTCATTGGGAACACACTCTATGTGACTTTCTTATTGTTCCTCTTATTTGGTGCATGGCTACACTGTTTAATGTATTGGCATGGTTGTATTTGTATTTTGTTGCTGCTGAAACAATTATTTTATGGTTTTATTTTAAAATATTCAGTTTGATATTTTTATTATTGTATATCTACATATGAAGATAATGATCCTTAGAAGCTTAAATTGAGCCATGTATTTGTATATGCGTGTAAAAATCGATGACTTAAGTTCTGTATTGCTTTTCAGTCCCTATTGAAGTCAACTTTGAAAACACTGCACCACCTCCCATGAAGAAGAGATTGTAGTCTAGAGCCATATCAACGTACAGAGAGAGAAAAAAGGAGAGGGATTGGCCAATTTGAGTCAAGACATCTTTAGTTGTGGCCCAGTTTGAGTGATTATAATCTCATCTGCATTTATAGTAAACTACAAACTTTGAAGTATAGAGAAAATTAACAGTGCTACCTCCTCACAGAGCCTACTGCTTCACATTTCCTAACGTGGTCACATTATACTTTATGCCACCTATCTTTTTGTTCATATTTAAACTGAATGATGAAAAAACTTAATTTGTAATGCTCTGGGGGAGTGTTCTCATTACCCTTGATTAATTCTGCTTATACTTGAAGCACTGGTGTGAACTACAATAACCTGAGCAGCATTTATTATTGATGAAACAAATTTCAGTACAAAAAGTATTTTTGGATGTGGACTTTGTAGCGTATAACGATATGCAGCCATCATGGCTTAATTACCAGTATTTTGATAAGCTCTTTGATCTTTATACTCTTCTAGATTGGAAGATTTGTCTGTTGTACAAGACATCACTTTGCTAGGATTGTGTTGAACTGTGTCTGCAGTGCACAGTTGGCCAAGTTGATATCTATGCATATGTACATTTGCAAGGTGCTATATCACTGATCACTTTGACTGCTAGGTGCCCTTTAGTTTGAATAGGACAGAATTATCAGTGCTTCATTTTTTTTTTCAAAACACTTTTATTGTTTCTTTTATGTGGTGATTTTTATATAGTAAGATTTATTTAAGGTGATCTTTAAATTGAATATTATGTCACAGCTCCAACAGAAAGTGAGCAACCAGTCACAACTAATGTAATTGATTGCACTTAGGACAACTAACACAATCATTTTTGACACTTTCTTTTTTAGCAATACCAAATAGTTTTTTAATTGCATCACATGTAATCAATTGCACCTTGGTGGTAATGTAAAAACCCTGCCATAGTGTGACTTAATTTAAGCCATTTAGTTAAGAAAGTAGTCTATTTTATTCCAAGATTTTTGCTTGAATGTGCAATATCACCAGTTGAAAACATGCTACTTTCTAGAAGCCACAGGTTGTTAAAAAATTCTCTTATTAATGCTTTGAAGTAATTGAAAGGAAAAAAGAACAATTCCCAGGTAGGCATGTAAATATTTGGATGACTTCTAGAGGCTGTTTCTTTATTTGATTTTGCTTTTAGTTGATTTTATACAGTTGTTAAAAACTGGAATTAAAATGATCTGTTAGGCAGAAGGTGTTGCGTTTTTGTATTTAATTGGTTATAAGCACTAACAGGAGAGCTCATTTTAAAGTTAGTGTGATATTTATCTTATGCAATTATTTATAGCTGTCTCTCAAGTTTTGTAGAAATCTGTTGATATTCTGTTTCCCATAAACTGAACAGTCTGATGATAGTGCATGAATTTTATGGTTGTGAAAACTATAAACCCTTAAAAGAGAAGCAGGCAAGAGCCAGTTGATCGATATATATAATTACTGTTTGAGATTGATGAACATGACTACATTGTTCAGTAGATAAACACTGTATAGCTGATACTCTATCATTTACACAGATGAAGACAAGGGATAACTAGAAGGCAGAGTTTGGACACAACCTTTTTTCTTTTGATTTTAGACAAATTACATAATCCTTGAGGGGAGAAAGATGTATTGGTCAAGATAATTTGCATTATATACTGTGTACATTGGGAGTTCTTACACAAGTATTCATACTTTATTTGTTCAAGAAGGTGGTTGTATAGTTACTATACTCTTTTTTGACCAAAGTCATCCTTTCTGTACAGTTTGCATCTGTTTTGAAAAGTAAGGCTGTACCTTTGGTTGAACAGCATTAAAACCGAGAAATTATGAAAAAAATCATATATCTAATATGGGCACAAGTAGACTCTGTTACACCAAGCTGTTCACTCCGGGTACACAGCGTACTTCTCAAATAACATACAGTAGGAGAATATTAAAACCATTGTAAGTAAGATTTGTTTGAAGATTTTGTAATTACATTTCTTTATCCCAAAGCACAAACTGTCGGAATGTTCTCGTGTTGACGTAGTAGCGATTTCTGCCATTTGGCCAGCCCCGAGTGATTCCTACCTCATCAGTGCAGTATGATTGGATGTACGGAATCAGCCGAGGTGAACCGAATGGATTTCTGCGTGGTGTGTGGTCTCTGATTGGTTACTGCACTGTAGACTAGGCAGGAAGGTGTTTTTTGATTGGTTACTGCACATATTAATCACCTCTTTTACACGAGTGTCCTAGTTTTTGGACAGTTCAATGTGATAACACTGAAATGTAATATTTTTCTCATCAACATGGTCATGTCTTTGTACACTAATGTCTTGTAGAATTAGTGAAATGAAAATAAAAAATAGATGTTTTCCACAACTATAGTCTTCTTATATCATTTTACAAGGGAGTCGTTTACGGCACGAAGGCCCACCATGGGCTGTACATCGCTTCCATCTCGAAACAAACCAACGTAAATGACAGAGACAGTCATTATGAAGTGGTAATATACGACATCGAGAACTAACCAAAGAAAGGTATTGTCTGTTTTACCCCAATATCTTTAAGACTTCATGATACACCATAATTCAAAGCCCTCTAATATTATATAACAAAAGAACTTTTTTAAATGTGTACTTAACCAGCTAGAATTTCAAAGCACACAACCATTTTTAAAGCTTTAAAAAGAGCTCTTCTTCTTCAAAGCTCCACTTGCGAGGGGGGGGGGGGGACTAGCTCGAGAAGGTCCTGCCTGTAGTACCTACCGTAGTCAGCTAGAAACGCGACCTCTGCCATTTCCTAACGCTGGCGGTGATCGCATCTATTAAAGGGATAATAACTCTTCGTATGAGATCTATATTTCACAATAAAAACATTGTAAACAACTCATAGAAATATAATATATTCTGTTTTACCACAAAAAAGGCAGTTATAGCTGTTATTCTGATATCTGAGCTTGTCTTCAGACCACGTGACCTCCATTGACGGCTATACTCTGTTATAATCTCTTAAGAGATTTAAACATAAAACCAAACTTTTTAGAAAAAAAACCAGGGACTAACTTTGAATGTAAAAATGGATTCATTAACCATTGGTAAGTATGGGAAAATTGTTGTTTACTCCAGGAAAATCCATTTTTTGTCCAAAACGAAGAGTTATTATCCCTTTAACATTTACAGTTTACAGTGACAATTATATTGTTGTATTGGGGAATACGTGTTGACTGACAAAGCCTAGTTGTATTCAGTTATCATGTCATCAATGTACCCGCACCTGTGCGCAGGTGCTTGTTAATTTGGTTTCAGGCGCGGGTTGATAGCGGGTGATTTTTACGTTGGTTATTAATTTTATGATTCAAATTACACCTTGTCCCTTTGAGTCTGGACTTTATTTAAACCTGTGATATTTGCACCGGTATCAACTACTTTTGTAAAAAAAGTTTAAGAATGACCCAAAACATGGATAGTCTAAACTGGACGAATTACCGGTATAATTCGTCTATGGTACAAAGAAGTCATCTTTCCTGATCCCACGTCAGTCTGTTATGTCACCGTGATTATATGGTCTCTCTAGCTATCTTGGTGCGGAAAATATTGTGGTAGATCCTTAGATTGAAACTGATTTGAGTCCGTTAACATGTAATCAGTCGTCTCTGCCACTGTATATATAAAGCCCTGATCCTGTCGTAACGCTAAATAGATGCCATTCAACACTGAAAACATGACCGTTGTTCGTACATTAGTTGTGTTAGTTTTTATGCACGCATATATTTTTGCTGAAGAACTCATACAGCATGGCGGGTTTGAAGAGGAGGGGTACACGGCGTTTTGGGAGTGTAGAGGGTGCAGTATGACACGTGTACAAGACAGTCACGGAGGAACATATGCACTGAAAGTGGAAAACAGGTACATTTATTTATTTATTTATTTATTTATTTTTTAAACGCAACTAAAATTTTCCAACTCAATAAAAATGTAAATACTGTTCGGTGACAGTAATTAACTAAAACTACCCTGCTCCACCCGCAGTCTTAAGAATACAGAATCTGCTTTAAATAAAGCCTATATATGGATAAGTCAGAAATGAACGCAATATGTTCTTCAAGACACTAAAAAGATTTTGGTATTTGAGAATATATTTTCTCACGTTGTGAAATTAAACCGTGTTACACTGATAAATATGTTTAAGTTGTACATGTCTGATGTGAAGTTTGATATGTACCTTGGTCCCAGAAGAAATACGGAAACTGAGGTCAATGTTCCTAGCACAACTGTTTGATGTGATGGCTCGTTTTGTGAATATGGTACATGTAGGAAATTTTATTTAAAAAAGTGCAAATACCAGGAATTCCAGGATGTGGTATGTTTCTTGGGACGCAAATCAGTAACAAGGTGTATGTGTACGTATAAAATATCAAACTTCTTAAAGAAATAAATTATCAATTTAACGTACGAAAACACTGGCGTAAAATTTAAAATGGGATCTTCTGAAAGTTCTCGCGTCAGCTTTGAATGCGCTGTATATGTGCGGCTCGGCTCCTCGAGAGAACTATGTAGACACATTAAAAACCTTTAATTTTGAAGTGCACCCTCCCCCCTCCCCTCCCTTCATATCACTCCATCGGCTTGTTCGAAGCAAACCTATACTATTGAGTTATTAACTAATTTAATTCTGACAAATATTTGATCTCTCACGAAAGAAGACAGAGAACAGGACTGGAGGTAGGGTGCTTTTAGGTGACGAATCGCTCTAGGATACAACAGGGAAGATGGACGCGTTTGTAACAAAATGTACATATGAACACGCATATCGTGAGTGTGTTCCGAAATATATTTTCAGACACTTAATTGAAGACGAGAGTTTATCGTGCAATGGCGACAGGAAAAATGTATAAGGGTTTTGATAACGACATCGGCCACATTTCCATCACTTGCACGTGGTAAAAGCATGATCGCTGGTTTGTGTATCAGCCGTAAAGGATATATCAACGAAGTGACGCCACCGTAAAGATGTAGCAAGATTTTATTTCATAAGTGGACGTCAAGTAATGGTTTTTTCTCGATAGACATGGTTGACGTAGTTTCTGTGTACCTACCGGGACCTCTATTCGCCATTGTCACACTTCAGATAATTTGATTTCTATCTCTAAAACCTAATGGCGTAGTTAAATTAGTATTTAAATAAAATAATTCATATATTTTACTTTTTTAATGCAGTGCCCGTGTCTTATCACTGGATCAAAATAAATTGTCCAATAACACTGGACGTCACTAGTAATAGTGGGGTCTTTGGAGTGCAAAGTGACCATCCCATAGTAACCACTGAGCCACTTTTTGACAAACAGATTTCAAAAAGTTTTATCATTTCTTTCGATTATAATCTTGTCGGCAAAATTGCAAAAGCCAGGTGCCATATTGATTAACCGGACGTATTCATGTCACCGTAGTGCCTCCGTTTTCTCCTTTTTTTTCAAATTATTGTTGTTTGATATGAAGCATTTCAAAATAAACATGCCAGTTGTCGATATAATAGTATCTTATCTTTATTTGATGCATATTGAACAAAGCCATCTTGAAGTTTATATGAATTTTATAACAGGGTAGCTGAATATGCTGGACCCCGCCAAGCACTAAGTGTTACCAAAAATGCATTTTATGAAGTCGAGTCCTATGTCAAGTTATTGAATGACGAAGAGGGATCAGTTCATACCAGGGTAGAGGTGTGGAGAAATATCATCTTCACAGACGGTAAGATTTGAAGTAACTTCCATCATGACCGGGTTTACTACCCCCTATCAAACATGCACTTTCAGTTACCGTTCTTTATGCTACTATAGTGTGAAATTGTTTTTATTTGTTCTCTGTGGAGTCTGTTGGCTGTGGTTTTATATGTGTGAACCTCATTCTGTTTAGAAAATCAGTGTGATTGATTTAGGTGTGAAAACCTATAAAATGTGATGGAGAAGTACAGTGCTACCTGTTTACGTCACATCTAACACAATTAGAGTAAACCTGTATTCAAATCCTACTTTCACCACACCATTGGTAATTACCATTCTTTTTTTTTCTTTTTTTTTCTTTAAAAATAAAACCAACTTTTTCATGTAAAGGGACTAAAAGATGGCACAAGATTGGAAACGGTCCATACTTGACAACGGCAGATGGCTGGAAAAAAGTTGGAGGCTCGTTCAGGGCACCTGACCAAGGTACAGCCAACTAACGAGAATTAGATAATTATTGGATTTTTCGTTATATTGTTATACATTATTAGTCATTTCACAGCACAGTGGCATATACTCGCCCCTACTACCTGACTGATTCATATTGCTATAGCGCTGCTACTATTCACGACAAAAATATTTTTTCCTTACTTTACTCAAATTCTACTCGAAACTATCCATAGTTTCACGCATAATGTAGTCCTACTGGTACTTCAGTGTCAAGGTTGGAAATTTAGTCACATGTTTTCTTTACCCTTCCTTTCAGATGTGGAGTACTTTGCTATCTACTTCAGAGGCCCTGATCCGGCTGTGTCCTTCCTCGTTGACAGCGTATCTATAAAGCTGATCCCAGAAATGAGTGACACTTGGAAAGATGAAGCCGAGGAAAAAATCCAGCAAAACAGAATGGCTGATATCATCCTCGAGTATGGTTATGATTTTAATGGCGATTGTGATTATTTTATTAGTTATCGTGATATTATTTGAATTATTTAGCAGTTGTTTTGAGTATTTCTTAGCAAATTATGACACAGAAATAAAAACTTTATAATTAACACAAAAGAGGTTTTTTGACACTCTTTTTCTTATTTCAGTACGTTCATTGGGGATGAATACCATTTAAATGACACAGAAATTCAGGTACGAGGAATCTTTGACCTTCTTGAAATTTTATTGCAATATTCAAGGAAATTATGAAAGTCGCTGTCAATGGTAAAGTTAGTCTTGGTAATAGAAAAAAAAAACTTGAACGTATCCGTTAGGAACATCAAATGATTGTTCATCTCCTGCAGGTGCAACAAGAAAGCAGTGAGTTTCCATTTGGTGCTATGGTCAAAGCAGATCTTATTCTCGGTGAAAATGAGCAAAAGTATCGTGACTTTGTGAGTGAGATGTGGGACTGGACCACCATATCAAACGCAATGAAATGGAGGATGATGCAGTGGCATAAGGTTGGCAATACCAAAAATAATTAAGTCAAAGAGGAGTACAACTGACAGAAAACAAAGATATATCTTTCATATACTAGAGGCTTATTTCTGTACCGATGGCATGCTCAATGTCTTTTTCGCCTGAACAAAATTGAAATACCCTTAAATAATAAGCTTTGTCCTGCAGTAATAATTAAACCTTATTTCTTTTGCCAGGATTCCCTTGATTACGAAACACCCACACAAACAGTCGCCGAGCTCTTGAAGATGGGGTAAGATCAATTGTTTTCACCCTTGAGCCATGTATTTGTTTCTCGATTTAACGTACAAAAAACTTACAAAAATAAATAAACCAAATATAGTTTTTTGTTTATGTGGTGTATGTACCTTAGTAAAATTCTCCTTTTAGACAACGGCACCATGAAAACAAAAAGATAATTAATTCCAATCTATTATTGACATTTTTTGTTGTTGTTAATAAGGTTATTTGTTATTCCAGCAAGAAGATACGAGGACATAATGTCGTTTGGGGTGTGGAGAAAAATGTTCCATACTGGCTTAAAGATATGTCAGCAGAGGAGGTTAAGGCAGAGGTAGACACTCGGGTTAAAGGGGTCGTCTCTGCGTTTAAAGGGAGGTGAGTGCCATCGCAATTTGTTATTATTATTATTATTTATTTATTTTGTTATTTATTGGTTATAAGAATTGGCGTTCTATCTTTTTTGTGTTCCAAGTGGGCGCTACACTATTAATTGATTAAGGAGTAAATTCAATTTTGAATTTAATGCAATTTAATTTAAACAATCGTTCCTTAGAAAAATCGTTTAATCGAAGAAGAAATGTCTAATCCGTTTGTAAATGTTAAAAACTTTCGTTATTTATATTCCATCTACGCAGTTTGAGTCACTGGGATGTGAACAATGAGATCATCGCTGGACATGGAGACTGGTTTGAACAAAACACTGGAGACAGGTTTCTCACAGAGACCATGTTTCAGAACATTTCTGCCATTGACCCTGACGTGAAACTATTTTTTAACGAGTTTAACGTAATCAGCAGCGGGACTACCACCGACGTAAGTGGTCAATTGATTCATTCTTTAAGCTTCAATTACTGATATACATTTTACGCATGAGTCCTTTTTTTAACGGCAAATTGTCAACAATACACACATACTGGTAAAATCACTACTAATGTGACACAAGTGAATTCGATAAACGGTGCCGCGTTGAATACTTTTCAGGCATATGTCGACATGGTAGAACTGTACAAGTCTAAAGGACTTCCTCTGCATGGTATCGGAGTACAGGGACATCTTAAACCCGGACCGCCAGACATTTTGAAAATTAAGGTAGTAACGATATTTATTATGCCATAGAGTTTTGTAACAGTCGTGCTGACAAGTTTTTTTGTACGGAAATTCAGACTAGGCTCCATTCAAATGCCTTTTTATAATTTCATATGTCAAACGTTGGTTTCTCAAATTTTACACGGCTTCCATTATGGCACTGAATTACATGTACTACTAACATTACATTGATAGGAAAACTTGGACAAACTAGCCACGACTGGTCTCCCAGTTTGGATCACAGAGCTGGACATAGAGGCCGCCGATATTAACGACAGGGGAGACTATTATGAGGATGTGCTGACGTACCTGTTCAGTCACCCTGCAGTTGAGGGGATAATGCTTTGGGTGTGGCACGATAACGGAAGACCGTGGAGGGAGGACACAAATCTGGCGGCTGGACTCGGAGACGATTTTCAGGTAACGTAGTTTCAGTCTACCCTCTACCAGGGTCGCAGTTATTATTATGGACATTTTTTGCCGAGGCAACATCAGTCCAAAATGACTGTCTATTTATCTTGAGACATATCTGTAAATACCTGTGGAAAATCAATCTGTCGCCCTGGTAGAGGGTCGTTTCAGTCTGCTATCTCACAACTACTGTTGAACATGGCATATCCCCTCGCATTTAACTTCCTAATTTTATTTACTAAACTCTGCTGTTAATCAGGTCAATGAGGCGGGGAACAGGATCCAGCAATTGATAAAGAAGACATGGCGAACGAAGGAAGTTATCAAGCCGACATCTCAGTTCTCTTCCCTGGCTCTTAGGGGTAATGTGACATTTTTGGGATAGGTCAGAAATTAATCAATGGTAAATTTTTAGTTAATTATCTGTCTTGGTCAAGGTCTGCGCTTACTGAGTGCTATTCTGGTTTAGAATAAAGTAAGTCTTTTGCAAACAAAGAACGTGCCAATTTTTATATTATAGGGTTCATGGGGGACTATACCATAAAGGTGTTGCACAATGGAGTAGCGGTTTTGGAGAAAAAGGTCTCAGTTGGAAAGGAAGGTGCAACTGTCAACTTGCAAGCAGGGTCAGGTCTAAGTTGTGTCAGTAGATGGTCTGCAAAATCCGGCATTGGTAACGGGGAAACTATTACAGTTCCATGTGCTGATGGTGAAATCATGACAGGATGTTCCTCAAGAGCTATTGTGAGTTTTGTATACAAAAAATTTGACCATTAATCAAAAGAATTACAGTATTTGACCATTAATCAAAAGAATTACAGTGCTTTTGTCTGAACTATGTTGGTGCTCTCGCATGAAAAGAAAAAAAAAACAAAAGCCAAAAAATATTAAAAAGAAAAATAGATATAAAGAAAAACATGTGAATCATGATAGATCATTTTACTAAGATAAATTATATTACATCAGTTTACGTGAAATTGCAGGATAAATCAGAATACAGAGACGGCGAAAGGTTTGGATGGAATTCCTCAACCAAAAAACGCATTTGCAAGGCAATCAACAGTGCTGGTTCCACTGCCTCTGTCCAAGCCATTGCCCGCTGCTGTAAACTACCTGTGGACCTGCAGTGCTCCTACCCCCCGGCACAGGCCTCGGGCACAGGCGAGAACGAACAAATATCAATTCCTTGCCCCACAGGAAAAATACCAACAGGTGGGTTTACGTATATGATATAGTCTATATTATCTGGAATACATTAACCTGGATTTCAGTTCCGATGAGAGCTATTTTCCTCATTTTCCATGCATATATTAGTATATACCCGCTTATAGAATAAGTGCCATATTGATGTGTCGATTTAAAAATGAAGAATAGAATCTGACACGCATTAAATCTGAAGCTCGGGCCCCAGGGAAATATACGTTTTCATTATCAATCGATCTGAAGAATACAATTACCGTCACTGATTTTAGACAAATGAAAGAATTAATAAAAACAACTCATTTTAATTTTTTGTGAGTAGGTGGTCTTATCAATCCATTCATGATTTGCTAATTTTAGGTTGCACTTGCCTTGCTTACAATATGGCCTTTGATGGATCATTCCCCGATATGAGTGCCTCATCGTGTGTTGCTCAAAATGATGGAATTCGCGGAGGTTGGTTTTATATTCTACTATGTAAAATAAACTTTTTGGAATAACAGAGTAGAGAAAAATTCAAACTAACCGCAAATGTATGAGACGACACTGTTGAATGTTTTGTTGAAATATAAGGTAAGGTTAAATATACAACTTTTATATAACACTTTATCTATATAAACTGTGTCTGCGAATCACTCTTAGGGGTAAATTCACTTCCAGACAAATAATGGTAGCAGTGGAAGCATACACATATTTTCCATCTTAATTTATTTTTAGGATCTTATGGGACTGGTGCCTGTTGTCAAGCAAGTGGACTGGAGTGTGTCACCAAAATATCGGAGCGCAGTGGAGGCAATCTTGGTGACAAAATTTTTATCAGTTGTGAAGCTGGGTATACCATCACAGGATGCAATGTCTACAATGATTTTGGGGGAACAGCAGGGGCATATACAGGTATGCACCTCTAAAAAAGGACACATATAATGCAAACTTGATCACACTGTTGCAAGTTTGTTTTAAACTTATATTGTTACCATAAAGAAAAGAAAGGCCTATCAACATTTCAGTTTCATTTCATTTGTTTCATTTGAAATAAGCATGTTTGAAAGCTAATGCAGTTGATAAAATGTAGATCAATGATTTTGTGATCTGTAATTCTTTTACCTTTAAGCCTCCTGGGGTGGCAGTGAGTACTGTATAGCATTAAACGGCAGACGCCGGACCATGTCCAACCAAGGCGTGAAAGCTGTAGCCACATGTTGTAGAATTGCAAATACTGATGCCAAGAACTGAACATCTCAACCAGAGAGTCACTTCCTCACTTCCTTGAGCAAAGAAAACGACTACTCACGAACGAGGAAAAAGACAATATTGACCAGTAATATCACTTATTTTAACTTTCGTTTATTTTTAACTCTCTTTACTCTCAGAATGAATTTGCTAGAGGTGATATTGAGAGAATGATGAGAAAATGGAAACCAAAACTTTTCTGGGCAAGTAAACCATAAGTATCTTTATGGTTTAATTTGTTTGTTGTCTTTATTTCTGTTACCTACTGGTACACAAACATTAAAATGTCAGCGTCTGTCTACCACTCATGTGGTGACTAATGCATTTGAAAAACGTACTTCAAATGGAACTAAATAAAATTTGCTATTTGAGTGCAATTAATCGACAGCGTTATGGTGGGGATTTCAAAACACAGCAGCATAAAGTGCCAGCATCCAAAACGACTAAAGTATAATTTTCATTAGAAACTTAATGGCTATCCGGGTATGTTTTTAACAGTAGATCAAGCCTTCGTTTACTGCATCTATGTTAAAACAGAATATACAGACGAATGCATTCTATTTTGTTAAATTTGACGAAGGTCCGATGCAAATATGAAAATGGACCTAGTCTGACCATGTTTCATTAAACTCAGAATTTACATGAAATAAAATTTAACCCTTTTAAATGATCATATGGGCACGATTATTGATTTCAAAAACTTTCTTCATTAAAGATACGAAAACACCCAATAGGCACTACATTTTCAATGAATCTTTCACCCCATTCTCATAGATTAGATCGACCTACATTGGATCGACCTAACCCCCTGGGGGTTCACGCTAAATAGCTGTCAGCCGGGCGGACACGAAAGTTAATTACCCCTTAAAGCTTGTAGTAGGCNCTTTGTTTTTACTGGATGCGTACTTTTATCTGGGCAACGGAAGGCAAAGATTCCTTTGAAACACCGTGCTGAAACATGGTCAGAACCTTCTCATTTTCCTCATTAGTACAACTTCCGTAAAAAAAAAACAGAAATCAAATTTTGACAATGGAATAAACCATGTTCACCCATGTAAACTGTCAAAATGTACGAAGTGTTGCTGTGAACAAAGTAATTGAATTACCGTTGTGGTAGGCCAAGTTTTTCTCCTGAACTATACATGTAGAAAGTGTCAAATGCATCCAATTTAAATTCCTAATTTCCTCCAATATAGCACAGACGGTGAACCCCGGGCCCGAAAGGGAGACACAGAGGGAACGATGCCCTTCTCCCCTGACTGTTCTCTAGTTCCCTAGTTCCCGATGTACCCCCTACTCTCCCTTCTCTCTAAAAATGCAGTTTAACGTCCGAAACATGCCACAACCAAGAAGTAGTTCAATGTCTGTGCAGTATTTACAGTACATGCAGCCGAGTAATAGAGCTGCCAAACAAAGCGAAACAGTATTTTCATCGTTGCGTCCCTTCCCCTTCGAGATAGTTGGAAAATGAACTAATTTTGGTAGACTAAGCCTTCATATATTGTTTTAACTTGTCCACGATTGATGCTACAGACTCAGATTCTTTAAAAACTAGCCAAAAACTTCTTAATTGTATAGGTCTTGGAAGTGGACTAAATAAATGTCCGAAGAAGGTTCTTCAGTAACGCCTCAGGTACTTAAAACGCGACGTCTGCGATTCAAACGGTGACTGTGTAAGCTGAGTAGAAGAGATTCCCTGTCAATACATAGTAATACTTAGTTAAATTACACGTTAACTGACCGAGCCCAGTCCAAATCAGTTATCATCACACCACTGTGCCCGCACCTGTGCACAGGTGTTTGTAAATTTGGTTTCGCTAATTTGTGATAGGTTTGAGATGCCACCTCGAGCGTCAGCGAGACAGGTGTTGCAGGCATGCGTCGCGTGCAGGTGACAGTGTATGATTTGACACACATACCGAGAAAAAGTACTTACATTTCACAGATAAACACCCCTAAAATTGAATACAACGTATTTCGCCACGGCCACATAACATCTCTAGTATTTATCAAGGTTATTAAGATTCCTTGAAGTTCCATCTTGTTTCCTCAAGTTATTTTTAAACCGGTATCATCCACTCTTGTAAAAAGTTTAGGAATGACCTTTCAGCAAAATTTTTAAATCGGCCAATGTCGTGAAATCACTCTCTACGCCTCAGCCTTCCCCTCTCCCCGAGTTAGCCAATCATAAATCGGGATCAGGATATCACAACGTAAGTAATCACTCCTCTCTCTCTGCGTGTATTAAAGAATAAAATATACATGTAACTCTCACTCAAGCTCTGAGCTACACAGTTACTAGTTGTGCTCCCATTAAAGCTGAAAACATGACAATTGTTCGTACATTAGTTGTGTTAGTTTTTATGCATGCATATATTTTTGCTGAAGAACTCATACAGCATGGCGGATTCGAAGAGGAAGGGTACACGGCGTTTTGGGACTGTACAAATTGCGACATGGCACGTGTACAAGACAGTCACGGAGGATTATATGCACTGAAAGTGGAAAACAGGTATGTGCATTTGATGTGGCTTAAACATTGTGTAGACAGAAAAATTGTTAGCTTTTTCTTTTTAATTAAAAACACGTATACTTGTTTTTCTCGTACCCTCTAGCAGGATGGCAGATATTATAGGCACACTTTCCTCATTTCTCAGAGAACAGAATGGCCGTCTCTTTATCTAAAGACATCTGTGAATATCTAGTGAAAAATCAATCTGTGGCCCTTGTATTTTTCTCGCAGAACCGTAAATAACATGGGGTTCTAGGATCTTTAAAAAGACATCCTTAAATGACATAGAACTGTTTTTAGCTTTAAACGCCTATTTGTAAATTTGGTTAAAACTATACCACGCGGTTTAATAGTTAGATTTGCAGTGCCTCCGCAGTGTCTCTATGATGATAGAGTGATCGTATAGCTGTGTATATACTGTATAGAGAACATTTTTATTCAAAACAAAGTAATTATAAGTTCTACATAAATGTAGTCATACAAAATTCATTAGTATTATAATATCCATAAGTGTGAGCCAATAAGTAGGCCTAAACAACTGTAATATCCACTACTGAATACTGAGCATTGGCTTTTATTAGAAAAGCTTAGTACCTGCCTAAGTGACTTTACAAACCCAAAACCTGTATAAGAAGCAATCAAGGATGGAAAATTATAAACGTATAAATTGACCAAAAGACGTAAAGAGGGTTATGTCACTGGGAGACAGTGCATGTGAAATATCTGCTGAAAGCGACATGTTACGGGGCCCTGAATGACAGGGTAATTTAATAGAGGCTACTTTAAGTAATACCGAAAGGAGAAGTCATTAATTTGCAATCTTCGACACGAGGTCTATAGAATTTTTAATTTTTACTAAGTATTTTTGCACTGAGACTGACAAGTAGACTGTCAACTACTGTATGTTTTTGTTTATAACTGCGTTTCTGCTTATACCACTTCGTGATTACTATATGCCAGCATTTAATATTTAATATTAATGATCAGTTATGTTAGGCCTATGCCCTTGTGAAAAATGAAAATGTGAAGAACTTGCCAAAACCGAAACAGATATATTACATCCGCATAGTAGGCGATAAATGTGAAAGCGGCGTATTAACCCTTACTATAACTAGAAAAGCACTCCTAGAACGCAGACCTCCGCCAAGGCAGCGATTTTTTATTATTATTGATTATTGATTAATTATTGATCCGGATCACCACCAAAAACAAATCACTGCTAAGTTAACCCATTTCCCACCTGCCCTGAAAATTTCATCAAAACCGGTCCATAACTTTTGGAGTTATGTTGATGACAAACAGACAGAAAGACAGACAGGGGTGAAATCATAACCTCCTTGGCGGAGGTAATAATAAATGCGAGAGCGCTGGTAGTGAGAAATTTAACTCGAAAGAGTCAGTTTAATTTTAAGTAAATGTTCTGATAACTTGTTTCTGTCCATTTGCCTTCACTGTCGCCGTCCCTTTCCTCTGTCTTACACATTTGTTCACCTTATAACTGCCAAAAGGTAATTTGTTTTCCTTTAATTTACTCAATAAAATGTAGAATGCAGGAATCAGTGCAAAAATCAGCATGATCGGATTGTTTTTACAAAGGTTATTGAATTTTTACTGATTTTTATTCATGAATGCGTCGTTCGCCTCGTAAGTGAGAAATCGTATTTTTGTTTTACTTAAGATTCAGTAAGGAGCTTCATATGATAAAAACGACAGGTTGATTATGAAAGTCACCATCATCGGTTTGTTTTCACGAATATTTTTTCATATACAGTATATCGCAATGTTTATGCGAATCTTGTTTGTTTAACTTAAAATTTAATTGATTAAAAGGCAGGCCAAATTAAAAAATCAGCATGTGCGATTAGTTAGGACTAGATGTCTAAGTGTATCTTCATGTGTATTTGCCAGCTTGGCTGACTAGTCGTTAAATACAGAAACTGGCTTCGTTCGTGTGAGATGATACACCGTCACCTGAAAGACATATGCCATAACACTAAGAGCGTCAGCTGTTGCGATTGCTTGCGATTATTATTTCCGTATTTCTTAGGATAAAGTGCGTGTAAGGCGTTGAATATGTAAAGAAACTTGTTGATCTAGATGATTTTAGTGGGGGTGTCGCACTTGTGACGCACTCCCTCCGTGCGTTAGATTTTGTTCGCAAGTTGAGAGGGTGTGCGCCGTATTCAACACGCAAGGGGCACAAGCTCCTTCATTGCTTGCGACGTGCGTCTGAGATCACGCTTTTTTCCCCATGGTACCTTAAAAATCGCACATCTTAATTGCTAACTCCTTGCAAACTCCTTGCGAGGTGAGCAAGTTACACTTGCGTTTCGCTGTTCGCCAAGAATTCGTAGAATTTCCTAGACATGTCCAACATCCTCCGTATGTACTTAAGCCTGGGTCACAACCCAACGTACGGCTGCTACGTGTGATCTACGGACCAAAAAAATGGGGAAAACTTGGGATTTCGTGCGTGAGGAACGCGTCCATCGTGCGGCTTTTAGACACCGCGTAGACACCACGTGGAAAATTTTCGACATGATCAACAGCCGCTGCGTGCGGTCTACGAAATCTCAAAAAAAAAAAAAATAATAATAAAAAATAATAATAATAATAATAATAAAATAAAATAAAATAAAATAAAAAATGGAACACGTTTGCTTGTCGTACGGGACACGCGAGGAAATTCTTTTTTCCCCACTGCGATTGGGTGGCTACGATTCGTGCGATGCACGTGGTTAAGGCACACGATACACGTACTTATTTCTTGCTCACTCCGTGCTCACTCCACACTTCCACGCGCCCACCGTGTAGACCACCGGAGCTCGTGCATGTTGAGTGAGTAGTGGTCACTCCTTGAGCATGGACCGTGGGTTTAAAAGGAGGAGCTTGCACGAAAAAGCATCCTTTTCAGCCTCGGATTTCTAGTTTGAAAAATGCTTTAAAAGACAACATCTTTGACCAGTGCTGCGGATATATTGATCTCCTTAAACATGCACTGTTCTTTAACCCTCCCAAAAACATCTCAACACGCAATACTCGCGTGCAAAGGACGAGCAACAACCGTAGGAAGTCAGCAAGACTGCCCTATGTTCACTTGCGTTGCCCTTGCGTTTCCCTGGCGTTGCTCGTACTCTTAGTACGGATAACGTACGTAGTGCACGATGCTTGTACTTAGAATGCACGGGGCGCGCGGGACACTTGCAAAAGCCCGTCAGGCGCAGCAGATACCTCTGACGTGCGGAGCTTGTGCTTCTCACGTACTTTTCACGCATTTTCTTCAAGCGCACTCCTTGCAATCACCAATTACTTGATTCGTTCCCTGCGATCTAGCTACGCCCAGCCAGACGAGAGGAACCTAAAAAAAAAAAAAAAAAAAAAAAACGTCCTAAAAATCGTGTGTGGAGTTGGGACCCAGGCTTTACAGGCTGTATGCGAACTCGAATTTTCGTAAGAAGGACTTGTGTGGCATGTCTAGCGCTATATTTATTTCAGTATCGGATCAATGCCGTGCGGTTTATTGCCACCCATTTATTCTGTATATTTTTTAAATGCTAACACAGGGCAGATGAAAGTGCTGGACCACATCAAACAGTAAATGTTACTAGGAATGCTTTCTATGGGGCCGAATCCTATGTCAAGCTGCTGACTGACGAAGAGGGGTCGGTTCATACTAGATTAGAGCTGTTTACAAAGATCACCCACACAGATGGTAAGTTGTTATTAATGCAACTGGTCATCTGATCACATCGTTCATGTACAGATACAAGTGTGTTAGTTGTGACGTTCATTGCGTTTGCTATTGCAATACATTACATAGACAACGCTTGCATTTTTATCTCTTAATTGTGCAACCATTTTCTGATTTAAAGGAACAAAAGAAAGTAGAAAAATCGGCAATGGCCCTTATATGACAACGGCAGAAGGTTGGAAGAAACTTGGAGGCGTGTTCAGGGCACCTGAGAAAGGTAAAGTCGGTCATTTGTCACTTAACCTCGGTATAAATAGTTGTGTAAATTAATGCCATATTTACCCATGTGTGCAAGAAAAGACAGACAAATAAATTCTGTCTAGCTCTGTGATGTGAAAATCAATTTCTTCTTTCCCGTCCATGTATAAAACAATGCACCGTTACGTCAATTAATGAACTATGATTTTATACTTAAAGTGATAACTGAACTTTTTAATCCATCCTTTCAGACATAGATGACTTAAAAATCTATTTCAAAGGCCCGGGCCCGTCAGTGTCCTTCTTACTTGACAGCGTCTCTCTGAAGTTAATTCCAGAAATGAGTGATAATTGGAAAGAAGAAGCTAACGAAACAATTCAGCAAATCAGAATGGCTGATATTAACCTCGAGTAAGGCTTTTATTACATGAAATCAATTGTAGTAGACAATGTGGTCGTAAAATAGGAAATTATTGTACACTTCTTTTCGTTTCCCGATACGAAGAAGCTTCCAAATATTGTATTAAAAATATTCATAAGAATTTGTTGAATATTTATTTATTCATTTATTTTGTTTTCAGAGTGTTCATAGGAGATGAATACGAATTAAGTGACGTAGAAGTGAGGGTAAGATTAGGATTTTTCTTGTTATCATGTTATCCCGCCCATCCGTGGATACTTTTGCACGTCCGCAGGTCCGTTTTATTTGCCAAAGATTTGGGTGAGGAAGTTGAATCGACGGGGATTGATAGACCTGTCATCAGGAATGCATCGTGCTGCATGGGTCCTTAGGAATTATAGTTTGACTGGGGATGGGACTGTCCGTGGGGTTTTATGATACTATCTTTTCACATAAAAATAATTTCATCGATACTTAAATTAAATAGCCACACAAGAAAAAATTGCTGATGTTTATTATCAATAAACATTACCCAGACTGTGACATTGGAGATGGAGCCCCTGGGTGCGAGGATATGCCATGGCTACCCATTGACAACACCTAGTTTTATAAGGCAACTAATCCAGCAGCCTGCATACAAGTTAATCATAATGATATCTTTATTAACAACGAAAAAAAACTAAACAAAAATGTTTTTTTTTCTTAAAAATTTGGAGGTCATTTTCACTTGCAGGTAGATCAAGTAAGAAGCAAATTTCCAATCGGGGCAATGGTCAAGGCAGACAGGATTCTTGATGAAAACGACAATAAGTACCGTGAATTTGTGAGCGAGACGTTTGAGTGGATCACGATAGCCAACGCTTTGAAATGGAGGTTAATGCAACGGGAAGAGGTACGAAAAAGAAGTTAAAAAATATAGTCTGTTAAAATTGAAACAATTTTAACGAAAATTACCAAAAGCAAATGTTCAATTCTGCAATCGGTCACTATATACAGTGATTTTTTTTTTATTGCAAGGATTTGCTGGACTACGAAAAACCCAATCAAACGGTTGATTGGCTTGTGGAAAAGGGGTAAGGATGAATATCTGATATCGTTTGATCGAGGTACTGGACTGATAGTAGTGTTATTTCAATAAATGTCTTACATACATTTTCTTACATTTTTCTCTATTTAAATGGAAGACATTGGCATTACAGTGTTGTCATTAGATTTCATCGATGATGATTATGAATATCTTAGTTCCACTAATTGGTGTGGCTAACTTTTTCTGAACTCTTCCAGCAAAGAAATACGAGGACACAATGTTTTTTGGGGTGTTCCGAAAAATGTTCCAGAGTGGCTGAAAGACAAGTCAGCAGAAGAAGTTAAAAAACATGTGGACGACCGGTTAAAGGGGGTCGTTCAGGCATTTAAAGGGAGGTAAGCGTTTAGATTTCACTCTTGTTAATAGTTACATTTTTCTCGAGACATTTTTAAGTTAACTATTTTATATGCAATCAGACGTAGGTTCTATTCACCTTATTTGGAATTGTGTCATGATGCTTAGTTTATTTTATGGTGAAAATATTGTTGAACACTAAAGTGTTCATAAGGTGTCTCATTTGGAGAAAATAATTGATTCTTAAAAAAAATTCTCTGCCTTTTAACATTTTTAACTTTTATGGAAAACATTTCGTATACATAGATTGGCCCACTGGGATGTAAACAATGAATTCATCGCTGGACACGGAGACTGGTACGAACAAAAAACTGGAGACAGGTTCCTTACAGAGAAAATGTTTCAGAATATCTCTGTCATTGACTCTGACGTGAAACTGTTTTTTAACGAGTTTAACGTAATAAACGGAGGAGCTTCTACGGACGTAAGTACAAAAATCAACATTTGGTATGATCTCGAGTAATTTAATAGAGGCCATTTGTTTGGACTTTTAAAAAGATATTTAAAATTTTTTCTAGTAAGTGTAGACCCATGGTCATTTTAGTGTGTTATTGTCCACTAAAACACACGGATTTCTGGGCTTCACTGTCCAGAAAGCTCTTGTTTAGTTTATGATGATATATGCCACTGACTTATTTCCTGAATTTCCAGGCCCTTGTTGACATGGCAGAGCAATACAAGGCTAAAGGTCTTCCTCTGTATGGTATTGGAACACAAGGCCATCTTAAAAACACTGGATACCCAGACATTCTAAGGATTAAGGTATTGAAAATATCTCACCAGCCTCACTTGTGATGATTTCCATGCATTGAAAAATGTACGACAGATTCCTTCTTTTAACATTTATGTTTCAGGAATTCCTTGCAACAAAACTGATTTTTCCATATTGCAAACCGACACATGTTTTGATTTGATTAAAGACACTATTTTCAATTATTTTTCATTGTATCCCAAGGTAAACCTTGACAAACTAGCCACGACTGGTCTCCCAGTTTGGATCACGGAGCTGGACACACCGGCTGTCGATATAAACGACAGAGGAGACTACTATACAGATGTGCTGACGTACCTGTACAGTCACCATGCGGTGGAAGGAATCATAATATGGCTGTGGCACGATGACGGAAATATGAGGAAGAATTACACAAATCTGGCAGGGGGGCTTGGTAATGATTTCCAGGTAATGTTTTCTGTTGCAGCTGAATAGTATTATTGCCTACGACAATTTGTCGGTGCCATGGATTTGTATATATTTGTTATCGTTAGTGGGTTTGTGAGTTTGTCTGTGTACATCATTAGTAAGGAACAGATTTTGATAAAATTTTCGGGATATGGTACAGATGGCCCAAGGAGGATTGATTACATTTTTAAAAGTGATGATCCATTGATTAATTAAGAAATTAATTTGTCAATTAATAATGTACACATTTTGATGTTATTTACAGGATAGGTCACAAATGGGCCAAGAAAGAAATGCTTAGATTTTGGTGACGGTCCATTGATTAATTCATTAATCAACTAATAATAAAATTTTCAGGATTAGAAGGGGCCAATTTCATTAAATTTTCAGGATAGTTCAGATATGTTCTAAGGAAGAAAGGATCAAACTTTGGTGATGATCCATAAATTAATAAATTAATTATGACTTAATTATTTGTCTTGGTGAAAGTTGCTCAGTCGGAGTGCTTTTCTGCTTGTTGAATGTGATACTACTACTACTACTACTACTACGGAAAACCGTATATGCCTCAACGTTTTATCCAGCCACTTAGTCAGATACTGGTACTAGTAGTGAATTGTGCCCCCCCCCCCTCTTCTTCTGATGATAGTTTTCCACTGTATCAGTCAATATGAGCGGGTAGCCTAAATACGCTGGACAACATTTTTTACTTGGGGTATCAGTGCTGTTAACAAATTGTAAAAATGAAAGCAACTTTGTTACAATTTGTACCATTAGATTTAATTAGGACATTATAATTCTATCCTCTCTATACTTAATACTTCTAAAGTTTGGGTTCTTTTCTTTTTTAATCACCCAATGTAATTTAATCAATTCTCTTTTTTTGATTCAGTTGAATGATGCAGGGATCAGGGTTCAAAACCTTTTAAGGAAGACATTGCGAACTAACAAAGTTATCAAGCCGACTTCCCAGTTGAGTACCATGGCAGTAAGGGGTAAGACTAGTTTTTTTTTTTCATTTCTCTGATTTGCCTCTCACTTTCTCAATATAAATTACATGATTAAAGAGGGCAATACAGGTTTCTTTCTAGATCTGTGTATAAAGAAGCACAGGACTGGTGAATCAGTAATTTGCCAAATTTGGGGGGGCGGGGGGGGGGCGGCACAAACTAGGTTCACTTCACTCAATAAATATAAAACAGAAGACTATTCAAATTATAATGTGTCTTGATTTTGTACACATAGGCCTAAAATGTTTATTTTGTCTAGATAACTCAAGAGGCTTATAGTTACTTCTTACACAAGTTAATCATGAAGGCATTATTATCATTATTTATGGCATCTTTTGTATTTATAAGCTATATATAACAGTCACTTTTAGTGATGAGAGTATAGATCCTATAAGTTTGAAAATGTGTAACCATCCCTGGACTATATAATCCTTTCCTATGCTCCAGCCTTCATGGGGGACTACACCATAAAGGTGTTGCACAATGGAGAGACAGTTCTGGAGAAGATGGTCACAGTTGGAAAGGAAGGTGCAAATGTCAGCTTGCAAGCAGGGTCAGGACTGAGCTGTGTGAACAGATGGTCTGCACAATCCGGAGTTGGTAACGGGGAAACTGTGACAGTTCCATGTGATGATGGTGAAATCATGACAGGATGTTCCTCAAGAACTATTGTGAGTATTATTTAGAAAATATTTTGTCCATTTTTCAGTAAATTGCCTTTGTCTGACAAAGATTAAAGTAATATATATTACCAGAACATCTTTAGTTTAGCTTTTACTGTAACTACAAAAATAAGAGTAAAACATATTAATGATAATATAAGGTGAATAATTAAAAGAAAGATATGCCTGTTTTATTCAATTCCCAGTTAACATACCCCTTTACCATAAAAAATCAATATAATGTTATGTAATATTGCAGGATAAATCAGAATATAGAGATGGTGAAAGGTTTGGGCGGGATTCCTCAACCAAAGAACGCTTTTGCAAGGCTATCAACAGTGCCGGTTCCACTGCCCCTGTCCAAGCCATTGCCCGCTGCTGTAAACTACCTGTGGACCTGCAGTGCTCCTACCCCCCAGCACAAACTTCAGGCACCGGCGATAATGAACAAATATCAATTCCTTGCCCCTCAGGCGAAGTACCAACAGGTAAGTCTAAACACCAGAACCATAAATGGTACTTACAAATGCTCACTTTAAATTACAGAAAGGTGACAGAACAGCTATCTTTACACTAGCACTTAAATGAGATACAGTGCAATTGTTAACAAACAATTTTTATAGTCTTTTTATCTGTTCTTTTTCATATTAGTTTTTATTGTTATCTGGCATGCATTTTGATGTAATGGACACTTCAGAAAAAAAATAATAAATTGACTAACATCAAGTTCCTCTTGAGCAAACATTTAAACTTTCAATAAAAAATGAATAAAAAATATTACAGGTGTCTGTACGCAACTACATGATGTTATCACCCATGCTTTGTCCATTTTAGGTTGCGCTTGCCTTGCTTACAGAATGACCTTTGATGGATCTTTCCCTGATATGAATACTTCATCGTGTATAGCACAAAATGATGGGGAAAACGGAGGTCAGTTTTGGCGCTATATATTCAACATTTTAAATGAAAAATTCCCATGGAGTAGCAAAAACAAAAAGCTACTGACATGCTAGTACATGAAGTCCAGTGGCGGATGTAGATGGGGGTCAGGGGTGTCCTAACCCCCCTTCAGTTTCTGAAAAATATGTCACAAAACTATTCCTCTCTTGAAATTCTTAACTATACCAAATTACCAAAAGTTTTTCTGGGCACCAACAAAGGGGCGATGGTCGGCTTCGCATCTGAGACCTGTCATTTGGGACCCCCCTTCAAATAATCCTGGATCTGGTCCTGTAGTGACATATACCGGTTGCCTATTACCTTTTACTTCATTAACCATGTTTGATATTCACAAATTAAAATAAAAATGAAGTATTAAATCATGCCATCAGTCAAGGTAAGATCTCAGACAATGTTTTGAATATTTTTCACATGAATGTTTCTAGGATCTGTTGGGACTGGTGCCTGTTGTCAAGCAAGCGGCTTGGAGTGTGTCACCAAAATGTCAGAGCGCAGTGGAGACAATCAGGGTGATCAAGTTTCTGTCAGCTGTGATGCTGGGTATACCATCACAGGATGCAATGTCTACAATGATTTTGGTGGAACAGCTGGGGCATACACAGGTAATAAATAACAAAGTAGATCGACATGGCACAACTTCAAATTTCAATTATTTGAAAGTTTTCACCGTTGATTATAAATAGATCACTCAAGATCAGTGCACTTCTGTATAATAGCCTTCACACCTTTCAGTTGAAAATAAGGAATGATGTAATTAACAGACTTCACAATTGATAAACAACAGACATATGATTAATCATGTCATTTCTTTATTTTTCCTATAGCACCGGGTGATGGCAATGGCCTTTGCATAGCATTTAATGGCAGAAATAGGACCACGCCCAACCAAGGTGTGAAAGCTGTGGTCACCTGTTGTAGGATTGCAAACTAATATTGATACCAAGGAAAAAGTCACTTCCTCAAACTTTCAAGACTTTCAATTAAAATGGTTATCTAATATAATCATCATTTTCTTCTTTGTTCTCAAAATAAATTGACTCTCAAGATGAATCTTATGGCAAACTGTAGTTTCTTTTGTTTTATTTTTTACCCTGAAATGCTGTGTAAGTTTTTATCCTCCCAAATGTACATACTGTTATTTATTTTTGCAAACTCTTGATAGAAAATTGTTAAATCTTCAGACTGAGTAGACATTTTTATCAAGCTAACTATTTGCTACCAGGGTACATGTACTATAAATACAAACATCTTCTATTGGAAATGTCTCATAAAATAAAAACTTGGAAACCAACAAATAACAAGAAAATATAAATTCTTTTGCAAATATGGAAAAGAATATGATGAATGTATTATTACCATTATATCTAATGTAACAAATTAACATATCTGAAAGAAAAGCAAGCACTCTGGTAATTGTCTTCCATCTTCATAGCTTTTCTAAAAAATTGTATTTTAATAGAATCTTAAAAATTTTGTGCTCACTGTAGATGATAGACCCAATGAAAAATAAGATTCAATGGTTGGTCTACAACCTCAATTAAAATCAATCATCATAATTAGAATTACATGTTATTTGAATAAATATTAATGATAAACCTCATTACAATTCACAGAAAATGGTTTATGAGCCCTTTTGTGATTCATAGGTCATTGTGTACATAAGTATTTAAAAAAATGTGCACTGTATCAGCTAAATTTTTTCAAGCCGCTTTTTAAAAGATAAAGCGCTCTTCAATTACAGATATTCCAATCCAATGATCTAACAACTTATTCAGATTCACATACTAGATGGGCTATTCCAACTCCGCAATCACTGGAATCAGCTTACGTAATTGTCTGAGCAGCTAGGGGGTGATTAACTATTATGTTTTGATTAAGCTGATTCCATTGATTGCATTTTGGCGATAATCCCCCCACATAGTTGGACTGCCCCAGCTAGTATGTGTGAATCTGAATGTGTCCTAAATGTACGCCAATAGCCCCATCCACATTTTTTTAAAATAATTGCCTAGTATAGCTAGAGGCTGAAAAATCACTGAAAGGAAAGACATTAACCCACTCGTATGACTCTCAAATTACTCTCAACAAAAAGCTTGTCAAATCTGAAAGATGATAACCTCTCATGCAGTGAAGGTATCATGAAACTCCTATTTGAAAATGAATTTGGAGATGCATGCATCTGGTTAGAACAGAATCCACACAAAAACTTCTTAAGCACCTTCAAAAAAACGCATCATACAAAACTGGCACAGTGAACTTGAGGACAAATCTAAATCTATTGCCAAATCAAAAATACATTTAAAAAAGAAAATTTTCTGGATGTTGTTCACAATGCTGAAAATAGAAAAAGCCTAAGTTGTTTTTGCACCAGTGCACATAAGCTCCACATTGAAACGGGCAGATATACTAGCACTCCTTGGTCCAACAGAACATGCTGTTACTGCTCTAAAGACAAAACTGACGAGGAAAAACACTTTCTCAGAATGTGCCCCCTATGCAAACTATATTGTATCCGGTATTTACAACACATTATGCAAACTTTGGCCTCAGAACAATTGATGAAGTTTACTGAAATCCAAAGAGGAAGAAACACTCATTGCATTAGCTAAGTTTCTCTCCTTTTGCTTTTGCTAAGAGCGATCTAGAAGACAGTGCTGCACCTATTGGCAATTGAGTAGTAGTAATAGTAAATTGCCTTAAACAATTGTCTTTAATAAGTTAGGAGTCATACACCTTCTAATTGGTTTAATGTGTACTCATTTAAAATTACATTATATTGTCATTTTCATCCACCCAGGTGGATGCATACGTTACAATGAAAAAACTTTAAACTTCTTCTATGACTATATATATATAGAGAGAAAGGGGTTTTCATCATGACTGGCACGTTGTCCTCCAAATGCTACCTACTGACCTATACTGTAAACTTAACAAATGTATTCATCTTAATCTGTACTTCTGCTTCATATGATTTAATAATAACCACATGGATTTATCATGGATAGGCAAACAATTACTGTTTGTTACAGCTGTCCTTTTGGAAGGGCAGGAAGGTACTTTTTTTCAGCCTCCACTAGCTCATCTTCATTTTGAAGTTTGAAGATGTCTTTCACAGATGCAATCTGAAAAATTGAAATCACACAACATACAGTTTAATAAACGCAATTCTCAAATGTTCCATTTGTGTGTAAGTAATTCCTTAAAACATAGCTGTCTTAATTAATACATCTAACATTTTTTTCATATAGCATAACAAATTTTGAAGGTCTTCCAGAAAAGATAATTACATAAAACCATCACAATTTTTCATAATGAAATTTAAAACTGTTCCATTTCTACACAATCTAGCTGAAAGCATATCTGGAAGGCTTTCATCCGTACACTTTGGACTTCAACAATCACACAATGTACTCTAGATTTCTTCTTTTATTTACAACAGTTTGTGGTTAGTAGCTATAATTAAGTCTTAGGCAGTCAAGTCAATTGCAAAATGGGATATCTTATAGATGGTTTGCATTTAAATACATACTACCTTTTGCTCTACATTTTTCAATGACTTCTCTTCATAAATCTGCTGAGATGTGTGTTTTATCGCAGTTAATGCTGCTCTTAAATTGTGATTAGCCCATATGACCATAGAAATGCCCAAGTCATTAAAATAGTCAGTGGATGTGCTATAATAGTTGGTTGGTACGATCACGACTGGACCCTGAAATATAATTAATATACCTATTAACATTCAGTAAATATAAACTAGAAAGCCTTCAAAAAAGGCATGGGTTGATTTTCAAGGAAAAAAATGTCTATGCAAAAATACTGAGTGTCAATTTGCAATTTCAATCATTATCATGCACTGGTACAGATGAAAAATACATGTAAGTTTGAATTGGCACTATGAAATATTAAAGGCACGGCTATTTAATACAGCAGTAGTACTGTCAGTGTACATAATAAGTGTGGCATTAGGAAGCAGTTTTAATATAAAATACACTGTGTGCCACATAATCAAAGCGATTATTGCACATTTGACTTATTCAACATACATATGCAACACTTAGACAAAACAATGGCAATATTGACACTGAAGTGGGAGTTTCAGGCATCTTTTCTCTCTAGATTTTTTATGGCTGTCAGTGAAAGGTTATTTTTGTAAACCAAGTTATAGTATATGTAAGGGGGAAGGGGGTTGCAGGATAGTCATATCATTCCTTCAGTGTCCATCTTTTGGTTTGTTAGGTTTACTTTACATTGTAATATGTACAAGTTTTTTTTTAATTTCATCTCAGGTTAGTAAATTAACTATAGTGACCTTTTCATTATTTCCATTTAAGTGCTGGTAGACATGCATATAGGCTGGTGAAAATCATTTGCCAGCATGTGCATTACTTAAACAGCAGTTGCGAGTTGTTTTGGAAGTGATCATTGTTTTGAGATTCTTCACATCTGGTTTATAAAACAGGTTTTGCAATAACATTTGTTGCATTTCATCATAAACATTTAAATACAGTCAATTTCTGTCTTTTGACTGAGCTGAATAAGAGAGTACTAAAAGATGAAACTGGGAAAAGAAGGTTTGACCGTCTCTAAATAAACAAAAGCTAGTGATGTGAAAAAGCACCAATAAAACAACCTTGTTATGGTAAAGATATTAAAATGTAGTACTTAGCATTCAAAAATTTCATTTCTTTTTGGCAGTCACACATGTACACGCATACTAAAGCATATATTATTTCAAAAGTGTGCACTTGAAATCTGCACTCTAAACCACGTCTAACTGACAAATTCACCTGATTTTTCCATGCCCTCATGAAAGCTTCAATTTCTGATGGATCTTTCTTCTTACTGTGCATCAAGATGGCATCAGCTCCTGTGATATTGCATATCATTTATACATGTGCATACTAACAAAATGAACTTGTTCCATGCTGATTTTAAAAACTGTTCACATTTAATTCCATTTTTCCAGTTATCAGTTATCAAACAGCTAGACTAAAAAATGATGTCTTATGCTATTTATATAAAATAACAAAAGAGACAAATAGATATATAACAAAATAGTCTTAAATAAATCTTTAATGTTTTAAGTTTTGAGGATGCATGATTGACAAAATATGGGTATGTCAAGAGTGACATTTCTCTAAAGTACCTGCATTTCTGTAGGTTTCTGCCCTGCGGAGTGCCTCATCTAGTCCCCAGCCTGCAATAAAAGCTTCCACTCTGGCCACTATGCAAAAGTCTGGATCTTTTTGGACTTCTTTACAAGCCTTTTCCATAGAAAGATAGAGTAATAAGTCATTAAATTACTCTTACTGATCGAATAACAAGACACTAGGAAAACTTTGAAAAATTATCACCTTATCAATACAACCTTTACTTATTAATGAATATGAAAATAATATTATTCCACCTTAATTTTTAATGCAAATTCTTCCATATCTGCCAGTGGTTGCATTCTACCTTCATGAAGTGAGTTTGTCTTTGGAAAGACCTTGTCTTCCATGCAGGCACCTGTATCATATAAAATTCATATGTTTACTAGTAACATGATATACTTGTTACATATAGATACAGAGCATACACACACACATCCCCAGTATGCAATAAGCAATGGTCCGTTTACACAAAAATTGAACCTTTCTAACATATTATTAAGTGAATATCAGACATTTTAAATGGGAAACATGTAACACGTGTAATACCATTTGCAATCAACTGAAAAGATTATACTAATTATTAATTCAATTTTTTATTACACGAAAGTCACATTATTATACACATTACTATACATTAAATATGAAAATAATGTCCCTGAGAAAAATTTGCTTCTCACTTCTCACAGTCAACATAGGACTCAATTAAAATACCTCAAATAATTCTTTTACATAAAAATTAATTTCTTGTCAAAATTTAATTAACAGGAGGATAATTGCAGTAAATCGTTACCTCACACAATCACACTTAAACCAGTAAGTTAAGAGAGGACAGGCAATTCATATATGAAAGAAATAATTTGTAATGCAAGTAAGAGTAAATGAAGGGGGAAAAGGTGAAAAGATAATAAAAGGAAAAAAGTTAATCACTTTCATGTGATAAACCTCATTCACTCATATTCTTTTTACACAAGCATTAGTTATTTCTTCTTAAAAATATCATAAACCTGCTATTGCCCTAGATTCCAACTTCTGAACTAGTCTCCTTGCATTATTAAAGTTGCCATAGCCAGTGTCAGCATCAAGCAAGATTGGTATGTCTGTCGCATCACTCATGAATTCTATCAAGTCAAGAACTTGGGTCCACGAGGCTTCATTGCTGTCTCTGATGCACCACTGAGCAGAAATGGAAAGTCCGCTTGCCCAAATGCCCTTAAAGCCTAATAAAAAATAAAATATTATAGTTTATAATAACTTCTTTAGTAATTGTGACCACAGATCCATATTACATGGTATTTTGTTTACAAATTCACAATTTATGAAAAGGTGACAAAGATGCCATGCATATGTACATGTCCCTACCATTACATACATGTATATAGCACATACAAGAAATCTGATGTTTAACATTCAGTTTACATGCACATACCAACACATGAATAACAAAGTACCACAATTACTAAAGGAAGCAACCTGCTCCAGAGGTACACTAGCAGAAAGATGCGCACAATTAACACAGATCAATACACTTTTCTCCAAAATTAAGATGAACACATGTATGAATACTGGTATGGCAGCCATGATGTGGTGTGTAAATTGTTGTGAAGTGATGCCAATCATACTGATCCATTTCGTTTGAAAGTTAACCTGTATAAATTCATGATAGCATAAAGAAACTAGNAGCTTTCATCCGTACACTTTGGACTTCAACAGTCACACAATGTACTCTAGATTTCTTCTTTTATTTACAACAGTTTGTGGTTAGTAACTATAATTAAGTCTTAGGCAGTCAAGTCAATTGCAAAATGGCATATCTTATAGATGGTTTGCATTTAAATACATACTACCTTTTGCTCTACATTTTTCAATGACTTCTCTTCATAAATCTGCTGCGATGTGTGTTTTATCGCAGTTAATGCTGCTCTTAAATTGTGATTAGCCCATATGACCATAGAAATGCCCAAGTCATTAAAATAGTCAGTGGATGTGCTGTAATAGTTGGTTGGTACAATCACGACTGGACCCTGAAATATAATTAATATACCTATTAACAGTAAATATAAACTAGAAAGCCTTCAAAAAAGGCATGGGTTGATTTTCAAGGAAAAAAATGTCTATGCAAAAGTACTGAGTGTCAATTTGCAATTTCAATCATTATCATGCATTGGTACAGATGAAAAATACATGTAAGTTTGAATTGGCACTATGAAATATTAAAGGCACGGCTATTTAATACAGCAGTAGTACTGTCAGTGTACATAATAAGTGTGGCATTAGGAAGCAGTTTTAATATAAAATACACTGTGTGCCACATAATCAAAGCGATTATTGCACATTTGACTTATTCAACATACATATGCAACACTTAGACAAAACACTGGCAATATTGACACTGAAGTGGGAGTTTCAGGCATCTTTTCTCTCTAGTTTTTTTATGGCTGTCAGTGAGAGGTTATTTTTGTAAACCAAGTTATAGTGTATGTAAGGGGGAAGGGGGTTGCAGGATAGTCATATCATTCCTTCAGTGTCCATCTTTTGGTTTGTTAGGTTTACTTTACAATGTAGCATGTACAAGTTTTTTTTAAATTTCATCTCAGGTTAGTAAATTAACTATAGTGACCTTTTCATTATTTCCATTTAAGTGCTGGTAGACATGCATACAGGCTGGTGAAAATCATTTGCCAGCATGTGCATTACTTAAACAGCAGTTGCGAGTTGTTTTGGAAGTGATCATTGTTTTGAGATTCTTCACATCTGGTTTATAAAACAGGTTTTGCAATAACATTTGTTGCATTTCATCATAAACATTTAAATACAGTCAATTTCTGTCTTTAGACTGAGCTGAATAAGAGAGTACTAAAAGATGAAACTGGGAAAAGAAGGTTTGACCGTCTCTAAATAAACAAAAGCTAATGATGTGAAAAAGCACCAATAAAACAACCTTGTTATGGTAAAGATATTAAAATGTAGTACTTAGCATTCAAAAATTTCATTTCTTTTTGGCAGTCACACATGTACACGCATACTAAAGCATATATTATTTCAAAAGTGTGCACTTGAAATCTGCACTCTAAACCACGTCTAACTGACAAATTCACCTGATTTTTCCATGCCCTCATGAAAGCTTCAATTTCTGATGGATCTTTCTTCTTACTGTGCATCAAGATGGCATCAGCCCCTGTGATATTGCATATCATTTATACATGTGCATACTAACAAAATGAACTTGTTCCATGCTGATTTTAAAAACTGTTCACATTTAATTCCATTTTTCAAGTTATCAGTTATCAAACAGCTAGACTAAAAAATGCTGTCTTATGCTATTTATATAAAATAACAAAAGAGACAAATAGATATATAACAAAATAGTCTTAAACAAATCTTTAATGTTTTAAGTTTTGAGGATGCATGATTGACAAAATATGGGTATGTCAAGAGTGACATTTCTCTAAAGTACCTGCATTTCTGTAGGTTTCTGCCCTGCGGAGTGCCTCATCTAGTCCCCAGCCTGCAATAAAAGCTTCTACTCTGGCCACTATGCAAAAGTCTGGATCTTTTTGGACTTCTTTACAAGCCTTTTCCATAGAAAGATAGAGTAATAAGTCATTAAATTACTTTTACTGATCGAATAACAAGACACTAGGAAAACTTTGAAAAATTATCACCTTATCAATACAACCTTTACTTATTAATGAATATGAAAATAATATTATTCCACCTTAATTTTTAATGCAAATTCTTCCATATCTGCCAGTGGTTGCATTCTACCTTCATGAAGTGAGTTTGTCTTTGGAAAGACCTTGTCTTCCATGCAGGCACCTGTATCATATAAAATTCATATGTTTACTAGTAACATGATATACTTGTTACATAGATACAGAGCATACACACACATCCCCAGTATGCAATAATCAATGGTCCGTTTACACAAAAATTGAACCTTTCTAACATATTATTAAGTGAATATCAGACATTTTACAGGCCCGTAGCCAGGGGGGGTTCGGGGGGTTCGAAAGAACCGCCCCTATTGCTGAAAAAGGTCCACTCTGGGTAAAATTTGATCTAGGTACAAGAACTTTTAATGGGAAAAGGTCCACTTTTTCAGAAAAAAGAACCCCCCTTTTGAAATTGCTGGCTACGGGCCTGTTTTAAATGGGAAACATGTAACACAGTCAACATACATGTAGGACTCAATTAAAATACCTCTAATAATTCTTTTACATAAAAATTAATTTCTTGCTAAAATTTAATTAACATGTGGTTAATTGCAGTAAATCGTTACCTCACTCAATCACACTTAAACCAATAAGTTACGAAAGGACAGTTAAGAAAGGATTCATTTATGAAAGAAATAATTTTTAATGCAAGTAAGAGTAAATGAAGGGGGAAAAGGTGAAAAGATAATAAAAGGAAAAAAGTTAATCGACTGACATACAATTACTGAGTACATGTACATGTGATGAACCTCATTCTCTCATGTTCTTTTTACACAAGCATTATTTCTTCTTAAAAATATCATAAACCTGCTATTGCCCTAGATTCCAACTTCTGAACTAGTCTCCTTGCATTATTAAAGTTGCCATAGCCAGTGTCAGCGTCAAGCAAGATTGGTATGTCTGTCGCATCACTCATGAATTCTATCAAGTCAAGAACTTGGGTCCACGAGGCTTCATTGCTGTCTCTGATGCACCACTGAGCAGAAATGGAAAGTCCGCTTGCCCAAATGCCCTTAAAGCCTAATGAAAAATAAAATATTCTAGTTTATAATAATTGTTTTTAGTAATTGAGACCACAGATCCATTTCACATGGCATTTTGTTTACAAATTGATTGTTTATGAAAGTTGCAAAGATGGCACATATATAGGAAGAATTTAATGTTTAAACATTCAGTTTACATGTACATACCGGCACATACAATTGTGACTATCACATAAATAACACAATATCACAATTACAAAGGAAGCAACCTGCTCCAGAGGTACACTAGCAGAAAGATGCGCACAATTAACACAGATCAATACACTTTTCTCCAAAATCAAGATGAACATATATGCAAGAATACTGGTATGGCAGCCATGATGTGGTGTGTAAACTGTTGTGAAGTGATACCAATCATATTGATCCATTTCGTTTGAAAGTTAACCTGTATAAATTCATGATAGCATGAAGAAATAAAGTTAACAAAACAGAATGATATTCCAGACTGACTAAAGCTGATAAATTCATAAGAAATACTGGGTTAATATTAACATTCTGGTGATGTCTGAAGGAAACCTACATTTCAGAAGAAAAGTACAGGTACATTAGAGAAATCTTATGTGAGATGACTTGAAAACAATGTCAGCAGACAAATGGATCAACGTCACCTTTACTTCTAGTTGTCCAGTCTATGCATCAGCCTTCAATAAATTATAACAGACATTATCTGTCTACTACATGTACCAGTAGCTGGTACAAGTTAAACAAGTTAGATCTAAGGTCAGGTCAGATAAGGCTAGGAGGACTTTTAATTAATTACATGTAATAAGGGGCTCTGATGTTGGTTTGATTCAATCTGAGAATGCATATCCTTGCCATGGAAGTAACATACATATGGTACTTACTTTTTACATGGCAAGGATATGCATTCTCCAACTTCAATTAACTATACTAGTAAAAAAAAATTAATGTACTTATTAACAACAACACATTAACTTGATGGTGGACAAACAGGCCTACAGTCAGCAGTATGAAGTATTAAAACGTGCCAATCCAAATATTTCTTTGTTAACTATATTTGTGGGATCGTGCAGTTGTAGAAAAACATACTGCTTGAAACACCTGGATTATCAATATGATTTTCTTGTACATTGCATTTACTCTCAAGCATCTTAGGAACTTCACTGATTAACCAAACAAATTTATTTCAAAACTTTCCCTTACTGTGGTGCATAAATACCATTATAACTAACATTCAAAATCGAATGAGGGACTCGAGCTTTAAAATCATGTAACATTGTTTAATCAACTCTCAAAGTCTCGGCACCAACTGATAAGGAGATTTAGCACCAAAATTAAATGTGTTTGCATGAGATAATCTGAAAATAAATGAAGTTTTCGTTTTCATCGATTAAAGCTGTTTCAGACATGAGGACATAGTGATTAGTCTTCAGCTGTTATATTGGCCCAAACTACTTTACCAGTATATAGGTTTTGACCAATATTCTCACTTGTTGATATATGCATGTGCTAGATATCTTAAAAAAGATCTCACATTACAAAATAAAAATTTGTATGTGTTAAAATATCATCTGAGATTGTTGTAAAATGATGAGGGATAAGTCATACATATACCTGAAATCATAATAATATTATTATTATTATTATTATTATTATTATTATTATTAATAATAATAATAATAATATTATTAATAATAATAAGGAAGAGTTCTTTAAAACTGCACTCCACATTGTCTCAGCATTATATACAATGTCATTATGTGTAGATTAAAACTTAGAATCTAAAATTATAAATTGTTCTTAAATCCTCCCTTCTAAAACAGATTTACTAAAGAATACAGCAACATATAAGCAAGTCATTTTAACAGCGACAGTCTACAAATATTTTATCTATAAATTACTTCTCAATAACTTCAACACACTATATTAGAGCTGTTACCTGTTTCCTGTACCACTTTAGCAGTGAGGCCATTATGTGCTTCCATTAAGAATTCCAACTCTGATGACTGCAGCATTGTCTTTAATTTTGTGGTTTTCTGAAACAAGCTTCTGTTTTATCAATTTCAATCAAGAAACTAATTATATTGATACCTAAGATATCTACTCATCTATCAACTTAGAATGGTGACACACTGAGAAAAAACAAGCCAACTAAAGACTGTTCAAGTGGGTCTCTTCAATTGCATTATTTCTAAATATTTAATGTTAATAATGTTAATTAAAATTAAAATTTGGATGCTTTTCAAATATCATTCCCATTTAGAAGGTAATTTTGGGGTATCAATGAAAACAGGTAGATATTCACACATTTGCCTGCCACAGGCCATTGTGGGCATCTTATACCCCATTTCCATAGATTTTTAGATTGATCTATCCCTGTGGGGAGTCTCACTAGATTACTGTCAGCTTGGCCGGCTTAAGCATCTGTCCCGCCTACTAAAAGCTGTAAGGGGGTAATTAACTATGGTGCCCGCTCGGCTGACTGCAATTTAGTGTGAACCCCCAGGGAGTTAGGTCGATCTAAAACTTAATCTTTAGATCGATCTAAATCTCTGGGAAAGCACCCTTACAACATTTAATTACTATTATTATTATTATTACTACTGTGGTTGTTATTAATCATAATTAAAATAATAATAATCTTAGAAAACCATAAAGGGTAGGATGAATAGATAGACATGATGGCATAATCAAAGAAAATTGCAAATTATTTAAGTGAAAATAAGAATGTTTACAGGTAATTATAATCAATATATAATTTCCATTATACTTCAAATATAAAAATCAATGAATAAATAAATGACAGAAGACAAAAAAGGAAAAAAGAAAAGAAGAGAATCAACTGTTTCTGTGGAGAGCCCTTATAACCTCATGTCCGGAAAAAAAGAGAAAGAGAAAAAAGAGAAAGAGAAAAAATAAATACACGTACAAAGTTACAAATAATATGATACCAGTAGATTTCTCATTTCCTAATTAATATCACAATTAGAGGCATTACCATTCAAGACACATCATGGAAAAACATATTAAAACTGTAAATGCTCTTGACATTTTTTTCTGACACAAAAATATCACAACATAAATTGTAACTTTGAGGTGGATTATGTCTTTGTTAAAAGTGTTATCATAATACATAGACATACTCTTAATGGTGTTGTTTTCCCATGGTCTGGTGCTCCACTGCAGAAATAACATTGTTGGTTCCTGGCAAAAGACTGGCCAGCAGCTGTAATAAAGAATATGCATTGTCTGGGATTTAAACTTTAGAGGTAAAATAAGTGCTGTTTTTTATTTCTTTTTGTCACATATATATATATATATATATATATATATATATATATATATATATATATACTCGTACAGGAAAAACGCTTTTACTTTCAATATATATATATATATATATCTTTAGATAGGAGCAAAGGCCTTGGAACAAGCCATTGATGTTGGACTTGAGGTAAAGGATGCAGTGGAAAGACTAGAGAAAAGATATCTGGATTATTTGGAAGTAACAAACGAATACAGGGTGTTATGTGAAGAAACAGATGCAGATACTGAATTCACAGTTGTTGCTGAGATGGATCTTCATGAATACGATGAACAGGTGAAAAAAACGTACCTCAATACAATCCAAGTTTATAAGCAACATAGCAAACGAAATGTAACTCAAAATTCAGACTCACCCATTCAACTGAAAAAAAGGGAAATCCCTAAATTCTCAGGACACAGAAGTGACTGGCCAGAATTCAAAAACATTTGGCAAAATATGGTTATTCCAGCCGTACAAAATAAAACAGCCTTGGCTGTGGATTAAAAAAACTCTTGTAAAAGTGGTCTAGCTTATGTAGAAATTTCCAACATCTCAGCAGGTTCGGAAAATGCTTATGATAAGATGGGAGGCTTTATGCCTACACTATGATAATGTACCATTGGCAGTGTCCAATGCTTTAGAAGAGATAAACCAGTTAAAACCAGTGTCATCTGAAGATAATTATCAAGAGCAAGTACAATTGATCAGAAAAATTGATTCCATATTTCAACAGCTAGAAATGTTAGATCAAGTACACATGGTTTCTTGTAAAGACGTGGCACGCATTGTTTCATTTTTTTCACCCTTACTCAGAAAAGATTGGGCAGAATTTATCAATAAGTTGCCAGTCTCAGCACAATTACATCCATTAGGTCCACTTCAGGATTTCTTACAATCAAAGTTAGGGGTTCTCAAACAAATGGCTAATGATCAAGCGTTATTAAAACCTGTCAAAACACAAAAACAAAGTCACAGTCACAATGTTAGAGCAAGTCAGAATGATAGTTGTTTTTTACACAATGGCAATTCTCATACCACTAGTCAGTGTAAGCTGTTTTTATCTCTTTCAGTGCCTGAAAGAAAAGAAAAACTCAGACAAGCAGGTAGATGCTTCAGGTGTTTTGCTTCCCACAGAAGAGCCAGCTGCAAAGAAAATAGTCCATGCTCTTACTGTAACAGATGTTCCCACCATACCCTGATGTGTTGGCAAGCACCCACTGTAGATAAAGGCTATAACACAGGTGACCCTTCTGTGGAGAGCAAACATGCTGAGAGCAATGTAGCCAAAAGTAATGGTAAGACACTCTATGCCATATATGATGTCCCAGTTTCTTCATCCAAAAACAAAACTGTCATTTTTTGTGATGATGGTGCTGATACTACTTTCATTTCTCAAAATGGTGTGAAAAAGCTAAATGCAAAGAAATTGGGAAAATTTTCTATTCAAATGAATACATTAAACTCTACAGACACAATTTCTACTCATTTGTATGAAGTCACTCTCATTACTGTCAGTGGTAGAAAAGTGAAAGTTGAAGCCTTTTGTTTGCCTACACTCTCAAGCTCTGTTTCTCAGTTAAGTGAAACTGCCATTGCAAACATTTTTCCAAATTTTGATCCAAAAACTCTTCAAAGGCCAAACTGACCCGTTGACATATTGTTAGGTGGGGATTATTTTGGTTTACATCCAAATAAAAGAAATCGAGTCTGATGGGGCTAACCTCAGTGTAATGGAGGGGGATTTGGGTGTGTATTTGCAAGGATATCATCAGTTAATTGAGGAACGAACAGAGAAATCCAACAGCATTGGTTATTCAGTTACTCTCTGCAAATCTGTCAGTACATGTATGCATGTGAACTCCTCTTGCATGAAAGTCACTCACAGTGAATTTAACCCCCCCTTCTCAGACCCTTCTAAGGGTGGGGGCGCTGTGATTATTAATCACTCTCAGAGTCAGGGTGTTGTGTCCTCTATTGTCCCCCTATCAGACCCTTCTAAGGGTGGGGATGTTGTGAAAATCGATCCCTCTCAGGGACATACTGTAGATAGCTCTGTTGATCCCTTCTCAAACCCTTCTAAGGGTGGGGGTGTTGTGAATTTTAATCCTTCTAGAAGCAAGGGTGAACTTGTCTTTCCAGACTCCTTTGATGGGCACAAAAGTGTACAGTCTTTGAAAACAAAAAGTGAGTCACATTTTTTTGAAAAGCTCTCTAATATTGACACTTTCATATTAGGTGAGGAAATGGGAACGGAAATGAATCCAAAATGTGGTGCTTGCAAATGTGGAAAATGTCCATCTGTGGGACATACATATTCTTTTAAAGAGGAACAAGAATTACAACTGATAACGTCAAAATTGCATCATGACAAAGAACGTGAATGCTGGTCTACTGAATATCCCTGGTTATTTGACCCAGCATTATTGCCTGACAATTATAATGCTGTTTTTGCCACTTTGAAAAGTACTGAAAAATCTAAAAATGGACCCTCAATGGGCAGAGAAGTACTCTGAACAAATACATGATATGGAAACTAGAGGTGTACCTAGAAAAATGACCCAGGAAGAAATTCTTGAATGGGAAGGTCCTGTCTTCTATTTGGCACACTTAGCTGTCGAGCAGCCACAAAATTCATCAACTCCAGTCAGAATTGTTTTCAACAGTAGCCAACTTTTTCAAGGGGTTTCTTTGAATTCATTTCTTGCAAAAGGCCCTGATACATTCAAAAACAATTTGCTAGGACTCTTGATTAGATTCCGTGAAAACCCAGTTGTTTTGAATGGTGACATCAGAAAGATGTATAATTCAGTTTTTCTGGGGAAGTTAGAACAAAATACTCACCGATTTTTGTGGCGTGACATGGAAAATAGACCCCCAGACATTTGGTGCATTACACGTGTAAATATAAGAGACAAGCCTGCAGGTACAATTGCAATTGAGGCAAAAGACATGACTGCTGACTTCTTTTGTTCTATCAATCCACAAGCAGCTGTTATCATCAAAGAATCTTCTTATGTTGATGATATAGTGGAAAGTGTGGAAAGCTTTTCTCAAGCTGAACTCTTATCCAAAGACATTGATCTTATTCTTTCCAAGGGAGGTTTTAAGACAAAAGGGTGGATCTTTGGGGGTCAGAATGTACCTAAAGCCAAGTCAGAATTACACAAAGTTTTGGGCATTTCTTGGATTCCCTCAGATGATGTTATTGTTTTCAAAGCATGTTTGAATTTCTCTACGAAACGTAGAAATATTCGTACTGAACCTGGCCTTCTTTCATCTCAGGTTCCAGGTGAAATACCTACTGTGCTGACCAGACGCATAGTTTTGGAGCAAGTGATGGGTATATTTGATCCATTTGGCTTCCTTGCACCTTTTGTCTTACTTGCAAAGATGTACTTGAGAGAAACATGGGCACTACGTCTAGATTGGGACGAAGCTATTCCAGAGGTATTAAATGTCAAATGGAGGAAATTTTTCTGTTCATTGTTTCAGATTGATGAATTGAAGTACCCCAGATGTTTGAAACCAGTACATGATGTTGTTGGTGATCCAATGTTAATCATCTTGTCTGATGGTTCAGAAAACGCATATGGATGTGCAGCCTACATTAGGTGGACTTTGAAAGAAATTCCCACTGTCTTTACACAAGTTGCAGATTTGCTTAATGAAAGACCAATAGGAGTGATGCCCAGTGTTGATTCTACTCTCAATATCCTTACTCCCAATTCTCTACTTCTTGGTAGATCTACTTCTAGAAATCCTGGAGGTTATGATCCTTCCTTGAGATCCCGTCTCACTTTAGTAGAAGGCTGTGTAAAACAGTTCTGGGAGCAATGGAAGAATCTCTTTGCACACACTCTTGTCCATCAAACGAAGTGGTTTAAAGGGAATCGAGACTTGAAAGTGGGAGATGTTGTTATAGTACCTGATAGCAATGTTCTCAAGGGAGAATATCGTCTTGCAAAGGTTACTGAAGTTTTCCCTGGCACTGATGGTCTTGTAAGAAGGGTGAAAGTGTCTTATAAAAATTATAGAATGGGAGAAAAAGTTCATGAGTACAAGGGTGCTAAGAATATTGAGGTAGAGAGATCTGTTAGAAGATAGGGTTTATTAATTCCTATTGAGGATATGTAATTGCTCTCAAATACTAATGCAACATTGTATATATATTATATTAGTACACAAGTTATTAATGATATTATATGATTATTTCTTTATTAGTTCTAGTTTAGTTACAGTATATGAATATATTTCATTAGTTAAAATTTTGTGTGACATTTAAACTTTAAGTTTAATAATTAGTGTCACAGAGATAAAAATATATAATGTATCTCTGCGAGGAGAACCTCCCGATGTTCTGGGATCAACAAAATATTGTCGAACTGTTCAGTCTAGGATGTAAAATGTGGTCACTCAGTCATGTGACACATGAAGACAAAAGACCACACCTATAGTACTGAGAGGACACACACACACCACTGACTTTGCTGGAGATAGACAGAAGTACATGACTCTCTAAAATATATACTCCACAATTTATTGACCGGCTTTCGGCTTTCGGCTATCGGCTATTGACAAAGATGATTTGCTATGAACAATTTTGAATAAAGCTAACCGTGTGCAATAAGGGGTTTTATGTTTTTCTTTTTATAACCCAAAANAGAAAAAGTTCATGAGTACAAGGGTGCTAAGAATATTGAGGTAGAGAGATCTGTTAGAAGATAGGGTTTATTAATTCCTATTGAGGATATGTAATTGCTCTCAAATACTAATGCAACATTGTATATATATTATATTAGTACACAAGTTATTAATGATATTATATGATTATTTCTTTATTAGTTCTAGTTTAGTTACAGTATATGAATATATTTCATTAGTTAAAATTTTGTGTGACATTTAAACTTTAAGTTTAATAATTAGTGTCACAGAGATAAAAATATATAATGTATCTCTGCGAGGAGAACCTCCCGATGTTCTGGGATCAACAAAATATTGTCGAACTGTTCAGTCTAGGATGTAAAATGTGGTCACTCAGTCATGTGACACATGAAGACAAAAGACCACACCTATAGTACTGAGAGGACACACACACACCACTGACTTTGCTGGAGATAGACAGAAGTACATGACTCTCTAAAATATATACTCCACAATTTATTGACCGGCTTTCGGCTTTCGGCTATCGGCTATTGACAAAGATGATTTGCTATGAACAATTTTGAATAAAGCTAACCGTGTGCAATAAGGGGTTTTATGTTTTTCTTTTTATAACCCAAAACATATATATATATATATATATATATATATATGTAAGCTGTTAAAGCTATGTGAAACAATTTCACTGAATTGGCCACCATGAACTTTATTGTATAATTAGATGCAGCTGGAAAATGAACAATTCCCAACATTTAATGGTGCCCATATTCCAATTCTAATAATGATGACAATAAAAATGACCATTAACTCTGCCACGGCAGGTTTTATTACCTCCGCCAAGGAGATTATTCTTTCACCCCTGTTTGTCTGTTTGTTTGTTTGTCTGTCTGTCATCAACATAACTCAAAAAGTTATGGACTGATTCTGATGACATTTTCAGGAACTGTCAGAAGATGATTAGTTTTTGGTGGTGATCCGGATCAATAATCAATCAATAATCCATAATAATAAAAAAACGCTGCCTTGGCGGAGGTCTGCGCTCTCGGAGTGCTTTTCTAGTTTTCTATGGCATTACTAGTTGGTCTGTTAGCAGTTTAGTGAGCAAGATATCTAAGGGACCATTCCCAGACCCTGTCGTGCCAACTATGGATCAATCTATCTTCAAGGGAATTCTCGATAAATTGCAATCAACTTAAGAGGCTTAGATGTCTGGCATGCCTACTGAAGCTGTTAAGGGTAATTAACTATCGTTTAAAAGTGCCAAACATCTAAGCCACTAAAGCTTAAGCAATTTAGCGAGAAACTCATTGGAGATGGATTGATCCTGTTAGATCAATCTAGGTATGGGAACCAAGTCTCAAAAATTCTTATCAAATTTTGATAAAAATTTCAGCTTCATATGGAATAAGTTTGAACACACACACACACAAACACACACACATATCAGGCCCCTAGCCAGGGGGGGGTTCGGGGAATTTGAAAGAACTGCCCTTTTTGTCAGGAAAAGGTCTAATCGGGTAAAGTTTGATCTATGCGCACTAAGGATTCATTGTAAAAGGTCCACTTTTTCGGAAAAAGAACCCCCCTTTTGAAATTGTTGGCTACGGGCCTGCATATATATATATATATATATATATATATATATATATATATATGAATACAAATAATGAAGCAGAGAAACTTTTTATGGAAAACTAATGCTGTTTAATTCAATTCATATAATTTGGGTGAAACAAATGTAGTACCCGGTACAACAAAAAGAAAGGAAAGAGTCATTTCATTTCTTTATTTTGTTATAACTTTAATCATAATAACATTTCCTAAAGTGAAAAGAAAAAAACATTTTCCCACCATAATGAATAGATTTATACATTCCTTTAATCATGTTTTTTTTGTTTTTGTTTTTTTATTGCAACATTTCAATGTATTAAAACAATAAATAATGATATGTGGGTAAAAAATGAAAGTTTTCTATCTGCATCATCAAAAAAAACAATAACGCCCAGACTGCAAGTGGATAAAATAGAGGTGTAAAAAATAAATAAATGAATCTTTCCCCCAAAGGATATTCTCGAATTGCATAGGTAAACCCGTATAATACATAAAATGGGGATGCTGGGGAGCGAAAATTCAGTCTACGTATCATCAACTGCCCACGCACATAAACGGTAGCTCTACTGTAAGTATACTCAAAAATTAATCCGTTTTTCTACTGCGTTTCGATTCTGTTCTAAATACCTACGCATACCCCCCCCCCCCCCCCCCGTTCCCACACGCACATAAACACACACACAGTCAAGTGCAATTCTACTTTTCATAAAATACTTACTCTTTGTAAAAGTAATCCTTGCTGCAAGGAGCGATATTCTACTGCTTGAGCACGCCATAAGGCCCGTCTTACTAGGTCACCCTATTTGTCACTATCTGTAGCCTTTTCAGGCATTTAACTGGTTTTCTATGTTGGTGCAGCTAATGTCTCTCTCTCTTTCTAGTCTACTACGATGTGGTAGCGAAGAAAGAAACTGATTGCTAGAAGATGTGTCAAAAATCCTTATCATATCTTGGGCCAAAAATATGGAATGATCTCTCAAATGACTTAAAGCAAAGCATCAATTCAAATGAGTTTAAATCACTTTTAAGGCTTTGGGAAGGACCCAAATGCAGATGTAGCCTGTGTAACCTATATGCTTTTAGTGAAAATGTGTAATAATACGTCATGTTTACATTGTTTATATAACTGTATCATTGAGCATTGTATGTAAAATTGTCTGTTTTTCACAGTTGATTTAGGTATAGCATTCTGCACATTTCCCATAAAAAAAAAACTTTTTTCTCTTTTTTCTAAATTGTTATCTTAATAGATTTCGTGTTTTTGTTTACTCTTTGTAGATTTTTTTTATTTTTATTTTTTATTTATTTATTTATTTATTTTTTTACTAGACTTCATGTGTAATATTGTATTATTGTAGATATGTTTTTGTCCTTATATAGTCGGAGAATAGCTGTAAAGCTAATGTTTCCATTCAATTTGTAACCGACATGAAATAAAATTTATTGTATTGTATTGTATTGAGTCTTTATTTACTGAAATGCATTTTTTTACAAAGTATACACAAACAAAACAGGCCCGTAGCCAGTGGGGGGTTCGGGGTTCGAAAGAACCGCCCTTTTTGCTGGGAAAAAGGTCCACTCTGGATAAAATTTGATCTCGGTACACGAAGGTTTTATGGTAAAAGGCCCACTTTTTCAGAAAACGAACCCCCCATTTTAAATTGCTGGCTACGGGCCTGCAAAGTGTAACGTTTACTGACAATATGGACAAAATTCGCTATTATGTTCAAGCTGGCAATAAAACAAAAGTTCATCAGAGGCGCGTTCAAACGATTTTTCGGACCAATGAACCTTCAAATTATCGAGATGCCCCTGGCCCCAGCAGACACCAGCTGAATGGCTCAATTCTTTTGATCATACTCAAACAACACCTTTTTACACTTATCTATATATAGTCTATCCACGTAGGCGACGACCTGTGAGAATTGCTTCCATACTTGTTGACAGTTCTATACTTTACAGGAATAAAATATAATCAGTGACAATATTTAAGCTATTTTACAAACGTTTTGCATTACATTCATGTTCATATGTTAACGAATGAATTGGCCACATGATTACACACCTAACAGAATATCATTATGTTTCGATTTTTAAATTTTAATTAAAATGGTATTGTCCTGATGACAGTGAAATGTGTATCATTATGCTATGCACTGTAGGACCTGTTGGTCTTACTGACTACGACGGTAACCTGTCGGACTAGGCCCACAAGGGCCTAAATGCCCCCATAATTGGCTATATCTATAGGCATAACATACAGGCCAAAGTTCAGACAAAACTAGCTTGGCCTAGACCTACGGTCTCAACATGATAAAAATCATTTGAGTGCTCCCTCATGTAAATTTCTCCTGGCTCAAAGACAACATCTTTACAGACACACTTGGAAAACACCCTGCTTAAGCAAAGTCCAATTTTTTTCATTTTAAAAATATCCGCCGCTGACACTTATTTTTTTTAATTTTTCACCACTTTGCATTGAAAATCAGCGTGCTGTGTTGCGTGGTAAGTCAGCGCCATCTGTTGACAGGTTGAATCTCTACGTGACTGTCACATCAGGGTGAAGTATACTATGGTGCTCTTATCTTCCAGTCTTGTAGAGGCTCGGTTTCTTGCCTAACAGGGTATGTATAATTAAATATTGATCAATAATATGATGGACTCGTTCTCGTGGCTGTGCCAGTTCCATATGACAACCGATACGACAGGACTATTGTAGAAATAACAGTATGAAATTGACAGCTCGATAATGAAAGTTGATAACTAATTTTAGACGTAAAATAGATTGAACTTTTTTTGACGTATCAAGAATTACAGTATGTNTGTATTTTCTTTTATTAATTAATTAAGTATATTCACAATAAATTTATTATAAATAAAGACACATTTCAATATTGTAGAAGTTTTATTGATACAAATCTAGAGTTGTCAAAATTTTTTCTTTTCACTGTAAAATAAAAAAAGCTACGTTTACAAAAGATGAACTAAAGACAGAAACTAGCCTTTTATATTAAAACATCACGTGGAATTGTACAGCTTTTACAGTGGTGATACAAATAGAACTTTATTTGAATCTATAACAGTAGGGTTAATTAAAAATGTTTGACAAAATATGATACCGGTTTTTAAAATTATAAAAGTTTGCCGAATAAAAAATAGACATAAAGCGGTTTATTTACAATTAGCTACAATAATATTTATATCCATTTTGGACAATTTTGACCAACCACAAACACCATATCATCTCAATATGGGCTACAAAATCCTCTGCAAATTTTAACCAATGAGAAGTCTTGTTCAATAAACACTTGCAGAGCTCGCATATTTAAGTTTTGCTAAATGATGAAGACAATTAACTCACTTTGGATACAGAAAATTGAAATAATTCCAGAAAATAAATTGTCAATATACTCACTTTGGCTAAAGAAAAAATATTTTATAGGGTGTGCAAATTCCTCTTCATGCAATGCTAACTGGCCAAAAGGTAATTTCGTATAATGACGGGCCTCTACAGCATAGCTATCTGCCAAAGTCGAGTATCAATATTAGCCAATCATATGTCCTCTCCCATAAACAGTCAAGGTTTTAATCAAAATCTCTCTCTAATTCAGCTGAACCGTTTACCAACAGTTAGCCGACGACAATAAATAGGTTGAAAATAGAAATAACTTTCATTTCTGTGCTTTCTGAAACCCCATCTAAAGAGAAAGCTCTCATTGCCGGCTGGTACAATATTTATACTTGTAATGAACTGGTCAGATCACCAACATGAAGAATATGGGTAGATCTGAAAAGAAGTCATTTCAGCCATTTTTCTCTACATAGGACAAAGAAAACTCTTCTTTTTCAAACTTGGTTAATTCTTGCCCTGATGTTTAGGCATTAATCGGGAACAAATGCTTTTTCCCCCCCAACAACTGCAATGAAATAAAGGTCTTGTATCCCCACAAGTTGTAAATCAATCAAGTTCCTTTCATACACATCCTGAATTGATAGCATAAAATAAAATCTAACGGCAGGTCTCCCCATTAAAACACTGCAGTGAATTGAGGTCCTTTGCTTATGTGAATCGACGTGTAAGGCTCAGACTGGGCCACTTGCACAGCGTTCTGCTTCTTTAGCACCAGGAGGGCATAAAACTTCGACGCAGCCTGTTTGCGATTATTGCGATTGGTGACATCCTGGAATTTGATACTGTCTGTACGTTTTAGTAAGGTCTGAAGTGAATGGAGCATTTGAAGAGAGCGCTTGTTCCATCGAATCTCTTCTTGTTCTGCCGTCTCCTCCTGCAAAAGAAATGCAAATTACATATTTTTTCTCAACTAGAGGGTCACAGGATAAAGACATTGAATACTTGCACATACATCAAACATAAAATTCATTTTGGATTTTTTCAATTATTATTTTTTGTTTAAAATTTGAACAAAATACGGAATTGTCTGACTTTACTAATATCTCCAGTGCCTTGGTCAAAAGATTTTGCTTGAAAGGAGCTTCTGTACATTACATTTTCTAAGTCTGTTTTACTGCTGGGGTATTAAAGGCAATTTATTGTGGTGAGCAAGTTTTTCAGAATATTTTATGTTGTATTGAGAGTGAACAATACCTGATGACACACAAATGTAAACAAAATATCACCGAGGCAAAAAGATGTTTACTTTTCAAGAAAAACTGAATTTTGAGGGCCTACATAAGAACTGAATTTTTCAGGGCCTATTTTCAAGCCATTTTGGTAGTAAAATATTTCTTGGTGATGCCAATTTTTATATAGAATATATAGAATATACATACCACTGGCTGCCCATCTAAATCAACGGGAAGTTCAACATTGTCCTGAAAATCTATCAACCCAACATCATTATCCTCAGGTCCTGGTGTGACAGGAGGATGGTCCAAAATGGACGACTTCTCCAGGCGATTTTCCTTGTCAGCTGCTTTTTCTTTTCGAGAGCGTTTCTTCTCTGGTTCCACGGTGACAGATTTTTCTTGTGGTACGATTGTGCTTTCCTGTTCTGGTGGAGGCAAAATCTCCTCCAGTGCTGAAATTCCATAATATCAGTGAAGTTTTACATTTTTGTTACTTTTCATCATGTAGTATTGATTATTGTCATAAAAGACCTTTATATATTTTATCTATTATTTTATTTATTATGTAACTCATAAGTTTTACACCGACTTACAATAACTAAATTCTTACAACAATACAAGCTAATCAAAATATTTCAAAGGTAACACACTAGTTTAGATCAACTATTGATTATAAAACAGACAGGGATACAGAACACAACAGAGTTACTATTTCAAATTATCCAGCTATAGTGTTTTCTTTAAATCAAATAAGGAATGAAAGATCAACTGTCATTCTGGTCACTCTTTAGTCCATAGATTTCATCAGGAAATTGGACTAATTCTCACTGTCTCTTTAAGCCACACCATCAGTATGTGAGCGGCCAGTACAAATAATTAATCTTTCTTTCAACATCTGATTACCACTAAGCACACTTCTGATACTGTTATAAGATCAGCACTGCACCACCTACCCATGGTTGGCTGTTCCTCCTCTCTGGCCACCTCCGGCTCCTCAGACAGCTCAATCTTCTCCCCAGCTTCCTGGTCTTCTTCTGTGACTGGCTGTGTGACCAGGTTTTTGTTGAACAGCTGCAATTCAATGTCAAATGTAAACTAGATTACAAGGTATATAAATAGGCTCTCGGCTCAAACAAGTCCTAAAAAAATCAGTCTCAGTCGTTTTAAAATAAAAGAAGCAACTATTACAAATTTTGGCGCCCGAACAGGGACTGTGACTTGAGGGTCCAGGGACTCCAGACTGACCACGTCACTCATGCGGTCACCAAGACATCATACCAGGCCTAAGAACAGCGTTTGACACAGTCTATCCTGCTCAGATTATTCTGGAGGACTTCTAGAAAGCTAAAACACTGTCCTTATATGTTGTCCTTATATTGTTGCAAGTGGCAGAAGTTCCGGGATGAGAACATTTGAGATTTGACACATCAACAAATATGCAGTCAATGAAATTCCACTATATAGTACAGAGACAGTCAGTAAAACAACTGGACCGTTGTGGGCATTGTCATACAGAAGCGTTGGACGCTTGACTTTGTGCGGTTTATGTTGTGAGAGTTATACACATTCAACTGATAAACTCCACTTGCTGTGTCATAACTCACACTCTGCTTATGATTCTGTCGTTGGCTGGCTGGAATACTGCGTCAGAACAACTTTGACATCTTTTCTTGTACACAATGATAACCAGGTCATTATTAACTCTGGCAATGACAATGTATATAAACTTGGAATTTTTACTGATGCTAGACAGACATTGATTCACTACAGTGACAGACAATCCAAATTAGTCGATAATTTCATCTTATTGAAGGTCATTGGTTGAGAGAATAGGATTCCAACGCTTATTATTACACCTGGAAGTCTCTGTAAAGACGAGAAGGATGCGTAAAACTGACAAAATGGAAAAAGTCCCAAGTTGCCATGGTTGCTGCGACTGAATGCAGCTTCCGAGTTCTTCCTCATCTCCAATATTCTCCTGATTTATCCTTTACTGACTTATATCTGTTCCCAAAACTGAAAACTAACCTTTGTGGAAGAAAATTGGGAAGCAATAAAGGTGTCATAGATGCAGTAAACTAGTACTTGGGGGGACCAGGATGTAGACTTCAATTTTGAAGGGATACGTAAATTAGAACAGCGATGGATAAGGTGCTTCAAGATGAAGAGAGATTATATTGAGAAGTAACAGCCAACTTTTCATTCCTAGGTATTCCAAAGTACAAGAGGCCGAAAACAGATTTTGCAGACATTCCTAATACCAACAACTGACAGACACCTTCACCATTTAATTACCTTAGATATCACCCTACTGGGTAGTGCTCTCCCTGGCAAGGCAAACAACTTCTCCACCCCTCCCGTCTCCTTCCAGTGCATCAGCTTTTTGGTGGGCGGGGCAAGGTCAAGGGTCGTCAGGATGTCAGACGCATCAGATAGCTGTAACTTCATGGTCTCACTCTGTATACACTTCTGTTCGTCTACGATCAGTTTTCTTTTCCTTTTTGTTCTCTTCTCTGTGCCTAGTTAAAGAAGTTGAGATTTTTTTAGGGAGAGCTTCTCATCCAAAATTATATTTATCTACTTATCTATTACTACTTGCAATTTATATCATAATACTTCAGATGCATTCAAGTTAGCATTTCATATGTTATTTCATTTATTATTCTTCAAAGTAGTTCATTATCTTATTTGTGCATACATTTTTTATTAAAGCTAATGAATCTGCAAATCATTTAATTTCGATCATTTTTAAATTTCTTTTGCCGTTTTTTTTCTTTCTTTTTTTCTCAACACCACTTAACTCACTAAAACATCCCATTCACTTACCATGGACACTAGTGACATCTAGTGGTTCCAGAGCAAACGCCTCTTCCTCATTCTGGACTAGTGTGGTCTGGTTGGGCATGGTGGACACACCAGCCCCTGTGGTCTCTGGACCATCATCATGGACCACAGCTTGGATCTTCTCAACTGAAATTTGAGAAAAATTGAAGTTTAATATTGATATCTTGAAAAAGATTATTTATACACAAATGTCCTGCATTTTGCTTTGCACTGTAATTTGGCTAATACTTTTTTATACAAAATACAGGGTACCCTTTCCTCTGGGCATGCTGTTTATAACTAACTTTTTTATGCCCCACATATCAAATATTTCCTGTTAATCAATTTTTTATTCTTTCTAATAAAATACATCATATTTCTTAACTTGATTCAGAAAGTTTTTGTTGAAATCTTCTGATTGGAAATATTCATTTTGCCCATGTGACCAGACTTATAAGACACCCTGTACGGAACGGCTTTGTTTTAATTACCTTGTTTAGCATGAGCATCCATGGGAGCAACTTCAGAGACCATAGAGACTTCAGCCATTGGAGCATCCTCAAACAGAGGTCCTCCCTCCATGAAACCTTCACCTGGGAAACAATAAAACAGTGACACTGTTAATACCCCCTTTACACTGGACGGCGTCCTTTCTGCGACCATGAAATTGGCGTCGCTGTGGTCGTAATTAGGAGGCACGAGCATTGATTTGGTATCAGAATGAATGCTCAAAGATCGGCCAGTTGTCGGCACGTAAAGTATTATAATTTTTTAACTCTCAAATGGGGCCGTACTGCTGGACGCAGAAAGGACGCCGTCCAGTGTAAAGGGGGCTTAACACAGCATACATAAAAATCTTTCACAGACGAGTGCACACAAATCTGTCCCAGACAAGGAGTAAATGTCATATAAACGAGTAGTTATCAAAAGAAAAATTTTTTTTTTAATTTACAAGGTCATTTCAGTTATTTTTTCATGGGCAAGCTTGGATTGCTTTCTTATATCAACTCATGAGAGAAGCTGTATTCTTCAAGTTGTAACTTCCAGTCTCTCAGCCAATCCTTGTAGAGCAACATTACCTACAGCTTGACATAAAGACAGCTGAAGTGCCAACTTTCAAAAGCACAGCTCCTCTCATCAATTACCTGAAATTTTCCTTCTTAAACCCCTTTACACTGGACGGCGTTCTTTCTGCGACCATGAAACTGGCATCGCTGTGGTCGTAGAAAGGAGGCACAAGCATCGCTTTGGTTGCAGAATGAACGCTTAATGATTGGCCAGTTGTTGGCACGTGAAACATTTTTTTTTTTACTCTCAAACGTCACTGTACTATGGGACGCAGAAAGGACCCCATCCAGTGTAAAGGGGGCTTGAGCAAACAACAAACAATGAACAAAGTTAGTAAACTTACCAAACAAAGCATGGTCAACGTCCCCACCAAAATTATCATCGTCGTCGTCGTCATCATCTCCACCCATTGGACCGCCATCGTCATCATCATCGTCACTGACAGGTGCCCGCGCTTTGGTTAATAAAATGAACAATTAACAGCGAACCTATGATGCTATATTTTGGAACAGGATAATTACTAGGGATTAAGGTGCACAGGGTTTTTTAAAGCTTTGTCCAATAATAACAGAGTGATCTAATCTACTTCATCAGTTTTAAAGATAGGTGAGTTTTAAAGCTTATTAGACATCTTCTCTAAAATCATAAGCCACATCACATCTCTATATTAATAAGCCAGGAAGACAAAAATGACAGCACAGAGAACACAATCTAAAAGCATCTTCATCTAATTCTACTACCAGAAAAAAAATATATATACCGGAAAAGCAAGGGGATTTTTTTTTTTCAAATCTCTTTTTTTTTTAGTCAAACACAAGTTCATGTTGGTCATTGCAAGCCAAAACTTTGAACAGATGTGTTTATGAAATTGGGACCAAGGCAACATACACACAATATCCAGAAATTAGCACCACAGATTCTAGTGTTAGTAACACATGCAAAACACAATTATATTGTATTAGTAAAAACAGATTAGAATTTATAACGAGTTTAACAGTTTTTTTTTTTCCTCTTCTTCTTTTTTTTTTTTTTGCAAAACCTTACATCTACATGAAAACAGGTAAAAAGTCAGGCTACAGAAATCCTTAATAGTTTATTGGTAAGGAATATGATCTAAATCACACTTGGTGTCAAANTTTAATATCTGTATACTAGTATATGTAAGTTCTTCTGTCCAGTTGCCAGGTTTTTAATCACGATTGCAGTACTGTTAGTAGATTTCTTTGAAAATACCAACTTTCTCAACAGATGTATTTTTTCTCCCATCTTGATGTTTTCTAAAGAATTATTTAAAGGTGGAAGTTTCATTCATTTTCTTTTTTTTTTTTTTTCAGAAAGGTGACAACGTAAAATATATTATGAAAATCTCCATAAAACAACAGAACATGACCTTCTTTGAATAAATGGGCCGAATTCTTGTCCAACAATCCATTACAAACCTGACCCATCTCATCTCTTGCTTGGAGAATTCTGAAAACTGGTTAATATGTTTTTTCACCCAGAAAAAAAATTCCTTTTAATTTGGAGCACATAGTTTTGCTCTGCTCATTTAATATATTGAATTATAGTGGTAGTCTGGTGTAGGAGTGCTTGTTTGAATGCACAATTTTATGAGCTTAGTATATTTCTTAAAGTAACGTGCAAGTTATGATAAGTGCGTGCCAACCCAAAGTTTCAGTGTGGACTTTGGTTTCTTCTCAGCTTAAGTTACGAATGCTATAAAGAGGCAGTCCTGTTAAACACTGTTAGACAATCTCAATATCTGTCTTTTACCCAACAATTATTATAGATTGTGATTTTTAAACGACTTTTTTCATCATCTGGGAGTAGTGCAAATTGAATCATTCCCATGACACTGTGATTTGTTAATTGATTATATCTTTTGTTTTTAAGGCATTTAGGGTTGCTTTTAAATCATTAATTTTATCATTCAGTCTTTAATCCCACCACAGCAATAATTCAGGTATTTTACATTAAGAAATTTTTGAAATGTATAATTTCTGCATTTAATTTTTTGCATGTGATTCAATCGTTTTAAATAATTGGAGAATTAAACATTTCAAAACCATTAACTTTTATGATTTTTTTGTTGTTGATTGTCTGATGTTTAAGTAGTTACCATAATATACCACTGTTTCAGCCACAAGATAGAGTGGGGTCATAATATGGTTGCAACAAAAAAAGTTCTAGTTAAGGAAGGCTGCAGGGTTAAAAAATTTTGCAGAAGTTCCTCTATTAATCATTAGTTCCACCACAGCACTTAAAGAAATCGGATGATATAGTGGCTTTGAATCGTGGCCATTCCTCATAAAATCCAATACTATTAACACACCAGTGTTTATCCACAACTTCTCAAGTATAACCTAATGAAGCTGTTGAACCATTTAAACTAACAAGAAAATTGAAAAAGAAAATTTTTTAACTGCAGAAATCTAAAATGATGGAAAATGATATCCCAGATACTACACTGAATTTCAATACGAGATTTGTTCTTTAAACTTAAGGAAGCTTCATCCTTTAAAAGGTATTTGGAAAGCTCAAATACTGTGGAAAGAAGTGATCTTTAAAACCTATGAACTTAATGATTTTGGTAGCAAGTACTAGAGATTTAAAAGTTCTAAGAAAATGGGTGCATTTTTAATGTTTGCGACTGTGGCAAATGCCCCACATAGTCCATGATACTCTAGCCAATAATTAGTGTCAAGCCAAGATGTAGTTTCTCGATCGTGCTTAAATAAAAGCAACTGGATAATAGGGTAGACATAAACAAAATGTGTCCTGATTTGTGTAACATTTAATAAGCTTCCAGATCTTAATGGTCCAAACATGATTACAAAAAGTCAATGTACATAGACAATGACAAATTTTGTTTATAATAACACTGAAGAAAATGTTCCTAATACAGTTCTTCAACATGCTCCCAACGGCAAAAGTCACTCCATCTTTTACTAGGGAAATAAAACCTGAAACCATTCAGGCTTTGTTCAGCTGTGATATATCATTTAACTTTCACTGCTTCACTCGTATCTTTTTACAGTTTCCCTTTGTGAGAACAATAATGACACTGTGCCACAAAAACTGTTTAATTTTCTTTTTGTCTATCACACAACGGTTGGTGACGCAGGAAATCTCCAAATGGTCAGAAGATTTTACATATCTACTTATATGCATGCTAAGATTTACTCAGTCATCGTCCTCATCGTCATCAGATCCAGAACCTGACCCAGATCCTGCACCAGAAGAAGGTGGTGTGCTGAGGATTTCCTCATCATCAGGAAGCTGGAAATGGAGAATTGTACATAAAAATTAGCAAATTAACCAACTTGGCTGAACAATTTAATCATTCTAAAAATGGCACTGATTGTCTTAAAAGTAGATTGCAAATTCATTAACCAGTCTAGGAGCGACATAAAATGAAGAATAATTGCAATGCTGTTCAGAAAGACCTACTTAGCGCCAGTATTTTATGAATATCTATATCTACCATTGGCATATCTGACAATTAGGAACATGTTTAGAAATTGCTACAAAGACAAATCTCTTCACCATAAACATAAAGACTCGATTTTTTTAAAGCATCACACCTCTTCATTTTCTGATTCAGATTCTTCCTTTTTCTTCGGTTTCTTTTCTTTCTTTTCCTTCTCTTTCTTGGGCTTCTTCTCTTTCTCTGTCTTGGTTTTCTTTTTAAGTGGTTTATCATCACTGTCTGTGCTGGAGTCCTCAGAGCTGGAGATGAACTCCTTACTTTTGTACTCTCCCCCAGCCCCAGCCTTGCTTTCCTTCTTGGGGCTCTTTGTGCTGCTTGAACTCTTCTTTGGGCTCTTGGACTTCTTGGCCTTTGGACTGTAATCAAACAGGTTATTGATGATCAAACTTAAGCTAATTGATGTGCTTTCAAATTCAATATTTGCAACCTCAGTTACATTCATGTTAATTAAGCTTTGGTACATGCTTCTTTTTATTCAAACAATGTTTTTTTAGTAGGGACATGGCTGTAACATTACAACACACCTTTCAGAGTCCTCGTCTTCCTCATCTGCATCTGCTTTGGCTGCTTTGTATGCTTCCATTGCCTTCTCATATTCAGCTTTAGCGGCAGCAGCTTTCTGTTCCCACTCCTGAAATACCAAACACTTTGTTTATAATGATGCTTAAATAGAAAAAAAAACTGAAAATAATAATTAACTAGAGGATCAGAGAGGCGATACCGCCTCCGAATATTGTACCACCAGCTGGAGTAAGCGCATTCGTATAGACCCCCACATACACAAAATAAGGGACACAGCCACCAGTCTTGTGCTTGACAAGCTGTAAAAATGCAATCAACAAGAATTTTCAAAATATGCAAAATATATATATAACTAAAAATGGTACAATCAAAGCTTAGTTCATCATAGTAGGTCAAAGGTCAATTTCAAGGTCACAGTAAAATGCCAGTATATGACTTCCTATTCAACTTCAATAGTAACTATGGACCTATCTCTGCCAGGTTTGGAGTTAAAAGAGAAAGAAATAAGCAGAGTTCAGTTCATGATAATAAGTAGGTCAAAGGTCAAGCCAGGATATGACTTCCTATTCAAGTTCAATAGTAACTATGGACCTATCTCTGCCAGTTTTGGAGATAAAAGGGAAGTAAAATTTGCAAAGTTCACTTCATGGTGAAAATTAGGTCAAAGGTCAATTTCAAGGTCACAGTAAGATTGCCAGCATATGACTTCCTATTCAACTTCAATAGTAACTATGGACCTATCTCTGCCAGTTTTGGAGATATAAGGGACTAAATGTTATAATTTTGGAGTTACCATAATGTGCCATAAATTTCCTACATAAAAAATTAATTAAAATAAAGAAAAGGTAATTTTGGTCAAAATTCTTGAAATGGGAGGTGCTCTGAAGTTCCAGAAGTTCAAATTTGATGAAATAATGTCATTTTTGACCACAAGTTGTCTGCTTTGCCAAGCCTTATGTTTTATTTTTCCGGAGTTCAAAAATTTATTATCCATTACCGTACTGCACATTTTGCTTTCACCGCCAATATGTACTTTTTGATACAGCGCAACTCGTAACCGGAATACAAAAAAACGGAGACCACCTCCAGTGTTGGGCTTTACATGCTCTACAAAATGCAAAAAAGAATGGGTCTCTAGCATTAAGGGTTCCCGAATTAGAGACAGTTTTCAGTTTCGGTATCTTATGGCCGCTACTCCCGTGAAAATGCACCGATTGACCCCAAATTCACGGAGATGAAAGATGACCTGAAGGGTAACACTTTCCAATAATATTATTGGTTAAGTCTGTGTGGTGTCTGAATAACGGCAAATAATTTTTTTTTTCGTAAAAAAATTCATTTTTTTGAAAATTTTGGCACGTTTGACCTTGAAGTAAAGGTCAAAGGTCAAATCCAAGGGCATATTTGAAATCTACACATATGACTTTTGGAAAGCCGTCTGTAGAAATTTTTCCCATAACCC